CTTCCACTTTAGGAAAATGCCCCAGACAAACAAGGTTTTTTTCCTTTTCAAGGATCAAACAAGGTCACTATGATCTTTTCAGGAAATGGGCTAATACTTGCATAGTGCTAATGCAATTCACTTACATTGCACTTACGGGCAAACTTTCTTGTCCTGTTTCCTTTCCCTGCTTCCCTTCTGCAAAGCTGAAGCACCTTTGTAGGATTAACCATTTCAGACTGCTGCTGCTTTTCTGGACATACAGCGGTTCCTAAATTCAGAAAAGGCCATTACGATCACTTGGCCTGGCTTCAGCAGAACAGTGTGGCCAAGCTGGGGACACTTGTGAGGTACCCAGGGGCCAGGGTTTTGCACTGACTGCTGCCAACCAGAGGTACTGGGCATATTTCCTGCTCTACCAGTAAGCAACCTGCATCTCATGTGCTCAGTGCTGGTACAGGGACTTTCAGTGAGGGTGGAACACTTGGCATCCACTTTTAGTGACCTGGATAACAGTACAGGTGGAGATCTATCATGCTGCCACAGACTTGCATCTATCTGACGGAATGAAAGAGGATTAACTGTCAAACTTTTGCTTGGGTGCTGTAAGACCATTCCTTGGCTATTGTTTTCCAGCCCCCTCCTTGGATGGCAGTGGATTTGAGCATCACTTCTTGCAGAAAAACAAACCTGAGCTGTTCCTGGGTGGGGCTGGAGCAACGTGAGTGGTGTCTCCTGCCCCTGCCAGGCCAGCTCCCGGCTGCCTGCCTGCAGAGGCACCAAAGCAAATGCCCTGGGAGCAACTCTGTGGCGTGACCATGGCACTGAGAAAGGTGCTGGTGTGGGCTGGGACCGGGGGAACCACCACACAGCCAGGGCCAGAGGGGTTGGGAGGCCAGGCTGCAGAGGCAGGGGTGGCCGGGCAGAGCTGGGGTAATCTGCTGACCAGCCCATCTTTTGCTGCAGTGTTACTGCTGGTCTTGCTCCACCTCTGGGTTTGGTGCTTCACTTGTGTGCCCTGGCAGCACAGGGCAGCATTCCTGTTCACGGTGAGATGTATTTTAACATGGGGCTGTTGATAGCTGAGCTGGGGCAAGGCCATACTAAGATCTTACAAAAGGCTGGAGCTGTGCTGGTAGAGGACCTGCAGAGCAGAAGGCTGCTGGATTTCAAAGCAGCAGAGAGGGAGCATGGGCAGTACATGAGGCCTCCCAGGCACTCATCACACCAGTGGTTCATTCCCCAGCAAAGCCTGCAGGTCCAGCCCAGCCCAGCCACAGCTCCCTACCCTGAGGCTGTGTTGGGCTGGAGCTGCTGGCCAGGGAAGCTGCCTCCTGCTCTCTCCTAGAGCCAGCAAGAAGGGCTGCTTGGAAACAATGGGTAATAGAGGAAGGGTTTTCCCAAATAAGCCCAGAAAAATGCATAAATTAGTGGCCTGTGTGTGTGTGGACTACCACAAGGCAGTGAAGCTTTGCTATCTGGCAGGGCTGAATTCATTGCTGATGCTTGCTGGTGACCAGGCTAGTAGGACTCCTTGGAGGTGTGTGGAGGTGACACTTTTGGAGAAGAAATCTTATTGGAAAAAGTGCTGATGCTGATATCACCTTGCTGCCATGGTGCAATTAAGAGCTATTAATTTTCCTGCAGTTGGTTGTGTAATTGCGCTGCAGGGCCTTTTGAATGCTGCATTTAAATTAGTCTGCGAGTGGAAATAATGAAGGTAAAAACCCTGTTACATGATTTTATGATCAAATTAGTTCCTTTGACCCAGAAAGCAGGTGTGGTAGCAACAAGTGCTGCATTAGGAACAAGACCGTAGGCTCAAGGTGTTATTCAGAGCCAGCTTTAGAAAGGTACCTGCATGCAAAGTGACTGGATTTCAAAATCAAGAGGCTCTGGCACTCTGGAGCAGAGGCTGGGCAGCGGGGCTGGGCGTGAGGGGAAGGGCTGCAAACAGAGTGGGGAGCAGGGCAGCTCTGCTGAGAGTTAGGATATCAATATTAGGTGGTCCCACAAGGTGAAAGCCATAGGATGCTGGGGGGATGCAGAGGGCATGCTGCATATCCCATCCTGCTCTTACTCATCTTGAATGTCTGCTCATAACTCATACTGGGGAGGGCTTGAGCTAAACCAAGGCAGCATTCTTCTGTTTTTACTCAACTTGTAGCTGGGAAGAGGGTAATTCTTTCCCTTAACTTTAGGGACTTGGGGACTCTGCTTTTATCCACTTAGGCTACTGTTTCAAAGTTGATGTTAGCTTCAGGACCTCAGCTAACTTCTGCCCTGCCTGTGCAGCCCACAGCTGGCCTTGGATGCACTGGCTGACCTCTGAGAGTTCAACTTGTCCTTCAGCCTGAACATTGAGGAGGAGCTGGTAAGACTTTTTTTCTTTCAGTCCTGATCTGAAGGGGTTTGCGTGCTGCAAAGGGCTGCTATGGGCAGGGCTCTGGTGTCCCAACCCTGCCATGACTCTTACCTGGCTGGCCAGGGAGAATCCTTCCCTCTGGCACAGAGCACAGCCTGGCATGGTGGATGCAGAAGGCTCTTCACCCTTTCAGGATGGCTAAGAAGTGGGTGGGTCTGAGGGTTGGTCTGAGGGTTCCTGTCTGCTCCGGGCAGTGGAGCAGCACTGAGCAGGGCTGTGGCAGCCTCATCATGGTTGCCTGTTCCAACAGTGAACAAGGCTCTGGGATGTACGTGACCATCAGCTTACGTATCAGCATCCTTGATGACGACTTTCTGCTGTGCAGTCCCAGCACTCCAGGCTCTGTTGCACGTGGCGTCCCACTAGGCCTATGGTCCAGGTCTGAATGTTTTTCAAGCTTTCCCCTGGCTCTACTCCAGCGAACTCGCAGACTTTCTGTGTTGGGTTTTTGTGTGTCAACACACTTTCTTAGCCTCCCTTTCCTTGCAGTGTCTTGCCTGAGCCTCCCTCTGTTCCTCAAGAGCCCTCTCCTCTGTGGCTGCAGCCATCTGCAGCCTCTCCGGGTCTCTGTGCTTCATCAGCTCCCATCTGGAGCTCATCTCAGTGCTCTCTTGCTGAGGTGCAGCCTCATCTGCACTCCAGGAGAGAAGGGACTGTGCTTCCCCTGGGATCCTGCTCCAAAACACAGTGGGGGGTGTGTTGTTTGCCTCTGGCCAGCATGAGGGCCCTCCAGTTGCAGAGATTGAAGGCTTCATAGCATCTCTAAACCCACTCTGACCTTTTCTCCTCTCCCCCAGATTGTGTCACCATTTACACACTGAGCCCCCACGTTCAGCTTGGGGGGCTCCCTAGGCCAAAGTCCCCTGGGCTGAAAGCTGACACTGGGCAAGCTGTGGAAGCCAAAGCCCTTGATTTGCTTTAACTGATGGAACAGCCTTTCTCCAGCCTCCCTTACGTTAAACCTCCCAACGAGATTCAGGCATACCATGCGGTCAGGATGCAGCAGGGAAGATTACTGGTAGGACTCAGAGAGACTTCAACTCCTGTTGAGAGTGATTAGCAACTCAACATATACCCATGACTCCCGAGAGCCTTTGGGAAGCTGATTAGGGCACTGAAGAGATTTATTTATGGCAAGAGATGAAAATTAGTACTTGCAGCTGCTGAGGAGATGCACAGGTACGCGCCCAGCCTGACTGGGAGCAGGGGAGATGAGTGGCAATGGTATCCAAGTGCATAGGCAGGGGATGGAAATATTTTTCAGACTATTTCTGATGGGGGATCACCTCTAGCTCTAGGAGTTGTATTAGGTTGACACTGTTGTGCTTGACAGAGCTGAAAAATCCTCTCTGAGCATAGAAATAAGCATCATGGAACTGAGCCAAGCGGTGGAGGCAGCAGCAGCCAGGGACTTGCCGGCCCAGGAGTTGCTGCGAGGCCACCGACACGGCTGGGCAAGGCCCTGGGGGAGAGATGGGTTCCCTGTTGCTCTCATCCACAGCTCCATCACACTGGGCCCCGGCAGAGGAGGACCAGACGCCGGTGTTCCTGTGGTGTTGGCAGTGTGTGCAGACGTGCGAGGCGGGCACCTCTGACTGCTGCAAGGGGATCATGGCGGGACATGGCTGCTGTGCGTACCCCTGAGGAACGGGCTGTGCTCTGGGTCGTGGACAGCTCGCTTGGCCCTTTGGCAGTCTGCATGGCAGCAAACCACTCGGAGGAGGGCTGCACTGTGGCTACCCTTCCTTGTCACACAGTGCTCCTACTACTAGAGCAGAAAGTACTCTCCCAGAGGACAAGCACCATGCTGTGGGCTGCCTGTGGCAAAGGGTGGCTGTGGGCTGTGATGAGACCGCAGCCACCCATCCCTGGGTTGGCTCTGGCCTGCGCTCCTTTGACCACAGGAGAGAAGAGCCCTGAAGCCTTTCTCAGCAGCCATCGCCTTCAAGCTGGGATCTTGCTGCCATCACCGTAACACACAATGGTTAACAATTAATTTTCCAGCTGTGTTGGGAAGAACAGCCCAGCTCTTGTCGATGAAGAGTTTGATTTGCGGTCACACCCCACGCAGCGGGGGCCGGGAGGCTCGGCTCGGCTCGGCAAGGTTCGGCACGGCACGGCCGGGAGCCTCCGGTGACCCGGATCGCCCGGCAGGGGGCGCCTGCCCATAGCGTCGCCGCCTGTCACGGCTCGTCCCTCCCCCGAGCCCCGCCCCTCTTTGTTGCGGCCGCCAATAGCGGCGCGCCGAGGGCGGGCGGGCGGCCGGTAGCGTGGTAACGCGGCGGCATGGAGCGCGGCGCGGGGCGCGCCCCCAGCGCGGCTGGGACGGGGTCGGGGACTGGGACTGGGGACGGGGCCGGACCGGGGCGCCCGGGACGAGCGAGCCGCCGTGCTGCGGGGCGTGCGGGTGCCCGCCGCTAGGGAGGGGGTCGTCCCCGCGCCCAGCCTCCTCCGCACGCACATAATACACACACACGCACACATATATATATTATATAGAGGGCCCGGGCGGCGGCGGTCCCGGCGGCGCGGGCATGGCCGCGGGGCCATGACGGGCGCGGCGGCGGCGGGCGGCGGCCCCGGGAGTGGGCGGCGGGTGGCGGGCGGCAAGGCGGGGGGGGGCCGGTCGCGGAGCGCCCAGCCGCGGGCGGCGGGCGGCGGGAGCGGCGGCGGCTCGGAGGAGGAGGAGCAGCGGGACGGCGGGTCGCTCTTCCTGGTGAACAAGAGCGGCTTCCCCATGGACGGGCAGACCTGGGAGCGGATGTGGGGGCATGTGGAGCGGGTGCACCCCGACGGCGGCGCCGTGGTGGCGGCCATCCGGAGCGCCGCCCGCCTGGCCCGGGTAAGGCGCGGCCCCCCACCCCCGGCCCCCACTTCAGAAAAAGAGAGAGAGGGTGCCCCAAAGCCCGAGCCCGGGTGCGCCGCGGCTGCCGGGGGTGGGGGGGACACAGCGGGGGCGGCACGCCTCGCCATGGGGTGCCCTCGGCCCTGGCGAGGGGGAAGCTGGAGCGTCCGGTGTTTAAAAAAAAAAATACACAAAACGGGGTACGGGCGCGTGTACCGCGGGATGCTTAGGAGCTCGAGTTGGTGTCTTGGGAAACAAGTAGAAAGAAAATGATTGCTTTATCTCGGGGGGGTGGGGGGGGGGGGGAAGAGCAGAAAACAAGAATTAAATCTTCAGGGACTGAATGAAGTGCTTTGTGCAAGTTAAAGTGCGTTTTGCTCAGCTCGTTGGAACACAGGCGTTTCCTAAAACACAGCCTTACTCCTGAAATGTAATAAGGGATTTAAAACTCGGGCATTTCGTTTGCAGTACATGGACAGATTCCAAACCCTTTTGTCTTGTACGTTCCTCAGTACAAGCTCCAGACAGCTCTGCATGACCCAAGTCTTTTTCCTCCAGCCAGCAAATAAAATGTTGTCTGCTGATGTTCCAAGGCTTCTCACCACTGTACTGCATTACTGATCACAGTGTCTTTAACGCTGTCGGCTTTGGCAGACTGAGCTTGATTTGCTCCTCCCACTCAGCGGCATTAATCTGAGCTGACCACTGAAGTCAGCGTTGATTTGTACCCCCCCGCATGCTGGGGTGAGGTGGTTGGGCTGGTGGTGTCACGGTCCAGGTTGTCAGTGATGTACGTATGCTTGTTCTTTACGTGGGGTAGAATGGAAAAAAATCTGCACGGAGAAGTTTAAAGCATATTGAGTAGGTCTGTCTTGCAAAGGCAAAATAAGATGCAGGCTGAAAAGGCCTTTCTCTTCTACAATGTTCAGTTCAGCACAAGTGCAAAAGGGGCAATCTCTTTCTCTCTGTTCCCCTGCTTCCCTTGTGCTGGCACCAGCCTTTGTTTGCATGGGGGAGCAGATACAGCTAAAGAATAATCTGGTTATGCTAGGTTTGTTTGTGGCTCCTTGGTGTGGTTCACACTTGCACGAGTGCTGGAGGTAGAAATGAAGGGGCAGGGAGAGGGCAGAACTTCTCGTTTCAGCAGCGTAACAGTTTACACTAGTCTAATGGCCTGCAGGTCTGTTTGGTGTTAAGAGATGCCAAAGCACAGGCTGGATTTGATTTCCTTCCCTTACTTCCCAGCTCCAAAGCATGTAACTTTTACTGGTGATACCTGTAGTGACTGACAAAGTGTCTGTTGAGAGACATGCCAGTGGCTCCAGTGTGCCGGTACACTGCCTGCAGAGGTGGCCCAGAGAGCATTGCCCGTGGCTTCTGCCTCGGTGCAGAAGCACAAGGCTGACTCAATGTGGCATGTGCTGAAGCTGGGTAGGAGGGAAAATGTTTTGAAATCTGCTTGGCCAAATCATTTGATGGTAGTTATTAGAGGCTAATCAGTGGAGGGTCCTGTAAGAGTTGTATTGTGTTCCTCCAGCACTGTCTGGCAGCAATCTCCCTGTTGCAGTGATTAGCTTCAAGGGCAGAAGGGCCTGGTATCCCCTGTGACTGACTAGCTCTTGCTGGCTAAGCCTGGGAGCTCTGGGTCAGAAGGTAGTTTGAGGACTACCTGATCCTTATTAATGCCGACACAGCTCAGGTGAGCAAATGGAGGTTAATAGCAGGTTTGTCTGATACAAAGTGGCAGTGGGTTGCTAAAGTTGTGATGGTAATTTCTGGGTCAGAGTAGGAGTGTGAAGGGAGGGTTGTTCCTTAAATGGTGGTACAGCTTTTTTAATTGGGTTGTGCTGCTGGGTATGTGGCAAACTGCAAAAGACCAGGTAGTGCTGATTGGCAGTGATGAGAGAAACTTGTGCTTGTCATAAGATGGTTTCTAATCTGCTTGCATTGGTAGTTGGTGGAGGCTGAGCAAGTGGGGGTGTGCAACTGCTCCATTTTTGCATCTGATCTGTTCTTAATCCCTCGTTATGGGAGAGAGTTTTCATCCCCTCCCCAAGAAGCTCCACCTGATTGCTCTAATCATCTTGGTATTAGTCTCAGTGATCATACACGTAGGGCTGTAAGTAGCTTCTTGCTGTATTGGTGAGGTTGTCCTTGCTGGAACAAAAGTAAACTGCAGATGTACAGGGCTGCATCTCTCCTGAGAGGAAGAGTCTTTTCGAAAAGCTGGCTTGTCTACAAGGGGAGCAATTTTGGAACCTGAGGGGTCCCTTGGTTGCAACCCCCACCTCTGACTTTTGGCTTGAGCTATGGAAAGGATGTGGGCTCCCTGTTTGGAAGGGCTGTGCAGTCCTTTACGTGGTCTGTGGTCTTGGTGATACTTGTAGATTTTAATGAATTAAACCTCTCACCAGATTTGAGGGCTCTAGCCTGATAGCTTCATCCATGCTGAGTAATGGCATACTTGCAGGGTGAGCTAGAAGAAAATGACTTTCTGGTCATTAAATGAGACACAGTGGAGTCAGACAAGCCAAGTTTCACACAGGATGTGTGCGGTGAACTGAGACTACGTTTCCAGCCACAGGATAATGGTCTCCAGCTCTGCCACAAAGTCTTGCACTGCTGTGGCTCTGCTGGAGCTGCCGCTGCTTGAAGATACTGGTACAGGGTCAAGGCATTTCATGTCCCTGGACTCTGAATTTCACTTGCTTTATAAATTTGTGGTCTGTAGTGCTGTGTCTGCATTTTCTCTTACAGGCTCTGGACTCCTGCTACAAACTCTCACCAGCTCCTGGCTGCTGAGTTGGGATGTGCGCTGGTAGCTGGAGGGCTGCAGCCTCAACCGCAACAACATCGTGCTTTCCTTTGCTTTCGGTGTTGTGCAGCCCTGGCTTCTGCTCTGTACTGGCTAGGTGCCCAGGATCGATGCTCCTGCAACCAACCAGGGCATGAATTTTTTGGGGGAAAACATGGGTTTTGTTTGGAGGGAGTGGGAGTGGTGGGTCGCTGTCATCTGCTTGGCCTGGCTGGTGACATGGTGCTGTGTACTGCCTACCTGGCACTGGAAAGAGGAGAGCAGTGTGCTGTCCTGTGTGGGGGAAGATGGATGGCCACTTTTCCCTCGTTGCCTGAGATCTGGAGGGGCTTGGTCCTCCTGGCTGGGCAGGCCTGCTGAGGTAACTTTTAACAGACAGGTGGTGGGATATGCGTCAGCCACTGGGAAAGCCCTGGTTCTCTTTACCCAGGCATACCCCGGTGACTGACACTGTCATCTTCTGCCTTGGAGACAGGGAAGCACTTCGTCTGGAGGTCCAAACCTGACCCCCATGGTGAGGGTGGCAGCTGTTGGTTACAGCAAGGGCAGTGTCCCTGTGGGGTGCTGGGCAAGGGCAGGGGCCTCCATTTTGTGGAGGGCAGGGAAAGGGGTGCCGCTCCCCCAGCCGCTCTGCAGCAGCCAGGCCTCTCGCTCTCTGGGGCTCACGCAACATGGCATGGCAAGGCAGTGGAAGTGCAATGCATGCACCTATAGCTTCTTTGTCTTGGAAGAAAAGGAGTGTTTTTATCGGAGCGGAAATGACTACCCATGGAAGGATTTGACAGGCCTGCCTTAATTCCCTCTTCCAGCTGCTTGCTGCTCCTGAAACTCGAGCCCTGTGTGGTGTGTTGAGTCCAGGCCTGCCTAAGTGCCAGGAGGGACAGGTGAATGAATAATTTGTTGAGACCAAAGGGGCTGGAGGCGGAAGGAATTTGTGAAACCAAAAAATTGCCTCTAATGAAGAGCTTAGGTGTGGAAATTGTGATTAATAAATGCTAATGAATCTTGCTCTTAACTCCTACTTGAGAGGAGGGAAAACCCGTGTGCTCATGCACACGTGTTGGTTGTCTCCTGTGTGGTGCTGGGGATGGCGGCAGCGAGCTGGAGGCCTGGCCATCTGTCTGCCGCTTAGAATACATTTCTGTGTGCCAGTAATGTAGGAGTCTGTTTTTTTTTTTTTCCCCCATCTCTGAGGTGTATTTACTATTTGACTGTAGTAATTAGCTACACATAGTAAATGCTGGTTTTTGGTTGTCTTGGGATTATCGGTGCTCGCTCTCTGAAAGCAAACACAGTCCCTCTATCTCAGTGGAGGTGGGAACCAGAGAGGGAAGTCTGTGTCATGGAGATGGCCCCATACCACCTGAACTTGGTTTTCTTAGCTGTAATCGGTGACTTGAAGTATATTTAGAACTGTGATATCTCACTTTATGATCTTCAGATTATTGTAATGACATCATGTGCCTGCAGACGCCACGAGCTTTCCTTTGTGCCTTGCGTCTTGGCTGCCCAAGTTCCTGGTTCTTGAACTGGGGTTTGCATTAATATTTAAATAATCTGCACTACATTTATGAGAATTGTATTAACATCTTTTTAGCCATGCTTCCCGCTTTAACATCTGCTGACCACATATTTTTCAGTCTCATCCCTAAAATAAGGGGACTTGGGACAAGGCCATGCCCCTTGCCTGCATGGTTACAGGCTCAGGAGCCATGTAGCTATGTGGATTAAGTATGGATTGAGGGCCCGTCTCCTTAAAGTGCTTAGGCACAAGCAGATGTTTTACAGGATTTTGGAAAAATCCCATTACATTGCTGGTCTATATCTTTAAGTGTCTTAATATCATTAAATATCTGGGTCCCAGGTGGTCTTATACGTACCATGCACTTCCTGCCCAGCAAGCATGCTGCTGACATGTGGCAGATAGGAAATTATGCAGCCTGGGATCCTTGTCTCCTTTTATCTTGTGTTAGAGGAAACTAAAAATTAGACTTGAAATGGCTTCTCAGGGTAGTGAGGACAGCAGACCTGATGCTGGGACTCTGCTCATCCAAACTGCCCTGTGCTAGAGGGGAAAAATGGGCAGCATTGGCCTTCTGTGCCTGTCTACATAGTGTGGTGTTTGAGGGATGCTGGCGGCCGTGACGAGCAGCCTGCTGTGGCAGGGGCTTGCCCTGGGTTTTCCACGCCAGCAGGGATGGGGCTGGCTCTGGTGCATGGGCAGCCCCCGTTGTCAGCAGGATGACTTTGCCTGATGCTTGAGTTCACGTGGGGTTTAAGCCATCTGTGCTGCTGTGTTGCGTTGCACTAAGCGCATACCGCTGCCCAAATCGCTTATCCGCTCTGCAGGGAGCAGTAACTGTCTAACCTCTTTATCTTTTTATTTTGTGTCCAGCCCTCAGTGCCACCGGTGCCAAACTACAAGCTCTCCATGTCGATCCCAGAATGGCTTCAGGCAATACAGACCTACATGAAGATGCTGCAGTATCCTTCTCCAGCGTGTGGTCTCCGGAGAGAAGGCTGGCTTGTGCCTGGCATGAATTAATAGCGGCTTTACCAAAGCACTAGCTGGTCATGAAGGCTTGGGATCATTTTGGGGTGAAAGGATGCCTCTAAGGATTTGTGATAGTACCTGCAGCACTGAGCTTGTCACAGCAATCCTCTGGGAGATGTAATTAACTTTAAGTGATAACGAAGAATTTAACTGAAGTGACATTTGTGGGAGTAAAAATGATTATTCTGAAGTTGTTTTATGAGGATATTATGATCAGATCGTGATGCCTGGAGAAATAATATGGCATCTCATCGTAAAGTGACTAAGGGAATGCTGGTGTTGTGGCAAACCCTTTCTCCCTCTGCCCTGGCAGCCCCTGCGGACTGCCTGCGTGCTCAGCTTGCAAGGAGTGCTTGTCATTGGGATGGGGGGCACAAGCAGCTGTCCTCACTCCAAGGTGGGCAGGCTTGCCTGTGACACAGGAACTGACCAAAGGAATGCCCCCCCCTTCCAGATGTCCTGCCTTGCTTGGGGGGGTTCATCAGAGATGTACACATCTATCCAGCCTCCCTATTGCTGCCCCATGCCTAATGCCTGACTGTTTCCATCGCTGACGGATAATGTCAGAGGAGATAGTTGCTGGCCCAGATGCTGCTCTTCTCTCTGTTTTTCTTTTTTCTAAACTCTCCCTTTTTGTGTGTGTATGTGGGGGGAGGCAGTGGGGATGAGGAATGAATGTAAAGTCCTGGTAAGGATTAAGAACGGATATGGGTGGCAGCTGGAAGAGCATCCAAAAATAGCAGGCGAGGTTAGCCTGCTGGGGAGTTGTGGTTGGGATCAAGGCGGCCGCAGGGGTTGGAGCTGCAGCAGCTGCCGTGCGGAGGGAGGCTGGGGCCAGCCTGCTCTACAGGGGGATGGCGCATTTCTCTGTGCCAGCTGCTTGGGCAGAGCAAGAAGCTTGCTGCTCAGTGGGGTTGTGCCAGAGAAGAGACTGTCACACAGAGCTCCAAAAATTGTATTATTCCCCTGCCACCCCCAGTGGTTTTGAAATCCTGCACTCTGTTACGTAGTAGGAGCAGGCCTTAGGCACGGGGTTTGCATCTGTGTTCAGAAAAGCTTCAAAGTGGGCTGGGGAATAGGGTCTGGGCTTCCTTTGAGGGCTAAAAGAGGCTGTATGCTTTGTTCAGAGCACTCTGAAAGGGCCTCGTGAATTAGGTTTTGAAGGCAGGAGGGAAGCAAAGCCTCATTTCTGGAGAACTCTGAACTCTAATTGAAGTCAGTTCAGAGCATCCTGGTGAGAGCTGGAGTTTTTATTTAGACCAAGGTTATACTGCCAGCAGCTGTGCTATTTATGCCTCACAAGGTATCCTTTGCCTCCATGGGGTCACTTGTTTCTGCCCTGGTATCACCACCACAAGTTTGCTGACATGAATGTTCTCGTGGCAGTGTTAGGAACTAGGCTGGGGAACAGATTGAACTGGAAAAATAACCTAGCAAAAGTAAGCGGATAGTGTGATGATTTTAGTTTTGATTTGTTGGGGTTTTGTTTTTTTTTTTTTTACTGGGCAGATTGATTTCCTGATCTGATTTACTGCATAACTGCCTCAACAGCTATGCTTGAGGAGTAGGGAAGAGGCTGCTTTTGGTGATGCTGCTGCTGCATGGTAGCTTGCACCCCTAGGCAGGTGGTGCTAAGATTCAGTTGGTGGGTGACTGTCTGCATCCTTTGTCATGAACTTTTCTCCCATGCTCATAGTGTTAACCTCTGTTCTTGAGTTGCACTTAGCTCGTTATTTCAATTTCAATTGCATTGTATTTTTTAAGTGTAAATCTATGCATCTGCCATGTTTTTGGTTACAATCTATATATGAGCTATGTGGCTGACTGAGTTAAAAACTTACAAAGGAAGGAAGTTCTTTCAAACCATGAATGCTGTTGATAGGTTTAGGGAAACTATAAAAGCTTTCTCTTGCCCAAATGAGAGAGTTTTTTCAAACTTGTAACCTAATAGCAAGCGGGATCTAGAGGAAAAGGGAAATAATAACCTTCAGATGCCAAATTTAAGTGTTGTTTTAGACAAACAACCTTTTTGGCTGACTCTCTACCTAATGCTGGTTAATATATCATATAAAAAGACAAGTGGAAAAACTGCTTTATTCCACATGCCAGGGTTTCATCTCTGTTGAGAGTCAATGGCTTTTACTGCTTGTTTTATGTTTCAACAGGGAATCAGAACTGAAATTCACCTTCTGAGCATTGTTATTGTTTGCCTGTTGAAGTTACTTTCCTTTAACAGACAAAATTCAGATACAATCACACAGGAACACAGTTCTTTGAGATTAGAAAAACCAGACCTCTGAGTGGGTAAGTATCTCTGGAACTGGTCTAGTGCCCTTGTCCCACATCATGCCAGCTGGTATCTTGGGCATTTAAGCACTGTAGCAACATGGCACGGGAGGGCTGTCTCTTCTGTGCCACGGCTACTCTGGCAGGGCCAAAACTGTGTATGTTGCTGCTTGTGCGAGGAGAGTCCCAGCTTGCTGCCAGGTGGCAAATGGACCTGTCGAGAGCCAACGGGTGGAAGAGCTGGTCTCGCTCAGCAGCCGCGTGGGAGCTGCGTACCTGCAGGCCAAAGCTGAATGCACAAGGCTGGGAAAACTCTCAGTTCTTGCTTGCTGGCATTGGGTTGGGAGGGCTGGGCTGTTTTTATGGAAACTATGCAAGTCCTGATATTCTGGTTGTGCTGTAATGCTCTTTGCTGGTGGAAGGAAGAGATCAGCTATGCAAAATGGTGCAGGAATTTTGAGGTCTTAGGTTCAACCCTTTCCCCTGGAGGATCACAATGGACCATTTAAGTCGTGGCCATGCTTATCCTGTTGCTGCTCATCCTGCTGTTCCTTCCATGCTGTGGACTCACGTGCTGGTTGGTGATGAGTTGTGGAACACTAGTACGAATATGTGTGCGAGAAGCCTGGCAATATGGAGCCGGGATCCCTTGCATGTAAGAACTGCATCATACTTTGGACAGCTCTTTAATAGGACCCAGTAAATTAGCAGGTTAGGGCGGGAAGTGATGTTGACAACATGCTTTTATTTTAGGGTGGAATTTAGATAAGCAGAATATAATTACTCTTGTAGACTGGCCTGTCTCTAGCTCTCCCCAGCTGTCTGTCATTAATCTAATGGTTTGTCACTGTAAATTCCAGTTTCCCATTCCAGCTCTGAGCTTCAGGTTTTTGTCTTGCTGACAGCAATCTTTCCCACTTCCTTTATGTAATGTTCACTGCACTGGTGGAACTAATTTAGAAGAAATCTTGTGCCTTGAATGATAAATGGGTTTACAGAAGCTTAAACCAATTTTCAGGCTGGTCACTCATTTTTAAATTTGTCCCATTACTTTTTTTCAAGGAAGTAGTGAATGAAAGTGAATTGTGCTCAGCACTCACTACTTGAAAGGTTGGCGTCCTCCTGGGCTGGATGAAAGCCTGGCTGGCTTATGAGGATGGTACTGTTTCCTGGAAGCTCACAGCTGGAGATGTACCTGTGGCTTTGGATCCTCTCCTGAGTGGTGTGATTTCCTTTATTTACCTGCCTTAGTGTTTGCTTGGGGACTCGTGTCTGGCATCTCTCCTTATCCTGTTGCTGTTAGGACTTCTGTGAGTGACTTGGTATGTGGTGGCAGGAATTCTGCAGAGCTAAGGAGAGTGCCCCTGGAAACGGTCCAACCCCTCAGGGCAGCTGCTGCCAGCTTGCCAGGCGCAGTTGCCTGTCCCTGGGGTATGCTGGATTTGCACAGTGTTAAGTTCTAAGACTTGTGCTGCTTCTCTCCTTGCCCTGATGGACAGGAGTGCTAGGAGCAGTGGAGCTGTTCTGAGCGTGTTTAGCTGCCCAGGTCCTGTCGTACTGCAGTGGGGCTTGAGCACTTGCCCTGTGCTGGGGTGCATGGCTGTTCACACCAGCTGAGGATATCTTCTTTTGCAGTTGTCCTTGGTGATTTGTTCTCTTGCTGCTAGGACAATTTTCATCAGAGCTGAAAAATCACCCACACCTGCAAGTTTTTTCCTGGGAGGTGTGTTCCACTTTGTAAGAAATCTGCTTCCAGCATGGCGACAAGTGTCTTGTGCTGAGGCAACAAGCGTTGCTCTTAGCAAGTGTCTGGGGTGTGAAGGGTCTCGCTTGCTGCAAGACAAAGTTTGTATTTGCAGGTTAATCGGGCAAGATGCTGAGTGCCTCCAATTGACACTGACTCTTGAAAGTTGAGACTGTTCCCAGAGCTGTGATTTATTGATATTAAACATACTGCTTATTTCATAATATGAGGGCTCAAAGCTAATGAAAATATTACGAGATCTTTGGCAGCCTCTCTTCAAGAGAGCAGTGGCCAGACACAAAGAAGCTGAGCACTAGATGGAAATTGAATATTCATAAATTCATGTGAAAGTGTCCTAAAGCAGCTGGGGCATATTAATGAGTTTTTCCTATTATGGAGAGAGGACTAGATATTATAGAGATTTACTGTCAGCATTGGTGTGATGCATGAGAAAATAAAAATGTGTGGCAGTGTTTAGGAAGAAGAGCATAAATTATCTACAGAAACTCATAACATTAAGGGACACAGTCTTGCTATAATTCAGCATTTACAATCTCTCTTAAGAAAAAGTCACTGTTAGCTATCAACTTACTTCTAGACTGCCAGACACCCTGTGGGTTTGTCTAGACTACAGATAACACTTTTGAAAATGTTAAATTTCTGTTGGCATAGCTGTGTGAGTTGGGGTGGTAGAGATGTGATCCTGCAAACTGTGTGTGGTGTTCCTGTTGTACTGGCAAACTGTGTCTGAATGTGTCTGTGTCTAACCCTGCCTGAATTTTCTGTATTCACACAAAATCCAGCCTTACAGGTATAGGTATGTCCACCATAGGAGTGCTTTGTAAATAGAGTATACAGGTATCCCGTCCCGGGACAGTGTCCTTCACATAAGTGATGTAACCTTTTGTATTAGGTAGGTAAAGGGCACCCCGTGGAGTTCAGCTCTCTTGATCCATGGTACGTGTGTATGCCTGTGATACAAGTGTTTCAGACACCAATAGAGCTGGTTTTTCTTTTCCTATACAGGATTATGCTCGCAAAACCTTTCTTACATTTTTTGTTGGTAAACTGGTCTGATTAAAAATGGTACCTTTAACTGAAATAGCCATTATTTAGAACTTCCAAGCTTAGATCATGTAAGAGCTTTAGAAAAAAAATGTATTTCTGGATATCTAGTAATATCTGTAACTGTGAATTCAATGCCAACAAGCTTCTATTACTATCTTTACAAGGAGCAGTAAGCCCTCTGCAAGCTTCTGTTCTGTGATGCAGGCACAAGCCACAATGAGGAACAAATATCTTTGCCCTCCACAGAGTATCTGAGGAAGGTGTAGATAGGTGTGGTATTGTGCTGCTCCTTCCAGTTAACTGCCAGCTGACCAGTGGGACCTACGACTGAAGCAGAACTGATGTTAAGGTATGTTCTGGGGGCTTTGAGAAATTACAGCTCAGAAGCTGCTCTGTGAAGATGGAGACACATTCAGTGACTGCAGATTTAATGGGTAATCAATTGCAATAAGAGAGTGTGATAGAAGCAGTCATGTGGGAACGATGCAACCAAATAACAGTGATGGGGGGTGTGGAAAATAATACTGTTCCAACACACCACGTTATTAAGGAACCCTGATGGGGCTGTAAAGAAGAATGGGCTCATATCATTTCCAGACAATAGACTGCAGAAGGCATTTGAACATCTGCTTCTCTCCTGCACAAAGGGAGAATGTGACAGATACGGTGCTACGGTCAGCATGTGGTAGAAGTGCTTTTGCCATTGAAACAAACTGGTTTTGAGAAGATTCATGAGAGCAGTAGCTGCTTTGCTGGTTTGTCTCCTTTTACTCTTGTTGGTGTCTTTCACTTCTCTCTTGGCTTCACTGGGAAGAATGAAACTGCCAGGAGCCTTAGAAAAACTTGGGAGAGAGATATTTATGGAAACTGTGCATGTACAGGGGCCTGGGGAGGGAGAAGCTTGTGGAAAGCATGATGGAGGATCTCACTAATGCAAATTTTAAGTCTGGTGAAGGTAATGGTCAACCTCTCCTCCAAAGCATGGTCATCTCTGAAGTGACTCCAGTGTGATGGGTGCCAGCTGGTGAGATTCTCCAGTTCTGGGCATGCTAAAAGGTTTGAAGCTTTTGGTAACTGGTATGTGAAATCAGCTGCCCCAGAGAAAAGTCTGGGAGCAAAAGGAATTCGTAGTTCCCACAAGATGTCTGCAGATACTGCCATTTTAAACAGGAAGCATCCTAAAGAGGCAAAATCAACTCCTCTACAGGCCCTCTCTTACTGCAGAAAGCAAGAGAGTTCATCCTGAAGACATTGAAAGAAATTTGAGTCAATTAACAAGGAAATATCACCATCTGCCAAGGAGTAGATCTCGAGAGAGGAGCGTGCAGCCTGTTCCTGTTGGCTACATTTGTTAGAGGCAGAAGTGTTCTCTGTGGTTGGGAATAGAGGTCTGCCTGCAGACTTTGGATAGCGGTGCAAATGCTGCAGAGGGAAGCAGTGTGCTGCTTATTTTTGACTGTAGCAGTCTCCCTCGAGTTACTGGAAGAGATGGGCTGCACCTGTCATCACTGGGGTCTGTGGAGAAGGGTGGCTTTGGGTTCCTGGCTATCTGTGATATGAGATTGTAAAGTACTGTACTAGCCATAGGAGTGGAATCTTTTCAGTCAAGTGGAAAGATTTAAAGAAAATCCCAGAAACAAACCCTGATCAGACAGTTTAAATGCTTGATGCGGGTTTTTAATTCTTTTGTGCCTTCCTGACAGTGGGACTGAGCACACCCTCAGCAAGTTTGTCGACAACACCCAGCTGTGTGGTGGGTGACACGCTGGAGGGCAGGGATGCCATCCAGAGGGACCTGGGCAGGCTGGAGAGGTGGGTCCGTGCAAACCTCGTGAAATTCAACAAGGCCAAGTGCAAGGTCCTGCACAGGGGTCGGGGCAATCCCAAGCACAAATACAGGCTGGGGGATGAATGGATTGAGAGCAACCTTCTGGAGAAGGACTTCGGGGTATCAGTGGATGAAAAACTGACTGTGAGCCAGCAATGTGCGCTCACAGCCCAGAGAGCCAACCTTGTCCTGGGCTGCATCAAGAGAAGCGTGGCCAGCAGGTCGAGGGAGGGGATTCTGCCCCTCTACTCTGCTCTTGTGAGACCCCCCTGCAGTGCTGTGTCCAGCTGTGGGGCCCCCAACATCAGAAGTACATGGACCTGCTCGAGTGGGTCCAGAGGAGACCACAAAGATGACAGCGGGGCTGGAGCACCTCCCTTGTGAGGCCAGGCTGAGAGAGTTGGGGTTGTTCAGCCTGGAGGAGAGAAGGCTCCGGGGAGGCCTTATAGCGGCCTCCCAGTGCTTAAAGGGGGTACAGGGAAAGCTGGGGAGGGACTCTTTGTCAGGGGTTGTAGTGATAGGATGAGGGGTAACGGTTTTAAACTGAAAGAGATTTAGATTAGCTATAAGGAAGAAATTCTTCCCTGTGAGGGTGGTGAGACACTGGCCCAGGTTTCCCAGAGCAGGTGTGGCTGCTCCCTCCCTGGAAGGGTTCAAGGCCAGGTTGGATGGGGCTTTGAGCAACCTGGTCTGGTGGAAGGTGTCCCTGCCCAGGGCAGGGGGGGTTGGGTCCCTTTCAACCCAAACCATTCTATGATTCAATGATGGTGAGAGACAAAATGGGAGCTTGAGTGGAGGAAAGATGAGGCGTAGCCTAACTTGAAAGCACTTAATAGCTTTAGTGTAGGGGAGGAAAAAAAACCCAACAACAAAAAACAACAAAACAACAAACTAAAAATCTTAATTTCTCTATATGCTGAAGGGCCTGGTTAGACGAGTTCATAGTTTGTTGCTTTCATATAAGCTGCTCTCATGGACACTTCTGCCCATGTGTCATTTTCAAATGAACTGGATATTCCATCATTTGTCCTAGATCCCTTGGAGAACTGACAAGCAACTTCCAAACCATTAAGACTTCTGTTAGAGAGTGTGGGCAGAATGGGTGCTCTTGTTGGAAGCTGGGGAAGGCAAAGATATCAACCTTTAAGAAAAATAAGGGAAAAGATAAGCCTAGGAGCTTTTTGAGTTTACCTGCCGTTTCAGGGTAAGTGACAGGCAATGTGAATTTAGTTTTTCACAGTATATTTATGATAATTTTTCCTTCTATGAGAGTATAAGAGCTTTTGTCAATCAGGGAGAATTTGTGTAGGTGATAATTCTTTGCTTTAATATGTCTTTTGGCAGCTTCCAGATAAGGCAGGAACCTAGAGTCTAAATAAAACTATTTAACATAAGGATTTAATCTGGTGAAAAGCAGTGCTGAGAAAGTGATATTTAACCAATAGCTTGCTCTTGCCTAGCAGAGTCTGTCAGTTGAGGTGTGCAATCCCTGTCCCAGGTCAATGTTTTTTCATTAATGGTATGGATAAGACTAAGGGTTTGCTCATAGATGTGCTCTGAAGTCCAAGCTGGACAAGGTGACAAGGCTTTGCAAGGTGGAATTGGGATTCAGAGTTATCTTGAAGGGTAAGACAGAGCTGGGATGGAACAAACAGGAGGTAATTTACTAAGGGCAAATGCAGAGGAGGGTTTTGGGAATAGCCAGCTGTGGGAATACACAGTGAAGAACAAAAGGCTAGTTTTGTGAAGGAGCTGATCTACGAAAAAAAACTGAAACAAAACCAACCAAAAAAAAAACCCCAAACATTTGGTGTGGATAAACAGAGAAAAAGTCAACAGCGCACTGGGTTGGCTGCAAAAATATACTGAAAGTTGTATTCAGAAGGAAATTGGTCTGCTTGTGTTGTGGTGTGATGGGTGTAGCTGAAGGACTGTGAGATATGAGTCAGCTGAAGAGAATACAAAGGAAACCAACAAACATTGCTCAAGGTTTAGAAGACATGACTGAAGGGGGAAGCTTTGGGGTGAGAGAGGGAGGGATTTAAAAAAAAAAAATTAAGGAAAATAAATCTGTGTCTGTTTCCTCATGTTTACAGTGGAGAGGGTAGATTACAGCCAGTTGCGTATACAAATGTCGCTTGCAAGAGCAGAGATAATAAATGGTCTCCATGCCTGCTGTGGATAGCAAAACCAGCTTCTGATTTAAATTGCAAAAAAGGAGAGATTTAGTTTAAACATTAGGTGACCTTCTTAGATGCAAGGTTAAGTATAGGATAGATTAACTGGTGGATTCCCAAGCCTTTGAGAAACCAGTTAAAAGTAGGCTGGAAAATTGTCAGTAAGGAGTGATTTAGGTTTGGCTTATGCTACCTGGGACAGAGTGATGGCTTGGGCATTCTCCAAAGGCTCCGCTTCCAACACAAACACAGGGCTTAAGGCCATGCTTTGCCTCAAACTTGCTAAAAGCGTAATAAAAACTCTCAGTGGCAATGGAACTGGGTCATCCACATAAACTCTGTGGTCTGTGCTATAGACAGAGGAAAAGCAAACTGTTTGCAGAGTATTCCCCAGGACTCTGGGATGGATGTGTGTGAGGGCACGTAGGTGCAGATGGACGCCTGTTTGCTTATCACTGATGATGCCTCCTGACCCACGCTCCCCTTGCATGGATCCTCATCGCGGTCACGGTCTGGAGGCTCTGGCTGGCTCTGAGCTGCCAGGTCCTGGGTGGCCACTGAGCACCTGCTGCAGCTCCTGGACCCGGGTGCTTTGGGCAGGAGGTGGGACAGGAGAGCTTCCCAGGGTCCCTTCCGAGCCCAGCTATCCAATGATGCTGTGTGAAGGGAAGGGAGGGCTGCCGCTTGCCTCAGAAGGGACAGCTGCAGTGCTCCGTGCACCAGCAGGCACCATGTTTTTAAGCAAAATGCCTTTCCTCAATAACCAAATCATGTCCTGGAGAGCTGTGCTTCAGAACCAACATGCATGTGGCTTGCAAACAGAGCACATGCTAAATACAACTTAGTATTTAAATAGTGTGAGTGTTGCTGTGACAGATAAGTTGGTAATAATTTGACTGCTCATTTAGGCTTTGAAGAGTCCCTCGCTGGCTGTGGAGCCATTAATGTTATCTCCATGCTGACAACACCTTGAAATCATGACAGTGGTGAGCTTATAAAAGCAGGTGTTAGGAGACCTGATGCTGCATGTGGTGCCGTGGCAGGCCCAGCTCAGTTATGTGTTTGCCTGCTGGCAGCAGGGTCAGTGTAGGTGTAGACCTGAGGAGGAGACGCTGGCCCTGTCCCTTGGACCATGTTAACCAGGCATACACCACGCTAAATGGCTTGAAGCTAAATAGCTTTATAACTTGAGCTTTTTCTTGCTTCTGATGCACATTCATAATCAGCTGTGACTTTTTTTAACTCCCCTGGAGTTAGGAGAAAGGAAATTCAACGGCCCATCTTGTTCATGCAGACCTCCCATGCATCGTCCCCGTGTAATACTTCTCTGGACGGAGATGGGGCTCTGCAGCAGCTACTGCTGCAGCCGGCACGTAGGAGCCACTGTGGGGGATGAAGGGGCCCCATTGTGTGCCCTCGCCGGAGCTGCCCTGTGCTTCCAGCAGTGGGCTTTCTGTGACTGATTGTGAGCGTGCAGGAGGCAGGCTAACTCTAATTTGTCTTCTGTACTGCAGGCAGAGTGTAAAGGGTGGTTGTTTACAAATGAAAAGATAATTTCTGAGTTGGATAAATGGGACACAGAGTGGCTGTGACAGGCTGTAATAGTGGTGGAAGCTGTATTGCCGTCTGCACTCAATACAAGGTTTAAAATGCATGAGGTGGGTGAATTAGAAAGTGAGAAAGACAGCCCAATGGTTTAATATGCATATTTTCATCATCTCTAATACAAATATTATAATCACTTAATGTCATGTTTCCTTAGAGTAGGGACCTGTTTACAAAGCTCTTCTAAAGGAAAGGATATGGATAGAGAAGACTTCAAAATAGAAGTTATCGTTTGGTTTGGCTCTTAGCTTTTTTTTTTTGTGTGCGTGTGTGATTGAATATGACTCTTGGCTGTTTTTTAATCTCCTTCCAGTATATTTATTTTTTTTAACTCTCCAGGATTTCAGGATCTGCCCGTGGAAGGGAACAGGATACCTAGTTGGTTGATGGTGCATTGTCAGTCTGGCATGACGGCTTTCTCTGCTGAGCTAAGATTAGGTTGCTTGTTTCTTGTCAGTGTTGTCCCTGTCACATAATTCCACTCCAGAGATAGAGTCCAGACTGTAACTAAACTTTGTGAATTTGCAAGATCCTGGTCATGCAGTTTCCTGCACTCCTGCAGGAAATCCCATGTTTCTTACCACTTTCCCAGTCCACAGGAGGTGGGGAGCAGCAGCAAGATGATGGTTCAGCTTGCAGTGGTGCGAAGTGTCTGTGTTAGTAGAGCTTTCTGCAGAGTAGGCTTTGGTAAAAAGGCATTAAATTCTTGCCTACACCTACAGTTATAGGCTCACAGAGTCATTTGTAGCTTTCTGGGAGCCATCATGTAACCATCCTCTCTCTGATGTTTTTTCCAGAGGAGAGCTGGGGTTATTTTAAAAGTAAGCTAAACTTGGTCCTGTTTTGGGAGCTTGCATGATTGTCAGCTTTTGTAGCTCAGCAGGGCTTTGTGTTACAATGTGAAGTGATGCTCATGGAATTGCTGGTAGAGGCAGAGGACTGCATTCCTCCAACATATCTTCAGAGGCTGGAAGGCACTGGGATGTCTTTTTTGTTTTGTTTTGTTTTCCCCTCCACTCCAGTCAACACAGGGCTCTGGCAAGTTGCTGAAGGGGAGAATCAAGTTCACCAGTGCTTGTTGAGATAGGAACGGGAGGCGCCTGGCTCTCGGTGTGTGAGAGCACCCTTTGTTTCCTGTCAACTGCTCCAACTGAAAGAACTGAAAACTTTTTTGTTTCTGTCCCAGGTTAATGGAGACGGCAAAAGAAATGACCAGGGAGTCCTTGCCTATCAAATGCCTTGAAGCAGTTATCCTGGGAATGTATCCTTTCACATGCCTGTGACTTTTTCCACTGTGACTCTGTTTAATATATTGCCCTTCGCAGATGGTGTTTGAGTTGGTTGCAGCCAAAGGTGAGTGTCAGCAGCTCAGGGAACTGCCAGGGTATTGATCTACAAACAAGCTGTCAAATTGCTGAGGCTTGTCACTAGGAGTTTGGATGCTGTGTGCCCAGTTCACAAGTGTCATGCTCTGGCCGTGGCGGCTTTGCCTGCTGCCCCGGTAATCTGCATAATGTCAGGATCTGACCCGAAGTGCCCAAATAAGTTCCTGTCTACACAGTCCCTGTTTTCTTTGTTAGTATTTCTCTGACAGTTATTGTCAGAGCTTCGTAACAGATGAGGAACACAGGTTTTGTTCTATGTTTGTCTAATGTTTACGTAGCAAAGTCATGTTAGTTTTTGTGTGTCAGCCCACAGCTGTGCTTTATGCAGAAACATATGTGTATTATAGTTAAACATTTAAGCTTTACCTTAACATAATGCTTGCTTCTTATTCAGTCTCAGAAAAAACCCCAAGAATATTTTCATTTAGAGACTGACTCACTTCTTGACCCTCTTGTGCTTTCACTGATAAATCAACCCGTATCATCCTAAAACACTAGAGGACGGCAAGGCAGGGTTACAGAAATAACTGTATGCTGGATACATCTTGCCACAACTGAGCAAGTTTGATTTAAAACAAAACAATAACTCGACCCAAAATAAATCCCGAAGCAAACCAGCCTCTAGCATCTTTCTGCAGCGTTTTGCAGGCTGCTGCTGCCCCCTCTCGTGGGCTAAGGTGCCGGCAGAGCCTGGCAGGCAGTGCCCGGTGATGGCTTATGAGAAGAGGTGGCTGCTGTGGCGTGGGAAGGGGGTGTGGGCTGAGGAAGTGTCTGGTGTGCGAGACTCGGTGCTGGCTGCGGTCCCCGCTGGGCTTGGGACGGGCTTCAGCCCCCGTCTGAACGGTGGCTCTGGCCAACGGGGCTTCCCCGGCAAATGGGAGCAGGGTCTGCTTGCAGCTGGAGGGGTGGGGGTCCTGGGGGCTTGATGTCAGCAAGAGATTCAAACTGATGCCCTCCAAGAAACGGAAGTGATGTCAGTGGAGCTGTTGTGCTTGCCCTTGTGTCCTGAACATTTGGGGAGCAAAGGGACGGGGGAAATAATCCCCAAGTGGAGTTGATGCTGCTCTGCAGTACTGGGAAGTGTCAGTGTAACTTCTGGTGCTATATTTCTAGCACTGAATTCACTGTTCCACATGCCACGTGAGCAGAGGGTGATTAGTGGAGTACAGATGACCATGATAACCTATAAGTGTTCTTGCTGACCTAAAAGTTTGGACCATTTCATTTTCATTTGGAAAGAGGTTTTTTTCTGCTTGCTTCAGACCTGACTTTTGATCATTTTGATTTTTTTTTTTTGTTTTTATTTGTGGTGAGGGAAGCAAAATAGTTGAAAACTATGGTTTATACTATTTGGTGTCATCTGTTGTTTCTTTGGACTCCTAAAATTTGGATGAATCTTTCTGTCTCCAGATGCTATTTTAAAAATAAAGTTTATGGAAAACTTTTTTTTTTCTTTTTAATTGAGAAGCCTTTGGCAGGGGAGGGTATGGGACCAGACCTGTCTTCCTATGACTTCTACTTGCTGTCTTGGAAGTCTCCTGTGTGAGAACAGGGACTGTCTACTGGGGTGGTGGTATAGTAACAGATGCATTAGAGTTTAAAAAGTCCATGCAATATAACATCTCAGTATTCTGCTTGTGGTGTGGGTACACAAAGAATGTAGCAGTGGTGAGTGGATGGGCCACCTGAACATGCTGGCACAAGGCCTGTGCCTGTGCAGAACCTCATGGTGCCATGCTGCCTATGCACCGTGTGGGTTTTTGGGAGGCATCTCAATAACAGCACGTGGGGAAGTGTGCTGATTTTTCTCAGGCAGGAGATTCTGATCTTCAGCGTTGCCCTCTGGATGAGGACATGTGAGGCCAGCAGCTGCAACTTGCTTTCCAAGATAAGAGATGCTCTTGCCCTCTCCTGAGTGTCAAACCAATGTCTTCACGTGTGCCTGAGCTGAGCATCCCTGTGTGTGTGTGTTAACCTCTGGTTCCCTTTTCTGTCTCTGGAAATAAAGTATTGCTTGTAGTTTGTGTGCTGGCAGGCTTTGCCATGTTGCTTGGATACCGAGAAGAGCACAGCCCACTACAGTGGACCCTTGGTGTGAGCCTTCATTCAAAGGCTGACTCGCAGAGAGCAGCTTAGCAAGATGTCATTTTAATTGAGCTTCTTGCTGGCTTGTGCAATTGCCTTTTACTATGTGACTTCTTATAAAATACTTCTGTAATCCCTCTTGGTGCAGAATTAACTTTTACATAATTGCCTTCGCACTAGATCTTGAAGCGTTTTTATAGGGCAGTGAGTTAAAATACTGAGCTACCCTGTCTGCACGCCCCAAGGGAGCAGCGGCTGTGAGACGACTGAAAGCTCATATAGATCTTCCAATCTTGTTTTGCAGCAGTCTGCACGGCTCTTCTCTGTGTAACTGTCCGAACTGGCTTCGTGTATCTCTGCTTACATGGTCTGCTCATCAGTGCCTAACTAGAGACATTCCTCCTGCTGTCTTCCCCAGGGCATTTCTCAGCTCAGTTGTTAACCAGCTGAGTAATGGTGTGTTTGGCCCATTCTTTCTGAGGGGGGATCCAAACCACTTGTGCTCAAGAATAGTAAACCAAGAAGTGCCAAGGGGATTTTATCCATGCTGTGTTCACTTTATTAAAATGGAGAGAGCAAAATATCAGAGGGGGAGAGGGAAGCAGCATGGTGCATCCATCCTCAGGGAGTCTTGCAGAGAGTATCAGTGTTGGGTGATCATAACTCACTCCCGTTGCCTTCAGTGTGCCTCCCCCAGATTGTGCGAGGTAATGGTCAGACCCATGCAGTATATTAGACCCCCCCATCTGATAATATGATTAGATGAGGAAGAGGAGAGCAGAAGTGCCTCAGGAGGGAGAAATTATTTAAAAGCTTCTGCACTATACCTTCTGTGCATTTAATCAGTGGACGTTGTTTATCACCACTGGAGACTTGGGCCCATCTTGCTCTTCCTGCATGGCAGGTACATCTCTGGGTTGGGAGCGAGTGTTTTCAGTAAGGAAGAGTTTCTTGCAGTCATTGCAGGATATTGATGTCCCTGCAGTGCCCCTCTGCCTTCTGTGTGCTTGTCCACAGCTTGACCCACTCGCTAACTGAAATATGGGCAAGGAGGGTCCTGCTGAATATCTACAGCCCTTCTGTTAGCTGGGAAGATCTGGGAGAGAGTTTTTAATTGCTTCCATCATCATGGTCTAATCTTAAGCTAGTCACCTCAGACTGCAGCCAGGCACTGGGGGACAGGCGCCTCAAAACGAGGGATGCTGGCCTGGCAGTCTCACTTTCAGAGGCTGAGCCAGCTACTTGAGCATTTCCTTTATGGGAACTGGAGCTCCCCAGGGAAACCTGGGCTCTCTGTGTAGATGACATCCAGATGTGGGCTTGGTAGCACTCTGCTTCACAGTAAGCAATCCCAAACCCAGGATCTCAGCACTGTTGGAGCCTGTGGGAAATGCTGTCTGACTGCAGGCCGTGGTTGGAAACTTTGAGTGTTTACTGCTGGTGGTCAGAGGCCCTCTGACATTGCAAGCAGTTGCTTGATTGCTTGGAAAAACTGAAGCCTTATCTAACAGTATTGAAGTGTGAGGTTTATTTTCCTCCTGCTCCACCTCCTCACTAGCGGCTTCAACATTGATAGTGTAAATAAAACTGCCTCTTCACTCCTCTCAGCCTGCTCTCATCCCCTCCAGCTTGCTCGTGCCCTGTGGCACAGCCTGCTGCGGTGGCTCCAGCGCCTGCTCACACTTCCCCAGCCCTTGGGAGCAGTAGGAGAGGAGGGGACCAGACACCCCATGGTTTTCTGTGCTCATTTCAACTAGACTTCAGCAAAAAAAACGCCCTTGCTGGGCTCTAAGACATGAATCACTGCAATGTCACCTTGTCTGAGTTAAATAAGGGAGAATTTCAAACTGGTAAAAGAACGAATTGATTAGCACAAGCAGTGCAATGAGCGCTTGTTTGCTCAATATTGGGCTCACCTGGCTGTCCCTTTTTTGTCTGGGGTTTGCAAGGCAGAGTGGGACTTGCAGCAGAGACACCAGAAGATGTCAGGCGTGATGCTGGGTCTTCCTGCAGCTGGAGCAGAAGCACTTGGGAGTCTGGGCACCGGGACAGCTGGGTGCTTAAACCTGCTTGGGCATCAGCATTGGTGGGCTGCTCTGGTCAAACAATTGATCCTGACACTTCTGTCAGAAACCTCAGCATGTCGTGGTTGGTTTCAGGTGCTGCATGCTCCCCACAGGGCTTTGGTGTGCTGTCTTACATTTGGGCTTTTTTCCTTCAGGGCTCTAAGGAGGAGGGTCTCCCCATGTCCCCTGCCCCTGGGGGTGTCTGTGGGCCGGGGTCGCTGTTGGTGCTGCGGGGGGGGGGGCACGGTGCGGAGATGGTGGTCGTCTCCTCGCCTCCCACTAGTCCACCCCTTGCACGGTTGCTGCCTGTCAGCTTGGCAAAGGCACCAGGTTTTTTTCCCCAAGCTAAACTGCTACCGAAGCTGGTTTAGGCGCAGGTGGGCTGAGGTCCTCACAGTGGGTCCCCTCACCTCCCACACAGCTGGCTGTGGTTCCTAGCAGCGATAGGAAAATTGCTGGTAGCAAGTAGCTCAAGCTCACCTAGCCATGGGCAGCTAGCTGCTGTCTGGTGGGTGCTGTCAGCTGCTAAGACTTATTTTCAGAAATGTTCAAAGTCTGGGGCCATAGTACTGGCACATGGAAAGATCTTGCTCTGATTATTTATTTCTAAGGAAGAAAAAAAGTCAAGAAAGAACATTTTTTTCTAGAAGTTGCTGCTGGCAAATAAACAAGGTAAAGGGCTTCGTCGCACTTCTGGCTGGGAACTGCTCTGTGCTCTGCAGTGGGGGCACCAGTGTAGGGAAGGGTCTGTACTGGAGGGGGAGATGCTGGGACTTTTGTGAGAGCTTTTTGATACTAGAGCTCACCAAAAGGTGGAGAAAAAACCCAACAACAACAAAAACCACAAAAAAAACCCCCAAACAAAACAAAACAAAAAACAAACAAAACCCAACAAATTAAGCCCCAAACCACATAAGGGAATTGGTTGAGTCATTGTGTGAGTACGCGGACTTAAAGAAAACCCATCCAGTTGTTTTCTGCTCCAGAGTTTTAAAACTAAGAGTTTGGCTCAGGTAACATCTCAACTAATTCTTCCCTTGTCATTTGAACTGACCAAGGTTGCTACTCCTCATTTGCCTCACTGCTCAAGAACATACAGGTGGTGGCCAGAGGGCAGGTTTTGTGTCTCAGGTCTTGCTTGTATTTGAGTCTGGGAACTGACTGTCTCTCAAGTGTCCAAGCTGGGTTGTGCATGTGCTTGGGTGGTGAAAGCAATGGGACTGTGGGCAGCACACCAACCTGTGGCTCAGAGGACGGTGTGCTTGTGTCGACTTGCAGATCCATAGGAGTTGCATGCTGACTTGGAGAATCTGGCCCTTTCTGCATGTTGTATGCTTTGGGCCCAATTCTTCACACACACTTTGACCCAAATTTGTCTCTTTCAAAATCAGCCTCCTGGGGGTAGAGAGGAGAATTCATCGGTTGCCTGATACATGCAGCCCTGGCCGGCAGGCATTAGTGTCTCTGTGGGGTGGAAGAAATTGAGGTTGAAGGACTAGTATGAGGCCGTGGAAGAGCTGAGAGTCAGGCTGGGCAGTGTTTGGGAATCTCTGAGGGATGGGGACATGCTGTATCAACTTATTCCCGTGGGACCCTGGCAGAGCTCCAGGTGTTGGCCTTGTGCCTTTTCTGGGTGTGGGGGAGGAGGGAGGGGTATTGGGGCAGGAGCTGGCCAGCCAGAAGATTAGTGTCCCTCTTGTGTGATCTCCAAGGAGATCAGCAGCCCTAAGAGCTGTTTTTCTGCTGCTTTGATTTACATGAAGACCTGGGATCGGGGGGCCGCCGAGCTTTCGTCACAGCTGCTTCTGCCCTCTCCTGCTCTGCGCTGCTTCTCTATTGTGGCACATAATTTGCTCCCTTACTCTCCGTCCTGCAGTTGCAGTCCCAGCTCAAAAGTGTGATTACAGCTGCGGCATTGCTGTGTCGTTGCCTTTTGTTTGCCACAATACAGCTCTCCTTGGGCAGAGCAGAAAGGAAAAGAAATAATAATGATGCATGGATGGAGGGGAAGATCTGACGCGCTTTTCCAGCCCATTTGCTGTATATTTCATCTCGGGTGGGGACTCTCATTAACTAGGCACTCAGCAGAAGCAACCTGTACCTAAAGGTTAATTTCCGCAGCGGTTGTTGCTGGGTTATTTGATGGTGGGTAATTTCCATCCTCAAAAGATCCTTTTACTCCTACCTAGTATTTAATGAGATTAAATTGCAACTTCTCTGAGACCTCGTGGCAGAAGTGTGTATGTGTGGCAGGTGGCCACCAAAGCTTTGTGTGGACTTAATAGAAAGGCACTGGGGGAGCAGAGAGAAAACCCTTTCATAATGAGGGGGAAAAATAGTGGCAATGTTTGAAAGCTTCATAGGTGTTAATAAAAGATACTGCTTTTTCAGTTACACAGAATGATAAATACAATGGGCTTCTGCAAGAATCTGTCTGTAGGACACAAATTATTGTAGCATAACTTTGATGTACACAGGATGCTCCTTTTAAGGCGTGGAGCAAGGTGACCTTTTAAATGAGGTGACTGTGGGCTGAGTCTGCCAGTTGATATAACATCGCTGGGCCCCATTCTGACCTTGCAGTGTATTTATAACCTTTAATTCTACTGATGGTGTGGGGTGTTTCTTGGAGGAGCTAGTCCTAATGCAACAGCGATCCAGCGAGACCAGGGAAGGCAATAGAGCTCTTTTCTGTTCCGTGTCGGTGTAGCTGGCATCGGGGTGAGCTTTGCCAGTTGCTGCAGGTTGTTTGTGTTCGGTGTAGGTGGGGCAGAGGTGGGTGCACGAGCCGTGGCCGGGCGAGGGGTCATGTGTGCAGGAGGCAGATCTGCACTCTGCTTCGCACGCTCGTCCAGACTTGCTGCTGTACCGATCCTGAGGTGCTCCAGGAGCTGGGCTCATGGTGTTGTCTGTTCCTATACCTTCTAATATGTTTTCTTCAGACTGCTAAAGCTGATGACACCTAGCACTGAACGCAGTTAAATACGTTTGACATTGAACCAAAAAGCTTCCCTGTGGCTGTTCTGAAAGATCTTTGCCAGTGTGTTTTTCTTGCTTTTTATTTGTACAGAGGTTTAACTGCTTGCTCTTGACCTCAGATTCTGGGCAGTTCCTGGATCTCTTACTAGTTGATTTCTGTGTTCGCCTGGAGGGCAAAAGATTGAATATGTGGAATTCAACAAGCATCAGGTGGGTGAAATACCCCCTTGAGAAAATGCTTTAGAGAGAGATGAGAGCCGCTGGGTGCTTTTCCTGCATCCCTGTAGGGATGAGAGGTGAAATGTGGGGTGGGGGTCAGCATCCCGGATAGTCGCACTGGTGGTGAGGTGGGGTGTCAGGCTGGGCAGAACCAGAACTGAGCCCTAATTGTGTTTCTCAGTATTGGTTCAAAGGCTTTTTGTGGTCTCAGTTTTCCAGCAGCTGTTGGGCAGCCGTGCTGTGCAGACAGGGGAGGAAGGCCGCCTGCACTATACTACTCCAGGGCATCTCAGCTATGCAGTGGCTCTTCTTTCGCTGCAGTCAAAGACCTCCTGTTTGGGCATGGGGTACGGGGAAGGAGGGCATGCTGGAGATTCCCAGAGCAGGACCCTGGTCTGAGCCAGTTCTTGCCGATCCCACTCCTCCGTTCTTCAGGCTGCCCCGGCGCTATCCCGGCAGTGCTGCCCCTTTGGCCAGCGCGCTTCACAGCAGAACCGCCCTGCCCGACTGCCTCGGCCATGTCTGCCTCCGAGGATGGCTCCAGGGTTACAGCAGGCGTCTCTGGCTGGAGTAACCCCAGGCTGGAGCGTCTTACTGCGCCAGCCTTTTCTGGTCATCCCTCCTCCATTCCCCAGGCGTGGGTGGGGGTCTCGGCTGCAGTGGGGAAGGGCGCCTGCTGTCCCAGGGGCCGGGTGTCAGCACGTGGAGCCAGGGTGGGTTTCAGCTGCCCGGGGATTAGCAGCAGGGAGCGGCGTGCCGCGTAGGTGCTGACGCAAACCCGCATGCATGAGGGAATCTTAGTCTCTCCTCCTCTTGGCACAGGCCAGCAGCCTCCCGAGAAGATGACCGGGGACCTGCGCGTAGTTCCCCTCTGAGATCACCTACTACGCTGTTACGGAGCTTGGCCCTGGTCTTTGCACGTGATGCATTTGAAGTGTCAAGTCAGTGATTCAGGGAATATGTTTTGCTCTTTAAAAGTGTTTGTTCCTGACCATGTCTCTGCTTATTTAATTAATTATCCGCCTGGGAGCTTGACTTTGTTCATCTCAGCAATGCTCTACAAGAGTAACATGCAAAAGCACTCTTGTATGAGGAGTGGCCATGCCGATGGCCAGTCTACAGATGGAAAGGCAGACTGTCACCCTGGAGAGGAATAAATTCAGATTTTTTGTACTGTTTGAAGATGTGGGAAAATGAAGATCAGTAATCTGAGTCGTACCAAGCTCCAGCATGAAGTGGAGGGAAACACTATTCCCTTTTGGGAGCATGGGAATTCCATGTTGGTATCAAATGGAGGTGTTCCCACAGATCTGGGGAGAGTGGTCTCTCTTCTGACATGCTGACCCGAACACTGTTGAGTTTCTTTTCCTTCTCCCCAAGTGTGGTTAAGAGTCAGGCCCTTCCCTGCCTGAACTATTGCATCTTATTCTCCAAGCAGTGAAATGGGCTTTGGCAGCATTGACTGTTTCTGGGGCACAGTGAGAATAAATTTGTGTTTTCAAGAAAGCACTTGCCCTGACAGTTAAAAAAAAACCTACTAAAGATGTCTTCCAGTTGTAATTGTGCGTGCTCCCTTCCTAGCGCCATTGTTGCCTTGACACAGTGCACACCAGCTACTTAACGAACGGGCAGCCCTCTGTGGAACGATTCCCCATCAGCTTTAAAACCCACTTCTCAGGGAACTATTTTCATCATGTGGTGCTTGGGATTTACTGCAACGGCCGGTACGGCTCGCTGGGCATGAGCAGACGATCAGATCTGATGGACAAACCTCTAACTTACCGAACTCTGAGCGACCTCATCTTTGAATTTGAAGACTCCTATAAAAAGTACTTGCATTCAGTCAAAAAAGTAAAAATTGGATTATATGTCCCGCACGAGCCGCACAGCTTTCAGCCCATTGAGTGGAAACAGCTGGTCCTCAATGTATCCAAAATGATGCGCACAGAAGTCAGGAAGGAGCTGGAGAAGTTTGCCAGGGATATGAGGATGAAGGTAGGTCCGCGCGCCTGGGTGGTGGACCTTGTCCCATCCTGCAGAGATTGGTCTTGCTCTATGTCAGCAGACTGACCCTGGCCTGAGATTAAGGTGGTATTGGGTGGGCTGAGGGTGTCCTTACATCCGTCTCGATGATTCTCCCACAGGGTTTGGTGTATTTTCAAGCCCTTATAGCTGTTTTTTTAAGTTCAAAGATCTCCCCTTCAGCCTGGGAAACACTTGAACCCATACTCATCCCTGGCCATCAAGGGGCCATTGCCCAGTTTGCTTTTCTGACCGACTGTGGAAGAAGGTGGCTGGGTGGAACCAGCAGGGCTGGGGCTGGTGGGGTGGGTGGCCTCTGTTCTTTGCACCGTGGCAAGGGGGCCCATGAGACAGCCATGTCAGTGGTTGCTTCTCCTTGCAGGGCATGCCAGTGGGCTTGCCCCGCGCCGCCTTATATCCACCACCCTCAGCTAAATCACAAAGTAGGTTACACGGGAAGGGCGAGGAAAGCGAGTCCCTGCCAGGCTGGTGCTGCCTTGCTGGTTGGTCGGGCTGATGAGCCTGGAGGGAAACGACACGGCGACAGAGCAGGCTGCCAAGGGGCTGGAGGGTTTGGCTGCCCTTGGGGATGAGGGGTGTCCCTGACCGTGCCTCTGGGGCTGGCGTGGGCAAGGAGGAGCTGGTCGTGGTCACGGTGGAAGGGGATTTGGTGCCTTTCCAGCCTGCCGCTGGCAGCGGGAACAGAGCAGGTGTGTTGCTAAGATTGGGCCTGGCTCTCGGGGAGAGGCATGCGCCATCGCATCCAAGTTATTCTGGGTTCCTGTCCTCTGCCCTGCTGAGGAATGGCTCCTACGTAGCAGCCGTGTGCATTTTTGGCTGAAGCACTTGTCCCCTCGCCCTGACCTTGGAGTGAGTGTCACCAGAGGCATTGTAGCCCCTATGTCCTGCTGCCACCTCTCCTGCCCTGCCAAGGAGTTTTGAGGGCCAGCTTGTACCACACTGTCACCTTAAGCACATGTGCTTGATTCCAGATGTAAGGAAGTCGGTTTTCCCCTTCTCTATTCATGTGCTTTTAATACCATCTAGAGAGCAAACAGCTGAAGCAGCCTCTAGTTGAAGAAGTCCATATGGGTGGATGAATTACTGAACTTGGTACTTGCTTTTGATAGAGGGAGCAGCTCTGTGTGTGGGCTGAGCTGTGACATTTGGTCCAGTCCTTCTAAGTGCCTCAGAGCCAGGACCACAGCCCTGAACCCTTGAAGGCTAAAGGCCCTGCCTCTGGCTCTTCCCTTGAGTTAATGCAGAATTTGAGCCACTTAATTCAGAGGGCTCCCATTGTGAGGGGGCTGACTTTGGAGGATCAGGTCTTAAAAATAGGCTGGAGTGTGAGTGTCGTACTGATGGCTTTCTGAGGAGGGCCTGGGGGACGTGGGCAAGTTCGAGACCTACTGAAAAGTCCCACTGTCACAGTGTTCAAATGCCAGCCTGAGCAATGATTGCTTCTGTGGGGAGGAAGATTTGGCTGTATGAGTTTCCTTCAGCTGAGGCTCAAAGCTGCTTTTCTTATCCCTTGCTGTTGCCAGCTCTGAAGAAAGCTGTGAATGAGACCTTTTTTTTTTTTTCAGTGTTTAGATGGGAACTGAATTGGTGACACCAATTTTTGCTGGGGGCCCCTGAACAGCTATCACATGATAACAGCTTTGGGCTCCTCTCAACCTGGGCAGGGTTTGAATAGGCCCCAAGGGACTGACAGCTCTTTGTGTGCTGTCCCCGCTACTGTATGAGGCCCTTTATTAGTTTTGTTTTTTATTTTTGGTGAATCATTGCCTTTATTGAATGCCTTTTCCTTCCCTCCCCCATCTCTTGCAGATTCTGAAACCCTCAAGTGCTCACTCTCCAATGAAAGAGAGATCACGGGGTAAGTCGTTGTCCCCTCGCCGAAGGCAAGCCAGCCCTCAGAGACGGGTGTGCAGAAGAGACAAATCGTGAGTATTCCTGCTGCCATCCCTGACGAGTCAGAAATGGAGGGGGATGACATATTGTTTTGCTGTACAAAACATGTATGCGTTCATTGCCATATGTAGAAAAACTGCACCAGGTATCTTGGTTACCAGAGAGGCTCCAGAAGCTGCCGGTACTGCTGGTGTCCTGGCACTGCTGTGCTTACTGCTGCCCGATGGCCCCTCTGGGCAGCGTCCTCGGAGGCCCCGATGGCCTTTGCTTCTTTTAATTCTATGAGCTGTTGGATGACTGTGAAAGGGCAAGTGTGGGTTTTGTCTTTTGTTTTTTTTCAGTCTTTACGCAGTTCACTTTCTGGAGAAGGGAACCCAGCCTGGTGTGCAGGGGACCTGTACAGCAGGGAAAGTAGTTTGATCACATTGAAGGGTGTTCAGGCATCAGTATTAAAAATGGGAGGATTTAATCTGCTGTTGGTGGTGGGGTGCCCTGCTGTCATGGTCACGAAGACAGAAACTGCATTCTCTGTGATGAGCCTTTGTGTGGAGCTGTTGTGATGAGACCGCTTTTCGCTGAGGGCTGTCCGACTTAGAGGGATGGTGAAAAAGTAAATTTTTTTCTCTTCTTGCCAAAGCAGAAACATCACTTGCATTGTATTCTTTGATTTTAATCAGCTTAAAAAACCCAGACTACTTCTCTCGTGTTGTAGCTAATTGTTTTTTGGTTTTTTTTAACTGTGTGTGGGAGGATGGACTAATTGCATGTGATACCTCTAAATGGATAAAACTGAGCTTCCAGATCACAGGCCTTTTACAGCCACTGGCAATTCAGAATCCCATACCTTAGATGTGGAAGAGTTGAGTTTTAGCTGTACTACTTCATGCCAGGAAGCTGACAACTGTGAAAGCCTATATGTAACCTAGACTAGTCACTTATTTATGATCATCGCTTTTTAAATAGGCTCCCAGACTACTGTCTCAGCACTTATTTATTTATTTTAAAGCAGCTAACAAAGACATTAGGCTAACCTTCTAAAGATAACTTCAAGATACTTTAGCAGCAGATGATTTCACATCAGGCTTTTATTTTTACATGTGAATTCACAGTCAGTCTATGATGCTGTACTTCGGGCTTCGTCACTGAGAGCTCCTTGTTTAGTGCATGGATAATTATAGTTCTAATGGGTTCAGCTGCTCCAGGCTTCTTCAGCACCTAGATTTGCTTTGAGGGATGGTTTCTGATAGTGCTTCTGCAGTTGCTGGAATGGATGACGCATGTCTGGAGAGGAGTGAGTCTTGCTTGGTTTGGAGACTGTCCAGCTGGGCTGGTTTCCTGAGAGAGCTGCTGGGCACGTGGCTGCTCTGCAGCGGCCGATTCCTCTTTGGCAGCTTCGCTTTCCCAGGACAGAAAGACAGGGGAGGTACTGATGGCCTTGCAGTGGCTTCAGCACCTGTTACCTGCTCAGTAGTTCTGCTGTGTTGCTCTGTATTGACTGAATCATATATTATTCCAAAGTAAACCCTGGGTCACCATGATGCAAGATCCAGGACCCAGCTATAGCATGATGTGGGCACCAGGAGACCGAGAGCAGACTCCACGTATGAGACCTTAATCTCTGCTTTGGCAAAGGGTGTTGCAGCATCTCAGAGTGGGTGGGAGCTCTTGCAGCTCATGGTTTGTGGTTGCGTGACAGCCCTGCGGGTCCTGCACAGCCACCTTGCAAACCTGGCTGGTACGTTTGGAAGGAAAAGGGGAGTGAAGGAGATTTTGGCAGGTCAGGGGCCCTTGAGCAGGATCGAGAGGCTACTCTCTGTTAGAAGAGCGATGCCAGAGAGAACAGCTGGGTTCCTGATGTTAAAATGATATTTCTGTGCAGTGGTGCTGGTGGCTCGAAGGCTGGCTGTGCCTTTTGCCCCAGTGGGAGTGATGCTGCAAAGTAATCTGCTGCCGTAGGGAGTTCCCTTCTGGTGATAAAACCCTTTCATTTCCAAAGTGGAGATGTGCTGGTTTCTGCAAGGGGAGGTCTCTGAGACCTGACTGGGGAATGGCATGCCCTCATCAGGGTGACATGTACAGCGGTTGAAGTGGGGCAAGAAATACAAGAAAGGAAATGGGGTGTTTTCTTCTGCATGTTGATGGATCTCTGAGAACCTAGTTGCAGTGAGAGGCCTTTGTGCTACACACAGAAGAGGAAAGACCTTCAGGCTTGCTAGGCTTTAGGCTGACATCCTAGCTAAAGAATGGCCATGCTTATCAACACTGTGTTTTGTTTCTTTGTGGATCTCTTACTCACATGCTGTAATTACAGCTTTTTAGATCTTGCAGGGGAGGGGGAGAGAAATATTTTGCTCTAGCGTGAGCTGGCAGGGGCTGAATAACACATTTCGTTTGAGAGGCTTCACCTGCTGATGACAAGCTGTTATTACAGCCTGGGTTTTGTCAACAATAAAATTATATGGGCCTGCTGGGAGAAATCTCCTGGTGAAAAATCTGTGAACTGGAATATATTTGCTGTATTGTTTCTGAAGGACAAAGGCAGGAATGGTGCTTAAGGGCAGAATTGGATTTTACAGCCTCAACCCTTTAACTTCTCATCCTGATTCTTTACTAGTTTGTTAGGTAAATGCCAGTGGTGGCTGCTAGCAAGCCCACAATAGTGTCTTAGCCTGGAAATACAGCTACAAGGCAGATAGGGTACCCTGCCAGACATGAGTGGCAATGTGATAAGCAGTATGTGCCTGTCTGGGAGACTGGTGTGTAGTTAAATTGCGTCTCATTAACTGAGCTATGTAACAGTCTCTGTGCTCTTAGCCCACAGCTGGTGTGATCCTGCTAAGGGTGGCCAGCAGTCAGGGTGAATAAAGAAGATCTAGGGTGGTGTGAATCTTCCTGGTAAGTCTGAAGCTTTACTTGTCCATCCTCTAAAGTCCCATAGGAGGAGGCTGCAGAAAATTGCAAGCCACCGTGCTGGAACGGGCAATGCAGTGTTTCATCCTCAACAGAAGTGCTTGGAGCTGGAGGGCTTTGGGAGAATTGATATGAGTTTGGAAGGGAGTGTTGTGCAGCAGCCTGAAGCAATCTGTGCTCTTAAGTGTCAGTTTACCAGATCCATTTCCTTTTAATTTCATTATTGAGGTTTAACACCACTGACCTTGTGTGCTTCTGGCCTAATTTAGCTGTTGAAAGGAAAATTCTCTTAGTCCGTTATTTTAGGATGTGCAAGGGGGCAGGATTATATTAGGATATGCAAAATCAGGCAGATCCAATGTAGGTAACTCACGAATACTGTGTACCCAGCAGCTAGGCACAGCTCCTTCACCCGCTCATCGTCACGGCGCTTCAGATGGGAGGTGCGGTCCGATGGGCCAGTACAGCACAGGTCCCTCGCTTCAGAGGGCATGTTTGGCTCCAGGTCATTTGCCAGCCAAGAAGAAGAGGGGCTGCGGTGCTTCTGCTCCAGCAAAACCTTGCCTTTTCCTAAAACCTTAGAGACAACAGTCTGTTTGTAGCTACAGGCTAAAGAATTGTCATGGAGTGGAAATGGGCGTGTCGCCATGGGTGTGCTGTGACTCCCCATCTCTCTTGGATAATCAGGGAAGGTCGAACCGTCCAGGCGTGCTTTGATTAAAACCATATTCTGGCTTTAAATAAAGGGAGAGAGGGAGAAAAGGGTGGGAAAGGAAGAGGGATCCCTAAATTAGAGGGAGGGAGGGAGGAAGGATGCTTGAAATTTCATACAGTGCATCTCTTGCTGGTCTCCAACTCCTACACAAGCTCTGAGGGATGCAGCTTGTTTTCTGGCTAGTCAAATCCCATCTGCTCCAAAGGAGTAAAGTGGAAAAATCCAAACTATGTTACAGTGATTTCTTCAGGTGTGATCTCTTCCTGCAAGTGATAAGAGACCAGTGAAGACGCCTTCACTTCTGTGAAGTATTTACAAACTGAGACAAATGCGAGGCTGGCTCTAGGGCAGTACTGCAAAGAGGACAATGGGGTTATTAATAGGGGTGTTTGGATAAGTGGCAAAAAAACCAGGTTGGATTCAATGTGTGACTAGGCAGAAGAGCATTAGTTGTCCTTAGCAATGTCCCCAGCTCTCGTTTATAACAAAATGCTGTGCCAGTTCTCAGCAGAGATCCGGCGCGGCCGTGCGGGCTGCCCAGTGCGGCGGGGGCGGCGAGGGGGCGGCGAGGGCCAGCCTTGCCTGCGCAAACTGGCGCGGGGCGGCTGCCACGTAGCCAGCAAAGGGTGGGCACAAGGGCTGGAAACCAGGTCCGAGGAGCTGTAGGAAAGCACTGGAGCTGCTACTCTGCCTCACATTGTACTACTCCGGCTGTCGCTGTGTTTTTGCCTTGAGGTGGACGTGGTATAGAGCCTACTAGGAGGAACATGTGTTTTAAACAATGTCTTTCTTTAGAAAAGCAAACATAGTGTGAGAACAGCTAAGAGCCTGGAATAAGCTCTCAGACTAGACACCTCCACAGAGTATAAATCCCCAGGATTGTTTCAGTTTGACAACCTTGTTGCAGGAGCTCTTCCGTCGCTTGTTAAACAGGGAGAGACCGAGTGCTCCATCTCAAGGTTTCATTTGGTTCAGGTCGTTCATATATGTAACTGACCTAACAGCATACATGTATGTGTGCCTCCTCAAGTGCGTGGCTGGACTCTCTCAGAATATAAGATGCCTGGAGACTGAAGGGAGTTCAATCTTGTGCTTTCTATTTGGGGAGCTCTAGCCCTTCACACAGACCTTGCCAAAAGGAAAGGGCAGGTTCAGAGAGACAATATGCTGTGGCCATGGGAGGAGCCTTGCCTGTTTGCTCTCAGCTGTTTTCACTTTACTCTAAAAGCCGGAGTCCTGCTCTGGGGTAGATCATGGGAGGGATATGTCTAGTCTTAGCTACTCCTTGAGGACCCTCTCTGAAGTCGGGAGGAGTGGCATGCCCCCAGGCTCAGATCATGGACCCCAGGATGGAACAACTTGTTCTTCACTGGTGCTTGGCTTCAGAGGCAGCCCACACAAGTAGCTCGCTCACACTAGTTCAAGTGACAAATTCAGCAGGATCGTGCTTATGATGAGAAAATTAGATTCAGTCAGTAAACTTGCTGATTTGCCAGCTGCCCTCTCCTCTGCTGCACGGCACTGCGGGATCGCTGCTGAGCCCTTCCCTCTTCCCTCCTCTGCCCGCAGGCCGGCGGTGGTGGACAAGAAAGGAGACCTGGCTACGCTCAACGAGGTAGGCTACCAGCTCCGCATCTAACAAAGCCATATGCCGGACAGAGGGCTTCCCTGGTGCTTCCTGCTGCACTTTACCTGCACTCCGTTGGAAGGAAAAAGGAATGGGACTATTTATGAACTTGTGGACTCTTACAATAGAAGTTTTACCTAGGAAACAGAAGGGGGGAATTTTTTTTTTTGGTGGCAATATTTATTTGGTTTCAATTTATAGAAAAGGCATCAGCGAAAAGAACCGAAAATTGAGTTTGCCAGGATGTGAGATTTTTTTTTTTTGTTTTCCCTCCATCGTGTAGCAGGTGACTCCAGTGGTGTGAGAGTTTCTTCAAACTTCCCTGTGCAAATATTAATTGAATTTGCGCATTGTGCAGGGTAATAGCATTGGGATAACTGAGAAATCACCTTCTTAGTGTTAAGATGTGCTGAGGTGCAGTGCAGTTAAAAAAAAAATCATATTCAGTATTAATATTTAATTCAGCAATAAGAACAAGCAGTGCAGAAGTGGCATAAGTTTTTAAAGTATCAACATTACCTCACTAAACTTAACAGATATGCAAAACTGTCAGTATTATTGTTTTGTAACTAATTTGTACTGTTTCCCAGCATTTCTGGTAGTATTAAAACAGCACTGGATGCTTTACTGCCACCTGTATTATTATTCTGTGCATGTTGCTGAAAGATGTTAAGTAATAGTAATATACAAGTGTATTCTTAAACACTGACATTGTATTGGGCAAGCTATGAGGTTTGGGGTTTTTAAAATTATGATTGAATAATGAATTTTTAAACTTTCCTATTTTTTTTATACTTTGTCACAAGCTTTTAGTCTTTCCGGACTACACTGCTGAAGCACAAAATGTAGAGATTGCTGTTTTGTAGAGTTAAGTGTTCACCTATTAGTCTGTTTTTCTCCTGTATGTTCCTGGAATAATGGAAAAAATGTCAGAATTGCTAACCTGAGTCTATATCCTTTTCTTTCAGCATTTGCGTGTAACTTTGAACCTTGTATTTGAAAGGCTGAGCAGTCTAAGATGGTGTTGCCTTGACATCTTATATTAAGATCAGACATTGCAGGCTGAAGTTAACCTTCTGCCATGCTGCTCTAGGGAGTTTTTCCTGTATGTGTTGTAGGAACAGCTGCTTAGTCAGACCTGAATAAGGAAGCTCGTATGTCTGAAATAGCTGAAAATTCAAGCTTGTCTGCTTCCTCCCTACTCAGTCCTTTTGTTCTAAGACGTGGCTAAGGACCTGTGATGGACAGCAGTGTTCTCAAGTGACGCGGTAAGACTTTCCTTGGGGTCTGCCCTTTGTGTCAGTGGAAGCATTTTTGTGCTGCATTCCTGAAAATATTTCATTAGGTGCCTAAATAGAAACTGGATTATTGTACAAGTCCAGCCTCTACCCTTTGTGCTGTGCTTATAGATGATACTGCCATGAGACTTGTGTACCTCCCCTCCTGGGCAATTACTTTTTTGGGATCTTGCTGAAGATGGGGCATTGTAACACAGTGACAGTAACACCCACTTGGACTGAATGGTTTAAGCTCCTGGAGCTCTTACTGACAGCAACCAGGAACTGAACGGATACAGGAGGAGATGACTGCTTGTACACAGACCTCGTTGCTCAAAAAGTCAATGAATCTCACCTACCTAGGACAGGAAGACAACACTGAGACCCAGCAATCTTCTACAACCAGTGAATGGCTTTCTACTACTTAAGACTTCATAAGGTCTAGAAAGAAGACTTTTTAAATGTATTACATGTCTTTATACAAGATTACTGTATCAATTACAGGGAGGCCTTTCCCATCCCTCTTTCTGAAAACTTTTCCACTTGTGTGTTTACAGTAGGATTTGTTTTTTGGTTCAGGAGTGAAATTGAAGGGAGGGAAATACTCTTTTGGTAGAAATTCTTGTGAAATTGGACAGCTGCGAAGTTTTGGTTTTAAACTTGCTGCTTAGTATCTTTTGACCTAAACACTTTCTTTCCTGTATCCCTTAGATTTCTTATGGGTAAAATGAAGTGAAAAACTTACTTTGATATCGTATAGCACAAGGCTATCTGGTATGTTGCAAGTTTTTGTTTTTAATGAAACCATGGTTTACTTCAAGTAATGGTGGTTGGTATACAGTTTTTACCATTGTCCAGCATAATTTGAGTTACTTTCTCTTAATGTCCAACTTAAACTGAAACTTTTTAATGCTGTAGAGGTGTGTGACAAATTGGTTTTGGTTATTGTTTTGAAATTCAGCTGAAATATTCTCTTGAAACTTGCTTATGGTGGCATTTGTTTTAAGTGTGGTTCTAGTGACTTCTTACTGCAAAGTGGTCGAATAGTGTAGAAAACATGCATGGTGTTTTTTTAATCACTTGTATGTTTATGCACAGCATGAAGCTTCAATAAAAATATGGTAGTCTTTTTAATTAGGGTTATTTTTATGTCCTGTCCATGTTTCTATTCCAGAAAAGATCTAAGTCATTTACAAAATCAAGACAGGCCAAAAAAAATAGGCAGATTCTGAGAAGATTGTTAAATACCTACCTTATTTATTACTTTACAAAGAAAGCATTGAACATAAAGCCCTTAAGCCCACCCTATAGGTAACCGTTAATGGGTTATACAAAGACAGACTGAAGCAAGTCTTTAAACCCTGAAAATACATTGTTATGGAACAATAATCACCCTTGAACTAGCTGCCCTGATGACTGCATGCTGTCAAACAGCTTCTGCTTTTTTCTTTCAGAAGTACCTTGGCCCTTTCCCCATGCTATGGTCATCAAAATGGGGGAAAACACTTGAGGTGACAGTTTTTCTTTTTGTAAGGGAAAGCAAATTATTATAATAGTCCTTTAATAATAACATACACTAATGAAGAGGAACAAATACAGCTTACTGCCTTAATGTTTTCCTGTGGTTCCCAGTGAGGTGGGGGTATGTTTTTCAGAAGGCCATTTTTGCCATTTTGAAATGTCCGAGCAACACACAATATCTGAATACAAGCCAACTATGGGAACCATTGATCAGCAAGTCCAAAGTGTTTGCTTTTAAATTAGCATGAAACTTAAGATTTAAACCAGCACTGTAAATAACTAGGTGTTGGGCCTGGCCTCAGTAAGTGCTGCTCTGTGCAGAAGAGAATGGAACCATTGTGAACCCTCTGCTTTAGAGATGAGGCTTTAGACAAGCCTGAAAAGTGATGCTCAACTTAAGGCTTCTTCTAAGTAGCAGAACTTCTCCATACCCACCTTCCCCTGCTGAGCAGTCTCTTTGCCTTTTCTCTCAACCCAGACTCCATGGGTTGCTACAGCTGAACAGTGTTTTTAGCTGTAACCAGTATCTACCAGACAGGTGTTGCAGCTAGTTAAGTATGTTTGTTTGCACCTATCAGCTCCAGCTTTGAGAATTTCTGATTAAGTATCTGAATCAAAGCCAGTGTTGAATAGGCAGTCATCTACAGCATTAACTTGACAGTTAACAGTAAGTAGAGGAAAGCTCCTCAGCCACAGTTACTTATGAGAAAAACATCCCCCTTCGAAATTCCAAGTAATTTAAGCTGAATGCTTTGGTAGGTAGTCATATTTTTCAATGTAACACTGAAGTACTTCTTCATTTCAACTGGTTTTGTGATTACAACACCACTGTACTTCCCGCATTATTCTCAAAGTGCAAAGTAATTGCAGTTGCAATTTCTGCAGTCAGGAAAAGGAAACCCAGATGAAGATTCCAAAAATAAGGTTGGAGAAGAATAAACAAGTGTTTCTGAGAGACAAATGCATCTGAGTGTGATTTCAGGAATATGGTTGCAGGTTTTCCAGCACTACACTGAAAGATAATTCTCTAAGTGTTACTTTTAATTAAGTCAGTTTTACATACATACCCATATGTAGTTTGACCAAGTTACAAGACTTGTTTCCAGCCTCACTGGCTCCTGCAAGCTTCCTATTCAGGCAGTCTTTCATTTTTAATTTTGTAAATCCTATTTTGCACAGAATGTTTATCAGTGCATTATGAGAGTAAATATAAAATCTTGATCATTTAACGCCTCAGGATCTGTCATTTCAATATACAACCAGATGTTTTTATTAACTAAATGCAAAAAAACCTTCCAGTTGTTCAATATATAGAAGACTCAAGATATCAAGGACTCATTTTTTTTTTGTTACAGTAGCTCAATTCAGTTTCCTGTAAGTTTTTGTGCTCATTAAACTTGGCTTTATTTCAGATACTTTAAAAAATATTCCAGTGAACACTACCTATATTTAAGATTTTAGAAGTTAAAGTAGTTAGTTTTTAGAACATAAATATTTGCCTTACTGCAAAGATATCTTCCTCCTTTGGGAGTCCATTCTTGCAGCCTCTGCACTGACTATAGGTAACTGAGGAAATTCCTTTGCAGAAGTATTTAGACGGAAATGTCTACAGAGCAACTTTATAGTAAAACATTCCTTTCAGCTCATTATAAAGTGTGGCATGCACACAAACTCACTCCCCTTTACTTGAAGAAGCACACAGTTCTCAGAATAATCAGTTTTACTGTGATTTACAATAAAAACCATTTACAGCATCTCTGTGAAAAATAATGCCATTTTGAGACTGGCACAGATGTTTTCCATTATCAAAGAGGAAGCTAATGTAAAATCTTTTCTTATTTTGCCTTAAAGTCATCATAAAGTAATTTAAACATTTTAAAAAAGTCTCTTTAAAAAGTCTACTTGACACAGCACTAACAAATCATCATGCATGCAAACTTACTTAAACCGAACCAGCAGTGCTTGAATTAACCTTTAAAAAAATAATAATAATCACATGAAGAGAGAAGGTGAAGGTAGCTTTACCTACACAGAGTCCTTTGGATACTACCGTTCAATAAGCCTGAACGCTGCTAGCAATGGCAGGTGGTCAGAAGAGTTATTTTCATTGGGAAGACCATTAACAGTCCAAAGATCTTTCTCTGTCAGAAGTGCCAGCCTGCCAAGAAGTTTCAGACCTCCATGAAAAGAATCCTCTGCTCCTGGTTAAAAAAAAGTAGAAATGTTCATCAGTGTGGGCTAAAAATCACACATTCATACATATGCTGAAGGAGAAAAACTATGGCAGAAATAATCTGAAGTCATTATTGTTCCATGCAATGTCATCAGTAGGGTAGTTCATAAATCCTTCTTGTTTACTGTTACTGTGACAGTAAAACTTATAATCAATAGAGCTCAAAGTATTCATAAAGACACTACCCCCTCCATTTCGTGGAGAGATCAACTGAGGTGGACAGGGATTTATTTATTCATTGTAACTCCCCTGAAAAAGCCTCACACAATCCAGTCCTATACTCTAGCACAACTGCATTGCTAAACAGAGCTGATGCTTGCAAAACTAAACATCTTTGAGAGTTACTGTTTCACGTAACATTTTATTTCTGTATCTTCAAGCACACAGTTCTCCTGCAGGCAAGTCATACAGGAACTCTTGCTCAGAAGGATGAGCAAGGGTCTCCCTCTTAACTGTTCATCATAAGAAAGGGATCTTCCTCTGTTATTTCCTGCTACCTATTCCTGTAATTGCTAAAAAAAAAAAAAACCAAACAAAAAATCTCCCACCACACACACAAAAGAAACACCACATTGCTCATGGATGAGGGGAAGATGACTCACAGCCTTTCTATTATTACACCTTATTTTTACCCCTATACTTAAAACATCTGTTTTGGTTTTTAATGAGGACACAAAAAAACATCATCAGCAAAGAGTAACAAGCTTTTTCCAACTCGAGTAAAGAAATTCCATTAAGAATGAAGATCCTTCCATGATGTGTCAAACTTTTAGACTTCTTCAGCTATCTACTTGAGTGAGGTGACTATTCAACAACCCTAGCTATTGCTTTCAGAGCACAGGGATGATTCTGAGCAGGTTGAGCACTTTCAGGACCAGCACAAACAGCAGCTCTAACTTTGACAAACAGATTTTCTGTATGAAAGCGATCAGCATTTTCACTGCTTCCTAGCTGGACCTGGTACTGGTTTACCAGTAGGTATATTTTAAAGTATTATCCATCAACTGTTAAACTCCTTGGATAGTTCAGCAGCTTCACTCCTTTGCCATCTGCCAGCTTTCCAGTTCTCTAACCACCTAGCAGCTGTTTACAGCTGCTCTGAACAAAAGCTTTTTTACTGCAAAAGTGTCAGTAGCTCTAGAGCACAAGTCCACTCAGGTCTTGAGGCAAATTTATCATTTGGAGTAGCACCTGCATGTCTACACAGAGCTTGGTCTGCATGCAGTGATTAACATGAGCTCACAGCACGCCAGAAACAGCAAAGCTGAATCCTGCAGGACTCGGGCAGATACTGAACCCTGCAAATCCTGAATATAAAACCAAATACTTGGCTAAGCACAACACAGACTAAAGCATGAGAACTTTCAAAAAAGCTCCTTTACCTGCAAAAAGAGTGATCAGTCAGCCTAGACCACATTTAATACTCATTTGTTCTGACTTTGACAGCTTTTCATAGTACAGAGGCCCAGGTCATCAGAAGACTGAAAATCCAGACTATTACTTAGTTTCTAAGAACTGATGAATAAAAACTACACCAGTTTAAACTACTTGGGGAATTCAAGTTTGGTCCCATTCTGTACTGAATGTGGGGTGCAGAATCTACTTGAAAAAACAAGTGCAGAAAGAAAAGAAGTGCTATAGCTCTGCTGGGGCAATGATGGTATGACAAAATATATAAGCAGGTAAATTAGGATTAAATTTTGCACAAGGGTGCACTCTGAAATCACACAGCATTCATAAGTCATTTAGATACTTCTCGTATCCTAGTTTTCAGTCAAAGCTTTTATTTTTGTATTTGATATTTTACACCAAGACAGCATTTACTGTGCATGTTACGACAAATAAGACCTTTATACATTGACTCAATGAATTTTAACAATCTCGTCTCAAATTATGAGAGATGAAGGTGGCATATTCATTTCACATACTGAAAACAATGTTAATTTGTAAAAATGAATTGCAATCTAAGTGGGAACAGGAGTGGAATCCAGGTTTCCTTGTTCTGAATTCTGCAGAGCCATTTATCTGATAGCACTGCACTGTGCAATGACCTTTGACGATGACATAAACCACAGAAGTAATGATGTGGAAAGCCTACTGCTCAGAGGTACTGACAGGAAGAGCACAAATACAGTAAAGGATAGCAGTGTGTTACCCACCAAGATATACACCCGCAGAGGTACCATGTCTTTCTTGCACCATCTGGTGAGTTTTAGCTGCAACTGCAATCAAGAGAGTGACAACTGGGCATGTGCCAGTGACTGCTCTCAGAGCAAAGGCCACAGAGGTCATTTATTTGACAGACATTACATCAAGACTATCTGAAAAGCAATTTTCTAAGAAACACTTAATTTATCAATTTTAATGCACATCATAAATTGCTGTTCACCATTTTGTTGATTAGCTGTTTGGAAATACTGCTTTGTTGTAGGTCCAGCCACTAAGGTCCTGCATGAGTTACTGACAGCAGCATTTCTCAGGTGCTACTTACACTGCTGCTCTTCTGTAGCCTCAGCTCCTGTCTCCATGCTGAGATGGCAACTACAGGAATGTTCAGTTAGGTGAAAAAGCTTGTCCTGTGTGGCACTACAAGTCCAACAGTGGTGAGGCAACAAGGCCAGCCACGTTTCCTCAGATAACAACTGACATTTGAAGCACTACCATGAACCTCAGAGCTACTTCATATGGATTAAATATCACTACATTTCCCTTACAACAGCATCTGAATGTTTCCATTTAGCATTTGTGAAAAATAATTAAAAGTTGGTTTCTTTACCTGGCTGGGCAGCAGTATCATCGTTTGCTGCAGAATAGAAAATATAATCCACAGTGACAGCACTTCGGGAGTGACAAGTTGTTACTTCTGGTATCCCAGTTTCAGGAAAGTAATGAGAATAAACTGAAGACAATTTAAATAGGTGCTGCAATTTTGAAGACAACCTAAGCAGGAATCAAAGAACAGAATTTTATTTTCTTGTCTTTCCTAAAAAGAATAAGCAATGAAGAAATACCAAGTAGTTACTGGTTACAAACAAAATTAATTACCTAGAAATGCAAACTAACATTTTTCTCATGCAATCAAATCCACAGCCTTTTGTGTTAGTGGCCTAAATCTCTCAAGGCAAGATGCAGGCAGCTTTTTCAAGTAAAAGATAGATACCTAAGAGCCTATCAAAACTGGCTTAACTGATATTTAAATAAACACAGTTTTCACCTTCATCTACACTTTGTAAAATTTCACGTCTTCATTCAGCAATCTCTCCCTGACACATGGGCAGAAGTGTCCACGAGAGAAGCTTATATGAAAGCAACAAACTATGAACTCATCTAACCAGGCCCTTCAGCATATAGAGAAATTAAGATTTTTAGTTTATTGTTTTTTTTTTTTTTTTCCTCCCCTACACTAAAGCTATTAAGTGCTTTCAAGTTAGGCTATGCCTCATCTTTCCTCCACTCAAGCTCCCATTTTGTCTCTCACCATCATTGAATCATAGAATGGTTTGGGTTGAAAGGGACCCAACCCCCCCTGCCCTGGGCAGGGACACCTTCCACCAGACCAGGTTGCTCAAAGCCCCATCCAACCTGGCCTTGAACCCTTCCAGGGAGGGAGCAGCCACAGCTTCTCTGGGCAACCTGGGCCAGTGTCTCACCACCCTCACAGGGAAGAATTTCTTCCTTATAGCTAATCTAAATCTCTTTCAGTTTAAAACCGTTACCCCTCATCCTATCACTACAATCCCTGACAAAGAGTCCCTCCCCACCTTTCCCGTAGCCCCCTGTAAGCACTGGGAGGCCGCTATAAGGCCTCCCCGGAGCCTTCTCTCCTCCAGGCTGAACAACCCCAACTCTCTCAGCCTGGCCTCACAAGGGAGGTGCTCCAGCCCCGCTGTCATCTTTGTGGTCTCCTCTGGACCCACTCGAGCAGGTCCATGTCCTTCTGATGTTGGGGGCCCCACAGCTGGACACAGCACTGCAGGGGGGTCTCACAAGAGCAGAGTAGAGGGGCAGAATCCCCTCCCTCGACCTGCTGGCCACGCTTCTCTTGATGCAGCCCAGGACAAGGTTGGCTCTCTGGGCTGTGAGTGCACATTGCTGGCTCACAGTCAGTTTTCCATCCACTGATACCCCCAAGTCCTTATCCGCAGGGCTGCTCTCAATCCATTCATCCCCCAGCCTGTATTTGTGCTTGGGATTGCCCCGACCCCTGTGCAGGACCTTGCACTTGGCCTTGTTGAACTTCATGAGGTTTGCACGGGCTCACCTCTCCAGCCTGCCCAGGTCCCTCTGGATGGCATCCCTGCCCTCCAGTGTGTCACCGCACCACACAGCTGGGTGTCACTGGCAAACTTGCTAAGGGTGTGCTCAGTCCCACTGTCTGTGTCAGAGATGTTAAACAGCACTGGTTCCAACACCAACCCCTGAGGAATGCCACTCATCACTGCTCTCCACTTGGACATTGAATCACTGACTGCAACTCTGACTGCAACCATCCAGCCAATTCCTTAGCCACTGAGGGGTCCATCCAACAAATCCACGTCTCTCCAATTTAGAGACAAGGATGTTGTACAGGACAGTGTCAAATGCTCTGCATGAGTCCAGGTAAATTACATCAGTTGCTCATCCCCTTATCCACCAGTGCTGTAACCCCACTGCAGAAGGCCACCAAATTTGTCAAGCATGATTTGCCCTTAGTGAAGCCATGTTGGCTGTCACCAATTACCTCCTTATTTTTTCAGTTCAGCCCATCTTGTCTCAGCTGTTTTTTCAATCTTGAAAGCAAACTGCAAAACTGCATCTTTCAGCAAAAGAACTCCTCTTTCCTTTCCAGCCATTTGCTCCCATCAGCTCTGCAAAACATCCATCCCTCAGCTGTACCTGCCTCACCTTGCATGGCTGCACTTTAAACTTGAGCTACAATGTGTTCTGGTTAAAAAACAAGCAACTAAAAAAAAAAAAAAGCAAAATCAAATCAGCTTGTCACCTGTTTGATTTAGAGACAGACAAACATGCCATTTGGTACAACACAGAAGAATGGTAACTTCTGAGGCAAAAACACATGGCATGCTATGGATTTACACCACAGAATAGGGCTTCATGCCTTGTTACCTACTTCTTTTTTTCAGAAATGCTATTACTTAGCTTATTGATTACCAAGAATCACCAAGGGTCTAATATAACTATCTGCAGTGATACCAAGGTCTCATTTCTGATAAGAAATGGCTGACTTGGAGCCTGACATCACACATACACAGTTAGGGCAATTTCCTCCTTCTATGCCTTAGTTTATATGCCTTTATCAGTTTGGTAAATGCAAATATATTTTTCCTTTCAAAAAGCAGTTACATTTTCCTTTCTAGCAGTCTAGTGGTAGCTTCTTCCTTCAGCTTAACAAGCAAATGTTTTGATCTGAGTTGTACTACCAGATCCATAATACTACAAATTTCTGGGACTCAAAGGACTTAAATTCTCCCACATAACTCCTGACAAGTAAGATTTTATGATCTTCGCAGCTCTCTTCCCTCCTTAATCCAAATTTCACATTGTATTATAAGATTTTATTATCATCCACAAACCAGTATCTCAAAAACAGTAAAAAGAAAGAGAAGTGCCAACACTTAAGCAGCAGGACAACACTGGGGTTTTTGCAGATTTTTTTTTTCTCTCCTCTTTCTTAAAAACAATTTCTGCAATTGGACTGAAGTTCACAGCTTTCCTATCATGTCACTACAGAGCAAGATGTCCCCTTTATGTCAAGAAGTGACAAAAAATGTCAAAAGCATTATTTTAATAAGCAGAGCACCCTCTAAACAGCAGACACACCTCACCTCTGCATCCTGAAAAAATATCTGCAAGTTCCTGCAAAAACACACACTCCATTATTTCCAGTTCTAGACTTTTGCTGTCTGATCCACCTTTTCATGTTTAAATGGACAATGATTTTTTTGCCAGATGGGCAGACTGGGCTGGGTGATCATGTTGTATTCAAGTCTGGAATCAGATACAAGTTTGACCTAAAACCAAAACAAACCCCCCAAACTAGGAACCAGTCAAGGGCTTCCATTTCCACCCCCAACACATACTTTTCAGGTGTTATTACAATCTCCTGTGTGTTGTCCAGTTCTGCTGCTTCCAATTTTTCTCCTGCAAAATAAAAATACCTTCAATTTACATTAAAAATAGGATGTAGGTGAGAGCAATATAGAACAGCTACAGAAAAGAAAAACTACAGAAAAAAAAAATCTTTAAGTACACTTATTTTTTGCAGCTGGCAAGATACAATTCACAAAGCTGGATTAAATTCTTCTGTTCCATTAGTAAGATCCCCTCCAGAGACTCTTTCAAATTACGTGCCATTCATTTAAAATTGTTTTTTCTGTCAAAGCAAAAATGGTGGATGAAATATGTAGTAATACTCAGCAAGGAATCACTTGCTTTTCCCACTTGTTTCATAAGGTGCCTACACTATAATACATGAACACTGAAGCAGAATGTAGGTTCATACTACATACATGTGCTGCATTCCTCCATCTCTTTTCCCAGTCATAGCACAACTGGCTTTCATGATGCAAACATGGTACTCTAAATATTACACACCAGCTCTTGAATGGCAATTTCTAACTATTATCTTCTAAAGATTCAAATTTGCAAATGCTTATGTGAATAACTTTAAACTCTAACAAGCCCAGTGAAGTTCTGCAAGCTCAAGACTCACTGTTTTTCCCTCACTAGAACAGAACATGTTTTTCAGTTCTACCTCAATGACATTTTCAAAGGACCACAAAATTAATCAACCCAGAAACTGACCTGCATTTTCTTCTTTTTGTTGATGTTTTATTTCATATACACAGTTTTGCGAAATACCTAATTTTTTTGGCCAAATTGGAATAGATAAGATTCTTTGTCCCCTTGGAGACTGTTCTTGTCCAGACACCTAAGAGAGACAACATGAGCTTTTTTCAGACAGAAATCAATTTTAAAAAAGAAAAGTAACCAAAACCAAAACTACCCGAACATGAAATGACTGGACAATTTTTCTAAAGTTTAAAGTTTTAAGCAAAGAAAAGCCCCAGTCTCTCTGAACTAGTTTTTTATAATGGACTGTCAGATCTCTGTAAACATAACACCCCTTTATGTACACACACTTTGTTTCCTCTTACCAGGTTTACCAAGGTACCCACTTTTTCCAGATAGTTCTTGTGACACTAAGCAGAGAAACTACCAAGAACACTTCTAGCACCATAACAGGACTGAGTATATACATCTTCATAGCAGACACTTATTTTACTTCTGTGATGCTTATTCTTCTGGGAGCAAGTCAGGTCAAAGCAGGGCTTGAAACAACTACTCACTGGCAACAAACACCAGTGGGGCTATTTTTCCCATGTTCTCTCATTGTATGTACTCCAGTTACATTCTATTAAACAGCACGTGAAACATTCAACAGCTACATACAAGAGCTTACAACAAAAACCATCCTACCTGAAACAGTTTAGGTTCAGCATCTAATTGCATTTTTGCTTCTACAATTATTCTACGCACTGTAATTCAAAGTTTATCTAAGAGAAGTCATCTTTCCATGAAGTACACAGTGGGTATTTGATTAAATAGTTATTTTTATCCTACTTAAAGACTGTAACACTTAAACACAGTGATGCAATCATCCTGTGGATAACTACATTTTAAGAACGATTAATTTGTTTGCAAATTTTTGATTTCAGAATGCTAGATGTGGATACAATATTCTGTAAGGCACTGTTAATATACCTACTCTTATTTTAGTAACTCCACAGTAACTTTCGCTTTGCAGACTGTAAGGGGCACTGCAATAGAAATAATCACAGCTATAGCATACTAGCACCATTCAAATGTAGTATTTCTCTTTAATTAGCATTAACCCTTTTTTTTGTTGAGATGTGAAAAGCATAGCCTACCTTTCCTATAGCCAGTCCTTCATAATTTAACTTTCCTTCCTTTATAAATCTGTACAACGGAGAACCAGGAACAGAATTGAAGTCACCGCATAAGATAATTGGACAGAAGGTACCATCTTTCTGAGGGGCAACACTAGCAATCTCTGCCAGGAGCATTGCAAGCTGGGTCAGTTTGATGTCTCCTCGCCTTGGGTTATATAGCAGATGTGTATTGGCTATACAGATTGCAGCATTAGTTTTATAGTGAAGTCTAGGCTGCAGAAGCAACACCAGTCCAACGTTGTCCCTGTCCAAGAGTGGAATATCATGGCGAAAAAATTCCACAGGGTTTGATGAAATCAGGCTAAACTTAGAAGTTTTGAAGCAAATAGCACAGCCATCAGGTTTTCTCCCTGTCCTCATTTTATACTCACAGTGATACCCTGCAAGAAAGGCAATTAAAAACATAAAATACCATTGTATATACAGATACTATCTAAAAAAAAAAAAAAAGAAAAAAAAAAATCAGAAAAAAAAATCTCACACTGCTTTTCTCACATAGCAGTCAACACCCTGTCTGAAGTACCAAAGACTATGTGAAGTTCACATAGAAAAGTGAATGTCAGCTTTTCCGTCCTGTCTAGCTTCAGTTTAGATACGACAGGAAACCTGGTCTAATACCTTTTGTGATGTGTAAGCATCTACATACTTTAAGATAGCAGGCATGTTCCCCTCTCCTCATGTGAAAAACACCCCAAACCAACAAAACAAAACAAAACACCAAACCCACAAGTCACGTAAGAGTGGACTTGCATACTGAAGTTTTTTCTGGATCTACCACAATGGTTAGGAATAAAGCCAGTGAAGCATTCCAATCAAAAGCAATAATTACTGTAAGTCATAAATCACTGTCTAAAACGATTCATAGAACAAAGGTCTCCAACATATTTACACAATTATGTAATTATTCAGTTAGCAGCAAACTTTCACCAGGGAATCTGATACTGTCATTTGAGAAGTGTCTCGGAGTTCAAACAAGTCCACCTGAAAATAAGTTTTGCCAAGTTCTTCATTTTATGTAGAGGTGAAATGCAGATTTTAATGAGACCTTATCTATGTAAAAAAACCCTAATGATCTTGAAACAGTATCTAGTTTTTACCATTTTAAAATGCTTCTCTGCCCAGCTGATGCCATATGAATTAATGAAGTACAGCCTCATGAAGGTAGAGCAAATCGACCTTTGAGCTCACACCAGTGCTGGATTCCCACTCTCCCAGCTTCAGGCCATGTGCTCCTGCCACTTGTTGTGACACTGACTGTTAACACTGTAAACCAACAGAAAACTAATCCAGGAAAACAAAATTAGTCTGGATAGTATTCTGCTGGACTGGTGGATTTCACCAGGGTAAAGGTCTAGTGTGTGCCAGAACTGGCCCGGGAGAAGGGGCAGGACATGCATCTGGGAGCTAGGGAGGGGAAGAGGAAGAGCTACAGCGAGCTCCAGATCCTCATGGATAGCAGCAGAAAACTCGGTTGCCCATGCAAACCTGGCTTTAGAGTGTTGTTTCTCATTTCAAGTGGATTTAAATCAGTACTGCCATTACTCTGTCTTCTTTACAAACACTCAATTCTGGAAGCTAGACTACAACTAACCAAGAAAGAAAGAAGCATCAGTCCAGTGCTTCTCCTTGAATTGGTTCCTCCTGGCAACAGACAAGTACCAGTGCCAGAAAGAAAGCAAGGCCCTAGGACTGGAAGGAGGTGTGGGGCACAAAAGACTTAGATCAGTTTAAACCACCATGAAATCACACCCCTAGCAACATGTTTCTTCCATAAATTCACACTGGAGAGAGAGGTAACACAGTGCTGTTTAGGCTGACTGACAGTACTAGTATAAAAACTAGTAAATATAAACTGACCATGGATAAAATTTAGTGCTGCTATTTGGAAGGTTTCAAGACAGAAAAACATACCCTGGAAAAGCTATCCAACAGGAATACTGGTAGAAAACACTAAGGTAGTTTCAAGGAAGCACTTGATGAATTTATAAAACAGGGTACACAACACTGGCATGTGATGGCAGGCGATATGATTCTGTAATCTAAGAGAGGTTTTCTGAGGAAAATAGTACTGAGGCAGGAAGAAGACAATGTATTGGTTGTAAGAGTTTCATCATACCCAGGGATTCCAGACTTAGCTTGATCTCTGTTCTATAGTGGTCTTCTTGGACTTCTTGTAAACAGAGTATCTAGGGCAAAAGTTTACAATTAAAAGATGTTAGTAAGTACATCAAAATGTTACTGTATCAGATCTCTGTTGGCCAGTCCGTATATATATATATTAAAAAAAATATATTCAGAGGCTTTTTGCCTCTATAATCCCACAAAAGGATTCACTCATATAGAAAATGCTCCTTAAGGTTGTGAAGAGGGTCCTGATTACTCCCACCCTTTCTCAGACAGACATTAAATTAAATTGAATCCAAATAGTAACCTGCTGATGCATTCCCAGATGTTGAGGGGAGGGTTAAATGCTGGAGCAGTGGGATAAAGAGGCCAAGGGCACACTTTTCATTAACTACAGAATGGACAACAAGCTTCCATATTATAACAACCTGAACCAAAGACCAACTTCAAAATACTCCATTAAAAGAGTTCCGAGAATCTTAGAGCCTTCTCCATGCCCACTGCAGTAACAAATTTACAACCACCTTGGGACTGTGATGAAGGACTGAGTTTCTGAAGGGTAACGTGTAAGCACTGCTTGCTGAACTCCACTTACCCAGCTGACACTAGCTCATTCACAATCTTAAAATAGAATCAAATCTCAAGCAATATTGTGAAGTCTGCTTCACGTTAAGGTTACAGTTCAAAACAATCAGTTAAAAATCTATGTCCTTTAGCAATAAATTCCTCTGCACAAAGGTGACCTGCACCTACTAGGGTCTGTGAGCAGCTGCTGGTGATGAGTCAATGCCTGCAGCACAAGGCACCACCTCTTTACCCCAGTGCTGTGTTGTGTGGCTCTGCAGAGTTTAACAAGTACCCTGAACCAAACTGCTCTTTGCTAGAGGGGCTGGCTTTGGCTCCAACCCTTCTATCCTGGAGAACTGTCTGTTACCACTAACAGCACCAGGCAGATCCTCAGAGTCCCTCTGCCCAATGCTCCTCCCAGAAAGCCCGTAAAGATACATATATACAGTACGTATAAATTTATTAGGAAGAGGGCAAGAGCTTGAAGGGGACTTTAATCTCCAGCTTCCTGGCTCCACAGTAACTTAACTGCATTTTTCAAATGGTACAAGGAAGTTCTTCTGTGGCTTCCCTAATACAACTACTTTGATTTTTTCAGTACTGTTTTCTGACACAAACAGGTTGGATTCTATCACCAAATTTTTACTGGCCTGAACAATAACTGAAGCAAAAAGTTTACTGACTTGACTTCCTGATTAACAGTAAGTGATAAGCATTCTCAAAAACAAACAAAAAACCCAACAACTAAGAACACGGTAAGGTATTTTTTCAGACCCCAATATAAGCAGAAGTTCAGATTTATGTCTCAGTAGAGAACAGCAAGCTTGGTCACAAGTCAAACGGTGCAGAGTATCAGATGCAGAGAGAAATGAAACACCTCAGAGGAATACTTTTGGATCCGTCTCACATGAATTCTACTAACACCTGCATGTTCTTCTCAGCCTTGAACATTAATCTCAAGAAAATGGAGATGCACATATCAGCCTCATCACTCCAGTCCTCATACAATCAAATAAAGTGAAACATTTGAGTCTGCCTTCCAAGTAAAGGATTCAGACATGATTTTAATTTCTCTATTACCTGGTCTAACAAATAGCTCTGACAGGATTAGCAGCCAGATTTTAGAAAGGGCTTTTGATTCACTGAGTATACAGACACTCTGTGTAACAAATACAAAGTCAAAGTCACACACCTGGAAGTTAGAAAATGCCAGTCCTGCAGGTTGCTTTAATTTGACCCTCCTGTGCACATGCATACTATTTTTCCTCTACAAAAGCGTGATGTTGAAGATTGTCTGTGAATATGACCAACTATTCAATCTTGCATGTCCATTGCACTAAATAACTTGTGGCACAATTAAAGAGAGAGCCTCCAGCTCCAGAGCTTCCTAAACTGCGCAGTCCCAGAAGCTGAGACTATCCTGGAGAAAGGTGCCCTGTTCTACTCTAAGCATCTACTATTAGCTACTGTTTCAAAAATGACACTAAACTAGGTAGACCTTTGGCCTGTGCAAGTACAGATGTTCTTACGTTAGATGCCTTATTTACAGCACTCCAGTGTGCTCTAGGTACAGACTGAACAAGATTTATATGGAGAAAGAAGGTTGTGGAACTATAAAAAAATTGCTGTGTATCAGCAGAACATCAAAGTCACGTCAAAAAGACCATACCAGGAAGTTATGGACAAAAAAAGGCAACTATGAGTAGTGATATGTACTGCAGAGTTTGACTCTTCTGTAAATTCAGATTGTACAGAACACACTAATTGCATAAGCATAAATCAAAACTACTGTTAAGCGTGACATAACTAAAAGCTCAGTTGGATTCACTAGACAGCCCACCTATTAAAATAAGAACAGCAAGAATCTGCTGCTCCAGTTCATCAGTTCTTAACAAATATCCACATGCTCATTTTTCTACTCACATCTGCATCCAGCTGTTTGATTTCTTGTAGAATGTTGGGAAATCTGTATGTCCAGATTAACAATCGTTGCCTGCAGTGTTTGTACAGGTGGGAGTTATCTTCTAACAAATTCTGTGAGAGGATATTGTAGGACATGACTGTAAAATCAAATTTTGCTTCACTTTCTGTATTGCTTTGGTCAGTTTCTTTATTTTCAAAGATTTTCATTGTTTTACTGTGCTGACAGAAATATTCCCAGTGTCTTTTGACTGTTCCTGTTAAAAGCACATGAAGCAGAAAAAGTTATGTAATACACCATATGACTTTTTACTGCTCTTAGAAATCATTCTATTGACAACTATTTATCTTTTGAATTTTGCAGAAGCAATTCTAAAAGCTTATTTGATTAGCTGTGATTTAGATGCTCTGTTTAAGATGAACTTTATATAAGCATCAGTAAAAACAAAACAAACAAAAAACCCCACCCAACCCCAAAACACAGCACAAAACTGTTCTATGCCCTGGATTTAAACTGCTTTGAAATTAGGAAGCTGGCATGTTCTAAGGAGATGGTTGCAAGTCAGACTACACCACCCTGCTCCGTGTAGAAAGGCTGTCAACCTCGTAAACCCAATCATGTCTGTTGGCAAAATCTTACGCCGCCTTTTGCCACTACCTCCTCAGTGGAGGTATGGTATGTCAGTCTGGGATATGCCCTTCAGAGCAGCATATGGACATCTTGTTGATCTCTATCCATGACTAACAAAGGGTTAGGAATCAAACAAAGGGTTCACCTCTAGCCTGTGTACAGTCTGAAAAACTCAGCCATAAGCTGCAACAGCGTCCATTACAGGGGTCCCAAAACAGATAATGAACCCAATTTCCCTCAGTAAGGTTAAGAATTCAAAAAAAATTAAGAAGTCTCAGAATTACCAAGAGCTTTTGAAAAGGCTTACTTTGCCTTTCTGCCATTCCTAGTCTCATACTTATTATTAGTATCATTATAAGAAAGTTTATAATAATATAGCTGCCCATCATTAAGTGTCCAATTATTTTTCAAATATGTATTTCTCCACTTACAAAACTCATGAACAGAGATACATTTCAGCCTTTATGTCCAAACTCATCCAAGAGCATGCTGAGGTCCAGTTATCTGTGCTATCCACCAGCGGTAGACTGCAGTGACAGCTGTCAGGATCTGCCCTATTTGAGTAGTAAATTTCACCACTGTGCTTATATTACACAGGACTTTATCTAGTATTTGCAATGAATACAGCAAGACATTAAGTACTGTTTCTACAGTGGGAGAGAAGCCACATTGCTCCTCAGCAGGTATCTTTAATTACCATCACCTTACAATATGTGAACAAAGGTAACTAGAAAGGACCGCGATGCTAGCCACTCTCTTAAAGGTATGTCAAGGCAGGGTTTAAGAGAGGCCTCAGCAATAAAGCACAACGCAAACTCCCTTCCTTCAGTTCCTGAAGATGGACAAGATGTTTCTAAGCCTTATGGATATTGGTGTCCAAAAATCTCTTTGGGATGCTGATAGCATCTGCTGCCCTTTTCAGTCATAATACAACTTCCAGTTTATTTTGTGAAGGAAATGATTTATGCAAGAGGACCTTCATTTTGACTGTGCCCCTCTACTTGTTTCACAGTAGACAGACCTTTTAATATCCATAATACTCAGTAAAATATTTGGAAGCTTATTACAGATACAATCTCCTACACAGCAAAGGCAGACACTTCAAAGTTTCATGAAAGTCTGAGTTGTGTAGACATCTTTGCACTTCTTATTGTATTTAACAGGCCAGTGGCAGAATGCAGTTCAACCATTACATCTCCATCCATTAATTCTCAGTTATCCAGGTCACAGATCACTCAGCTGCCTCAGAAAGAAGCCAGTTCAGGTCCAGCAGGGCTTATGAGTTCAGGTACAGTACAAGGAATGAAGCTATACAACTGCCAGCCCAGCTCAGTTCTACAGCAAGTTAGCTAAATCTTTTTGCTTTAAAAGAGTTCCCAATATAATGGACATGATCTGGCGACAGACACCTAGGAGAGAGTTGTGTAAACCAAAGTCAGAACTCCCCAAGCTGGGCAATCCCTCGCATAATTGACTCTGTTCTACCACCAAGCATACCAAACCAGCAGATTGTTTAACAGTAAAAAATACACGTTTACATACTAAACAGCATTGCAAAATTGCAACATTTTGAAAGACAGATGTTTTCTTGAAAGAGATGCCAAGAAAAACAGTAACTCAAAAGGTGCATGCAGTATTGCTTATAACTTTTTAGATGTGTTTAGCATTACAAATAAACAAGGAAAATGAGCAAAAAGCATCTTTTACCTTTCTTGCTGCTATGTTTTTCTTCATTCTGTGTGACAGAAAGACACAATGCTTCCTTCTGATTAGAGAAGTTTGTTTCTTCTTCAGGAATTGAAGTATCATGCTGGCCACTGAGTCTTCTCTTCTTTGTCAAAGGTTCTTCTCCCTCAGATTTCATACTGGGGTTAGGTAGGTGAAAGCAAGAACTTTGCGTGAAGTTATCAGGCTGCCAATTAGAGTTCTGAAATTGTCTCCAAGGTCCAAAAAATGGTGGGAGCCTCCAGTTTGCTGAGAAATCAGCTGGAACAGGAAGTGGAAACGAGGCCCAAGGATAGTGTCCGGCCCATCTCATACAGCTGGAACCTGGGCTGTTCAAGGCGAGTATCTGAGAACCATTCCAGTGGGCGATCCAGTCTCTGCCCAGCCTCTGCATGTGACGGGGTAGCATGGAGGGTCTACTAAAAAAAGCACAAGTTTCATTACTTACACAGAACTACATTCAACTGTAGAAGGCTGTAGATGCACGTCACCCTGGTCGTGACTTATACAAGGCATTCTTCCTCTACAAGTTAACACATACAAAATATTAAAACCTTTTTAGACACATATATGTAGACCTTTATTTCAATTATATGCAAAGTGGGACTTTACAAAGCCACCTTGTACCTTTCCCTCCCCCTTCAGATTTTCAAATGCCATTTAATTTCCAAACTACCCATCTGAATAACTATTTACAATTTATTTTCTGCTTTGTTGAATTCAACTATCAGATTTTTGAAGTGCTCAGTGGAACGACCTTTACAAAAGGTCATTTTTGCATGCTGCATTAACTTTATGATTAAGTTATCTGAAAGGAATCAGAAAACCACTTTCCTTCAAGCAGTTGGAAGTTAGTTTAAAAACCCTGAATCGACTCAAGCCACAATGCCAACAAGACAGGGAAACAGAGGTACTATCTCTCTCCCAGCATCTCTTCTACAAGCTTGTAGACCAAAATTTGTATTCTTGTTTCTTTTCCAGGTGGGAAAAAACACAGCTTAGTGATTAAAGCCATGAAAATAAGGCTTTTTTTTTCCAGGAAAAAAAAAAAATAAAATCTATGTCTCAACAAAAACACAGGAAGGATGGCTAAGTGACATCAACCTGTTTCAGCTTCCTCATTGCTTAAATAAGAATGCCTATTTTGAGCTTCCAAGCAAAAGACATCAAAGCTCAGTATGCCTAAAATTGAGCTAAAAAGAGAACCTCCTAGCTGCCATTTAGCCTAGCGAATAACCCTAAATACAACTTTCAGCAAAACTAGCTTGTCCTGAAACGGCGCTTTCCCCCTCACTGCTCCAGAAGCAGCTTGACAGGCACACGAAACACACCCCGTAGCACCACGGCACTACGATGCAGCCGAGGGGAAGGGGCGCCTCACTCCTTTGAAAAAAACCTCCTGAAACACCCGTTTTACAGAGAAGTACAGAGAAAATCTCCTTTCCTGGCAGCCCAGCCCCAAGCGAACACCTCTCCACGACCGCCTCCACCCGGCAACGGGAAAACCCCGCGCTGTGCTTTGTTTACCGCGGCCCTGCTCCGGCTAATGGCGGGTATTTAAAACAAGGGACTGCCAGGCGCCCGCAGACGTCTCCTGCCGGGCCGGGCCGGGCCAAGGGCTCCGCCCGCCGGGACGCCGCGAGTGTCCATCGGCGGGCTCCGCGGCTGCGGGGAGAAGGGCCGGCTGCCGCCCGTAGCCCCCCACAGCTGCCCCGCCAGGCCCGGCCGAAGCCCAGCAGCACACCCCCCCGCCGCCTCGCCTCGCCCTTTACCTCTCGGCGGGCCTGGGTGCGAGCCCAGCCCAGGGGGGCCCCGCTACCGGCTCCGCGCAGCCCCGGAGCCCCCAGAGGGGGTCATCCCCGGGTAGTGCCAGCGCCAGCCCCGCCCGCCGCTGCCACCTCGCCGCTTACCCGGCTCGGGCAGCGGCCGCACTGCGCCCGCTTCCTCCTGGGACTTGTAGTCTAAGGGCCAGCGCCGCGCCCCGCAGCCATATTTGATCCGGGCGGCCGGCACTGAAGCTGGGCCGCCATCTTGGGCCAGGGCGGGGCGGCGGCGTGTCTCGGCCCACGGGAGGGAACGCTGCAGGAGCGGCGCCAGCTCCAGAGCGGGTCGTAGGCTGCTTAAATTTAGACTTTGGATTCTTTTAAAGGGCTGTAACACTGTGCTAATGAAGTAGTTTCCACACGCAGCCTTCTCCCTGGGATTACTGTGTGTCCCTGCAGGGTCAAAGGGTCTGAAGAGCGAGCTACCGTGTGTTTCAGGGCGGCAGCAGCAACCACATTGACTGTTTGCAGGAAAACAAAACCCACTCACATGAGACAGTATTTTAACTATTTCAGTAATTTAGCTATTTAAGTATTTTAATTATTTCCAGATGAAATGCACCTGAAGGCGGTCTGTAAATTGACTATTCCCCCTGTGCAGGCTGAGGATACCTCGCCCAAGGGACAGGTGTGAGACCTGCCTGCCCTGCAGATGGACTTACCAGCTGCATAAACAATCCTCTCTCTGTGTTGATATTGCTTGAATAAGCAGTCAAAATGCTTTCCTGAGGTCTTCTGAGGACAGAGTAAATGCTGGCTCTGTTTACTGTAAGGAAACATAGTACAAAGCACATGAAATATGATAGTGCTGAATAGTGCAGATGCTGTGCAGTAACTGCAATCAAGTAAAATACTGTTTCTCTGCATTCCTTTTACTTGTGTCATAAAAGTGACTTTAAATAACAATAGTTTAATAGTTTTCCCAGGAGTGGTAGGGAAGACTGGAACTGGAATAATGTAATCATGTTAAGAGTGTGCTGGTTAGCCAACATGTCAAATACATTTTGGGTTTTCCACTTCTTGGACACAAGTTACTAGCGAGAGGTAAAAATACCCATCCATTTTCTTCACAACGTAACAAGAGAGCAAAGCCTCCAGCTCCATAATATGTGGGTAAGTAAAAGACCTGTATTTTCTATATTTTTAAAGTATTCTTATGTATTAAATATATTTCTAAGATAGTAGACAGTAAACCATAGCTACAGCAACAACAACAAGTGCTGTTATTTTTAAGAGCAGAGGGAATCTTCCCATGGAATGCAGTTATTCTTTGCATTTTGACCTACATAAGACACCCAAATTACTCTGTCACTTCAAAGGCTTTTATATAATAGTAATCTCAGTAGTGCTGCCAGGAAAAGGCAAGTGGTGAAGCTTTGGGTTTTTTTTTAAGATAAGACTCTATGAAAAGTAAGATATGCTGATAAGAATAAAAGTTAATTGTGTAACAGACAAAATAGAAGAAAAATATTAACCTATGAATATGATGCAAAATGTTTCTCACCTCAGTGTTGCTGTTGTTTCTTGCCTTGATCTAGGAAAGTCTTAATAAGCCAGTAACACTTAATTGCAGATTGCTTACTCTCCTCTAATTATTACTTTGTCTATCTACATTGGCTATACCATGTTAAGAGATATTCTTCAAAATAGGTATCTTCAAATTCTGATTTGTAACTAGAAGCCAAATTATTTTATGAGTCATTTGAGCTTTCAAAACTCCTTAGTGAATGCAGGCTACTGACACATAGAGGGATGTTTTGATTGATTATACTGCACATAAGAACAGCCATGGCTGTTCAGATCAATGGTCCAGTGAGCTCAGTTTCCTGCCTTCTAAAAGCAGTTAGCAGCAGATGCCTAGAGATGTGCAGGAGCTGGGCAAACTTCAGATGAATGCTCTCCCTGCCTCTAGCTGTTTTCGGCTCAGTAGATTTCCTATGCTTGTTGTGTTTGTCTCTTTAGTTACCCACTGACTCTCTTTCCCCCAAGTACTTGAATTTGTAAACTTTCTGCATCAGCAACATCCTTTGGCAAGAATACTGCAGGCCTAGCACTCATTACGTGAAGAACTATTTTATTATTATTAATTTTATGACCTCATTCATACCAGCTTCACTGGCCTCTGGTTCTTGTATTAAGAGAGACTGAACAGTCCATCCCCATCCATCTTCTTCATGCCGCTCATGATTTCATGGACCGCTATCATGTCCCCTCACGTTATTCCTTCTTCCATGCTAAAAAGTCTCAGGCTGCTCCATTGTTCCACATGAAGAAGCTATTCCATATATCAGGTCATTTTGTTGTCCTTCTTGGTTCAGCAATGGAGTTACACAGTTGCAGTATACTCTTCTCTTGTGTACTCCATCTGCTTCTTCTCCCTTCCTCCTGCCACCAAATTCTAACTTTTGAGTTAGACAGCATTTCAAGATGCATTTTTTTTTTCTTCTCAGAAGATGCATCAGTTGGCTATTAAAATTTAAAAGAGATCTATTATATAATTCATCAGGGATTAGTCAGTGATGGCTTCAGTCCCACTGATTTCTATTACCACTAAAACCTCAAAACTACCACATCTTATGAGACGTTACAAACAAGTGCTGCTTCATAAGCAAATTTGTAGCAGAACTGGTTGTCTGATCACGTTATTAACACTAGAGGATTATATGAGCTGCAGGATGTATCAAATAATTACTATACCATGCTAGAAAATGTTCCTTGTTTACTCAAGTAAGTGTATTTTCAAACAGCTGCTTGCTTTTTGGATGTGATGCCACTACATCTGAGTGGCTGCAAGCTTTTTATAACTAAAATTAGAGAATATGAGAATAAAAAAGTATCCTTGAGATCTGTCCAACCCCTTCATTTCAGATCTAAACAAACCTCAGATTAGGTTCCCTCATTTGTACATTAAAATTACTCCAGACAGAAGATCTCTTCTTGGAAAGTGTCTTTCAATTAAACTTCAACTGCATCACTGTTGTTATAAGAAAACAGTCTCTGTCTTTTGTATATCTTTTATCTTTGATACTTAGAAACTTGCTTCAGAAGAATGATGATCAAGACCAAATTAACTTTGAGGTGCTCCTTTTGTTACTTACTTCCATGAAGTTAGATGTATCAACACCTTGTCAAAAGAAGTAAAAGACACACTCTTCCTCTCTCCGAAAATAATATAGAGTGGCAAGTAAGCCTCTAAGAATCAATGTCCTCTCTCTTCCCCATTCCTTAAGAAAATGTTCCCCATGCAAAATAGATTAGACCTATCAAGAAATTCTTAGAAATAAAAAGGGTAAAGAATCTTTTTAGTAATTTGATAGCTGGGAATGTCAAAGTAATTTAAAAACCCTGAGAGATAAGATGTTGTAAAACTAACATTTGGACTGTTTCTGCCCTATGACAAGTTAGGAAGAGTCATTGTGTTCACCCACAGAAAATTACCTTGCTCTGGGATAGCACTATTCAGAGAAGCCGCTGTATCAGGATGCTAGAACACGCCTGTTTGGAGCTCTCTGGGGTTGTCAAATCAACTGTTTTCTGTCAGACCAGCCCTGGGAGGGGAACAGCTGGTCCACTCGTGCCTGTTTCCCTGACTCTGCGTGTTTGCAGGACCTACTTGCCTCTGATACGGAGGTTGGAAGTCCCATTATAATGAGAAGAATTGAATGAGGGCAATGTCCAAAATGAAAGTAACAGTAATCTTGTAATCACTAAGAATAACGAAGAGGTGAAACTCCAGCAGTACTGCCAAATAGTCACACTGAAACTGCTTAGAAGGACTGAAAGGTGAATTTGTGCTTCCGGATCTATAGAAGTGAATCTGATCAGGAGCTCAGAAAATGAATGTGTTTATAGAAGAACCACTATCTTTTACATAGCTGTAATTGGGAATGTTGTAAAGATTCACGATGCAGTTCAGTCATCCTCAAAGGAGATGCTTACTGTGAGCTTCAGGACTCTCTAATATTTTACAAAGAAATACAATTACGTATTTGTCTTTATGTCAGAGACCTGCATGAGATCAGAGATATGAATAACCTGCCAATGAAAAGCTGATTTTTTAACATCTGCTATTAAATAAATTAAAACACAGTGATAAAAAAAAAAGAAAATAATCTTAACAATTCATATAATCTGAAGCATAATCTGTATTTGTATAGATCTATATTGGTACAGATCCCACTACAGCCAAGTAAGCAAAGGTAGCCAAAATCTTACAAATCCACGAAAGGATGTCTTGCAGCGCAACGTTGCGCTCCTTTGGCCTGGAGCAATCCACCTCAAACCCTCGAAAGCTTCCTCACGCCCAAGCGTTGCGCACACGAGAGCCCATCTGGGGAGAAGTCCGGGTACAGTTTAAAGTATCAGGAGAAGACACGAAACACAAAACGTGGCGGTTCAGCAACCATCGAACTTGCCTTTCTATTAACATTCTTCTTTAAAATCCGCGACTCAGTCCCGCCTTACAGGGCCTTAGATTTAGGCCCGAGTAGCTTGAAACAGCCCCACGGCAAACACTGGAAGCGGTGTACCGGCTCTCTCCGGGGAAGGTCTTAGAGACCTGTGGGGGCCGTGGGGCGCCGCTGAGTGCGAGCCCTCCACAGCGCCGGGGCTCTGCCCGGGTGATGTGCCCGTGACACCTTGGCCTCACCCATGCCACGCAGACTCCCAGGCTCCGGAACGGGCGGCCGCATCCAAGCCGCCTGTTAGGAAGCGGGGATACTCAAAATGGGGAACTGGAAGCGGCGCGGGAAGGAGAGGGCCCGGCCAGCACCAGCCACCACACCCGTCCCCACACCCGAAGCCCGGGCAGGCCCCGCACCGCGGCCGCGCTGCCAGGCGGGGCTCCCCGCGGCGGGGCGGGCTCGCCCGGGTCCCCGGTACCGCCCAGGCCCCCGGTACCGCCCGGGCGGGGCGGGGCGTTGCTGGGCGCCGCTTCCGCCTGGGTCGGGGCCCGGCGCGGCGGCGGCGTTGCGGCGGGAGGCGGGGGGGGGGGGCCAGCATGCTGAGCCCGAGGGAGCGCCGCGGGGACCTGGCCCGCTTCTACACGGTGACGGAGCCGCGGCGGCACCCCCGCGGGCACACCGTCTACAAGGTCACGGCGCGGGTGAGTCAGCGCCCGGCCGGGCCCGGGCCCCGGCCCCGGCCTCCTCCGGGGCACCGCGGGCCGCCGCCCTGCCCCTCGCCTCCTCAGGTTCCCGGGCCCGGCCTGCCGATCGTTTGGTCTTTAAAGCAGCCGCGGTGTGCGGAATAGAGCCTGCGGCTGGGCTGTCGGTGGGCATCCTGGCGTCCCCTGCGCGGAGCAGGCCGGTGGCGACGTGGAGACCCCTCGCAGGGACGAGGGAGGGAGGAGGGAGGAAGAGGGAAGGCTGGGGCACGGTGGCCTCTCCTGAGCTGAGCCTCAGCCGTCTCCTGCAAACTCGCAGCTTCACCTCACGTTGTGGTTGCCTCAGACGTGTTTTGCAATTAACTGTCGATTTCTCTCCCGTTTGTTGCAGGACACAGAATAACTTAAAACCAAGAAACCCCCGTCATTCTTTTCCCCCCCCTCTCTTATCCCCCAGATCTCTCGCATAAGTTACAATCGAGTTTCTCTGTCTTCCTGCCTGCCCCGCAGAGCACTCAGCTCTGGAGGGCAGATGAGGGAGCAGACTACGTAGGGACAGCACGCCTACGCTGGAAGTGCAGAGCTGTTTGAGCTGAAGAATATTTAGAGAGCCTCTTTCTTAAGGGCTGTGTGTGTGCCTAGGGTTCAACCCCGTTTGGGCAGAAGAGGGTCTGGCTGAGCGAGAGGCCTAGCAAGAGAGGAAGGAAGCTGAAGCAAACAACTGTGTATTGGGAGAGCTGACTTGGTGCTGGTTTTGCTCAAAGCTCCTTCTGTTCCCCTGGGGAAATGGCTTGCTTTCTTTTCTCCTCTGCTTTCCTATTTAAGCCAAAAAGGGAGGGGAGTAAGTATAGTGGGATATATTGAGAACATCAGAAGGTGTCACAGAGGGACAGAGTTTGTTTAAATGACCTGTGATCTTGTAGTTACCGTTGTTGTAGATGTTCTGCCCATGAAAGCAACGTATGTTTATATGCACCCTTCCCTTCATTCAAAGAATACAGCATTCTGTATGTGTATGTGTATTGTAGCACTCAGGCTGTTTGACTATGATCACTTTGTGTGACTTGTGAAACCAAAATTTTTTTTTTCTTTTTTGTCAAATATATGTATACAAGTCCACTGAACACAAATATGGGATGTGTTTAAAATGTTCTTTTTAGCCTAATAAAATGTAGTATTTGTTCTTTCCTATGATGTTTTAATCTAAAAAGCCTTTCCTGAGGTAGGGGCAAGGAGGAAAACAGTGCCATCATATCTTTCTGTAGGAGCTCATTATGGGCTAAGTCTGGGTGTGTGTTTTAAAAAGTTGTGTCGGTGCAATAGGTAGTAATAGGAATGAGCCAAGACTTTTGCTTATTTCACTCTGGTGACTTTGTTCTTACTGGCTAAAGCCAGTTAAAATGCTCTGTGATATTTTGGTTTATGTAGAGTTGTTCAAAAGCAAGTTGTAGCTAACTAGTGAGGAATGTCACTCTTTCTCTGTGACCCATAAATTGTAGATGCTCTGGTGCTTTTCCAAGCAAGGCAGAATCAGGCGGTGTGTAGACTGCGTGTGGTTTAGTACAGAGCAAGGAGCTGATCAGTCTGTGAGCTGTCCAGATTAAACTGCGCTAACCAAAGATCGTTAGTTCTTCAGCGTGTTTTGATATCTAAAATCCTCAAAGTGAAAAAATACTTCTATGCCGCAAAGGATGCTTTGGATTCACAAATGTAGAAGTATAAATAACTTATGTTTTAGTAGGGCTCTATCTGGTAATCTGTCACGTAGTACTTGAGGTGAGGATTTGGGGAGTTAGAAGCTGAACAAAATGAAAACAGTTCAATGTGCATATCTGTTACCCTACCTTTTTCTCTCTTCCTATTCCTCCCTCCTGTTCCTGCAGTGGTCTGGCTCCATGGTTGATATCACAGCACTACAGCTGTGTTTGCTGATCTGATGCTCAACAACTTTGGGGGACCGCCAGGAAAAAAGTGAGGTGGATCTTCCCATTGTGTTGAATACCCTTCTGGCTAAGATCTAGGGTAGTCAGTACGTGCTAGTAGAGATATTTGATTCCTTCAGTGGTGTACGAGTGAATCCTTTGTGAAATTAAGTTAAAGGAACTTTCTGTTCCAGTGTAATAATAGATTATTATTAATGGATGAGAAAGCACTTGTTTAGTGTGTCCTAAACATCTGACCCAAAGGCACAACTACCCATGCGGTCTTTTCTGAATGCTAAGATGGTCTATCCTTATTGCATCTTTTTTTCAAGGTTTTGTTTGTATACCAGAGAATATATGTTTTATTTACTTGTAAACTGTGAAATAATTGTAAGTGCAGAGAAGATTAAATTAATACTGGCTTTTTAATATCCATTTTGAAAGTCTAAAGAACAGAAAGAGGTGTCGGCAAGTTGTGATATGAGAAATGTTCTTTAATGATACATGAAAATATAGGCCACTAATATATGTCAGATAATTTAGAAGATTACAATTACTAATGAAAATTAAATTTCTAATGGGTTATACTGGATATCTGCAAATCAGCCAAGGAACAGGATAATCTGAAATACTTTGCTTAGTGGTGAGAATCCTTGCAGGATCTCTGTTTTCAGAGTCTAACGCAGTAATTGTGCATCGCTTAGCTCACTGGTGGGTATCCTAATGATATTTTTAAAAATAGATGAAAGTTGCTTGCATTATGGATTTGTAGAGGGAGCTGACTGTATTGATCCTCGTGGGAGGATTACAAAAGTGCACTGAAAATTTGGGGGATTGGATCATCTTTGCCAAGTCTCTAGGTTGATTGTCGGTTGGATTGAAGGAGCAGACCTCTTCTGAGGTTGACCTTCAGAGAAGGATATGAAGAACAAAGTAGGACAACACATAAATTATTACGTACTGACTTAAAGTTGGCATGGCTGGTAGATATAGAAGGCGATGTAACATTAGAACAAGTGTGAAACAGGGCCTCTGGGTTTTATTCCAGATTCTTACTAACTGGCTGGGTAATTACTCATCTCTCCGGGTCTCCATCTGCCCATCTGGTAACTTACCTAGCTGCCAAAACTGTTGCAAGGCTTTAACTAAAGGTGAACTGCAAAGCAAAGCAGTTGGTGTGTGCCCTTTGGTGTTCTTCTGTGATGTGTACCCATGCCTATGATATCTTCTTCTCCCAGCTCTACAGGCTCCTTATATCAAGTATGCCAGCTATTAGAAAAGAAGATTAGAAATATTTTACTAATTGTACATATGAACTTCCTGGTAGTGAATGAAGGAGCAACAGCTGCCAAGGTTAAAATTTGGTAAAGTTGCCAAATGTTAGATTACTCAGGAGTGAGGAAAAGTTGAGGAAGGTTTTATCAATGTAGACTACGCTGGAAGAAGAGGACTTTGATGTGCAAGGTGAGAGAAAGAACTTAGACTTGTGAAGGGAAATGTTTTAGGTCTTTTGGGAGGTTGCTAGAGAAGGTAACACTTCTCTGTTGTTTTGTCTCCTCCAAAATGTGTGAAAGATTACAGTGGTTGTGCTGTGTAGTGAACTGATGTTATGAAATCTGGGAAGCTTTGACAAGGATTCTTAAAAAATGAAAGGGAGGAAGAGAGTTAGTTTGTGGGGAGTACGAGGGGTGTGCTATTGTTGCCTAGCAAGAGGAAAGTGTAGATTCAGTGACTTCCATCTTAGAGCAGCAGCTGTGTGGTGCTTGTGGTACAGTGGGATGGTGTTTTAGTCCCTGGGGTACAAGGAGGGTGGACTCCTTGCGCTTGCCTATATGTATCACTCACTGCATTAATTGCTCTGGGGTGTGTCAGTGTGTGGATAGTCTCAGTTTGGCTTGAGAATGTCCTGATTTGCTTTAGCTAACAATAGGCTGATTGTTTTGTTAAACAGCTTTGGCTGAGTTATAATGAAGGATATACTGACTTGCACAAGATAACTGCAGTTATAAATTAAAGATGTATTTATTTGATTTGTTTGTCTCTGTAGATATGGTCTTAGTGCTGTTTATAAGCCCAATACAGAACTTGGATTACAAAGTCTTTTGCGATCAATAGTTATTTAAAGAAAAAAATCCTGACAAACTACAGGCTTCTTCATGGTGTGTAGCCAAGCCTTGTTTTCACTGCAATTTTCCTCTGGACAAAGTCATTTATAATTAATTAGGCAAAGAGTGTTTAAGGAGAAACAAATACACAAGGATAGCGAGACGTGTGTGCACATTGAGGGCTGTAAGTAAAGTGGAAATACTGTCTTAGTAAATGCAAAACCTCACATTCGCAATGGGGTTGTGTGCAGCTTGTATTAAGACAAGTAGCCTTAATTAGCTCCGCTTATTGGGAGTAATGTGGCCCTCGCATGAATTAATAGGAAGAGACTGGAAAGATGATGGAGGATGTGCTCTATGTAGCTTTGCTTTGTGAGATGCCTTCTGTTCCATTTTGATTGGAATCTACATCTTTATTTCTAATCACAGCGATTGACTGCTGCTAAAATACCTCCCCATGTGTTTGGATATTAGACTTCTCTAAAACTGAATGAAAACATTTCTGAGTGCAGAGAAGCATGCAACTGTTTGCCTTTTTCCAGATTTTTCTCTTCAACAAACCATTGTATATTACTTTTTAACTTCCAAGCTGCAAATCCAAGCGCTCATATGTTTTTTTGTTTGTTTTGCTTTTCAGATTGTTTCAAGAAAAAATCCAGAGGATGTCCAGGAGGTAACAGTTTAAACTTGTGCAAATGTCTTTGTGTATGACAGTATGCCTTTTGAAGCATCTTTGATGTAATTTAGCAATTTCTGTGTGTTTTGTCATTGTAATTGAGCAAACAGTTAGTTCTTTGTACGTTTCCATTTGTCTTTAGCTTTCACAGTTGAAAACAGTAGCCAGCGTAACATGTTGCAATTCTGCCCTCAGTGATGAATCGTGACTTGAAACAAAGTCTGAGGGAGTAAAGTGTCTTTTGATGACAAAACTGCTTTGATAACTTTGCAAGCTTTTTTCTCAGGTCTGGAATTGGCAAATTGATGGTTACTTAACTCCTACTGGTAAAATTAGAGATCAGTCCACAATCTAAGTCTTAGCTCTCAGCTGCAGGTACTCTTTTCCTCTTTAACCAACACTTCACTGAAAAGCCTACATCATTACTGTCTATTAGTGAAGAGAGAAAATGGAGGAGCGTAGGAGTAGTTGAGAGAGATTAGACTTCAAGTCATATATTATGCCTCTCTCTCTGAGGCTCCTTAAGTTTTTTCCAGTGATATACTTCGATAAAACTTTGAAATTGCTTATTCTTTGCCTCTTCCAAAAAGGCTCTGAATAAGGGTCTGCTGTATTCTTGTGCCTCTTTAATACCTCAAAAGACTGTCGGGAACCATTAAAAATATGTCATTTGCCTGTGGGTTGCGAGTTTGCTTGTTTTTTAGATTAAAAAACTTTTTTCCCTCTTGATTTCCTTCGGACTAATGACTTGACTAATACTATTATACTATATACATGCAAAATCTTCCTTCAAAAGCACAACCTTATGGCTTTTCAGACACTGTGTAACATATGCATATGTTCAATTTCTGGTGCAGTCTCTTACTACAGTTGAGGAGAACCTGGATAGTTGATGAAAGAAGAGCCCATAAATGAATTCATTGCATCTCTGTGTGGTCAAACGAGTTACTGATTAGTGGCTTGGCAGAGGTGAGAATTGGCTAATACACCTAACACTCCTTTGCTGCATCCTTCTTTGAAATCTTGAGAATCACAGAAATATAAGCATTCATGCTTTTTGCATTTTTAAAATCTCTATAAGATTAAAATAGCCTATCAGAATTGGAGAATATCAGGGATCCAGTTTTAGAATTGCATTACTGTAGTTTGTACCTTATCCAGGGAGACTCCTGAATTGAACTTATTCATGAGTACATACTGCCATTACCTTATTCTTCATTTATGGGATAAACACTTTATAGCAGCTGTTGATGAGCCATTCATCAGAAAAAATATATTGTAAGTGTCTTTCGGCTAGAATATTGCATGAATATATGTTAAGTAGTTTTGAAACAATAGCAAAACCATATCTTTTAGTTATTGCTTTGATTGTTGCAGTGATCTGTGGCTGTAGGTTAGCCGTGCAGGATTCAACAAACTTTAGTCCACAAGAAGATATAAATGTGCTATGAACTTGTTGGTGATTGCCCTTTTCCATCCTTCATTGTATCAGATTAATTACTTTGTATGTGATAGCATGTTAGGTGTGGTGTGATTGTTATGAACAAGCATCTGAAAGTACATAGTGATTAAAAGGAGTATCCTATATGCTAGTTGCCATGAGGGTTAATTGTAGTCCAAAACCCACATATGTTGGGAGCTTTTCTGTTATACTGACTTCCTATGATAGAAAAAGAATTGTGGGCAGCCTTTGAAAGAAAAATAATATGCTCCTAACCTGCTTCCACTGAAAGTAAACTTACTTCAGTTTTCCGGAATGCTCAATTATAAATTCAGTAGTCAGAATTTTGTGCACACAACCACCCTTTTGCTTTATGATCTGTCTCATGCAACCTCCTTTCTGTACCCATATAGGACCATTTAGCTGTGCCTGCCTTTGCATTCAGAAGCCTCTTTTAATGTCACTGCTGAGATGTTAATAAGTACATTACATATGTACAACTGTACATAAGGCTGTGTACTGTGACCTCAACTCTACTTGCAAGTTTTCTGTCATCTCTTTTAACTGTCCTTTGAGATAGAAACCTTTAATATAACATCTCACCCACTGCAGCCAATTACAATTCAGGATAACTTCAACTGTTGTTGATGGGAGAGGAAAGAGGATAGCCTTGTAAAGGCTTTCTTCTCTAAAGGGTGAAAGAAGTTAACGTGGAGTTGTGTGTGGAAGAGTTACTAGATACAGAAAAGCTAGCACACTTAACTTTAATTTCCTTCCTTCTGGGGGTTGATGGTGGCAACATGGCATGTGAGGCAATTGTAGCTAGGGTAGTCTTGTGGGTTTTCTTCCTCTCATTCACAGAGGAGAAAGGGTTGTTCACTGTGGAACAGATGAGTCGCATGAGTTAATAGAGACTGTCTCTAGCCATGACAAGCACCTTATTGCATTACAAGTCCAACATATGTTTTATGATACACTTGCTGTGCTTTATTGGGTCTCAAAGTGCAATGTGTCTTTTCTCCAAATCTGATTTCTAATGAGTATGTTAGAGTGGGAACTTTGCTAAATTTGCTGAGATGCGTGCATGCAAAGGCATGATTTCCATGAGCTTGTGAAAGGTTTTTAGGTTGATCTGGACTGCTTTTGCAATGCAAGCTACTTATAGATACTTACTTTTTTTTCCTCTTAGCTATTGGAAGATCACCCTCAGCAGTAGAAAATGATGTTTTAGTGGAATCGACTCTGATGTTCTTATATTCTGGCAACTTTTAATGTTGTCTCCAAGTACTGACAATGCAGTAAATTAATATTTCAAGACTTCACTATCTTAAGCAATGTTATGTTCTTTGTGCACACTGCTCAAGAAGTGCTAATCATTCATATTCTGGATATCGGGTTAGATGGAAGTACAGCAGTGAAGAAATATTGTTTCTTATAGCAAAATGAATAATTTGCCTTCCTGGGAGATTCTGATTTTTTTCCATTATCTGGTGAACTCCCAAGTATTAGTTGTAATTGAGTCCTGGAAATGTGTGCACAATAGGTGGGCCTGAATCAGGACTGCTAGTTTCAGTATAGCTACATTTATAAGGTGGATAGAGTGTTGCCATAGTAAAGCTTTGCATATCTACTGTTAACAGTCCTGTTACCTTATATCTGTGTTGTTCTGTAGGTGGAACTTGCATCTGCTGAAACTTAGAAGGCCGCTGTCCTTAGCGTTTAAAGAAAAAAAACAAAACCAAACCAACCCCTCCAAAACTGCAATAAAAGACCACCATCACCACCCTCTAAAATTAAACCTTTTACTTAGCTCTAAATCTGGTTTGCCTGAAAAAGTAGTTTTTCAATTATGATCACTCATGAGAAGGTGGCCTGTTAAATCAGTTGGAAATACTTGGAATCTGTTAAATTGTGGTTGCTTGTTTTAAGCTAATTGAGACATTTGACTGATGAAACACTGGAATCAATTGCTGAATGCATTGCAGTCTCTTTTTTTTCCTTCCCTGCCCATTTTACTTTCACACCTTACATTAGTATTGAGGTTTAGTGTGATGGCTTAGTGCTTCTGACCAAGAATGAGGCTAAGATATAAAATGTCTATGTTAATTTTTTTCATCCTGATACCAAACCTGTTAGCAGTCAAGTGTAAATTTTGTTGCTCAGTTCTTTCCCTGGCCTGATTTTGCTGTTGGGTTCTCTTCCTTCCTTGAATGGAAAGAATACAAAGAATGAGATAGAAGAAGGATAAAAGGTAGATATGTAATGAACCAATGCTCTCTTTGCATTCTTGAAGGTGGAGATATTGTCTAGATTGCAAAAGGAACATACTTAAGTTTTGATCAGGGTTTTTAGTAATAAAACATTTAAAATGTGGGCTTCCATTTACACCTGATCATCATTTTACATAAACAAATTATGATCTGGTTTGTAGTCCTGGGGGCTTCCTGTGCTGTCCTTAGGAATCCCTTACTTCTGTTGATTTCTCTTCCCTCATTTTCTCTTGCTGTTGTGTCTCTTTCCCATACCTGCAGCTGTGCCAAGCACAACATGCTGTTGAGCGCTGGATAGCGCAACGCGACTGTTCGGCATTTTTCCTCTCTTACTGGTTCCCTGTGTAGCTTTGGATCTCAGCGTGACTGAAACAGTTCTACCTTTGCCCTCTCTGTTTCCTACTTTCAGCTCTTACTTAAATTTTTTCCTATGCACTGTAGTCTTGCTGGCCAAAATGAGGGTTGGGGACAGATAATGACCATTTATTTTATGGTTGTTACCGAGTTCATATATGTTTTACAAAAACATACAATTTGCTGAAGGTAGTGGTATGATTTGGTCAAAAAATTGTATTTGTGATGTGATGCAATGCAAACAGTGAACCTCACTAATCCTTCTTCTCTCTTTTCCCCTTTCTCTGCTTCAGATAGTCGTTTGGAAGAGATACAGTGACTTCAAGAAACTGCACAAAGATCTCTGGCAAATTCATAAAAACCTATGCAGACATACAGAACTCTTTCCACCTTTTGCCAAAGCAATAGTATTTGGTAAGCACAATTTCCTACTGACTTGCTGTGAAATTCTTTGTTAACTCAGCATCTATAAATACACCTTGTTTTGCAGCTGCATGGAACTCTTTTCCATGTGTGTTTGCTATTCAACTTCTTTGTTTGTTGTGTCTTACTTGTAGGTGTGCTGGTGTTATAGCTTGATACTGTTAGTTTTTTTTAACACGGGTAGTTATGTCCTTGCTTCCATGTTAGAGAGATATGCTCAAATATTTATTGATATATATGTTCTGTATCTTTACAACATACATTCCCTGTTTTCAAGAGCATAAAGTCAGTATTAGCTCTGTGAACAGCACTTGAACAATGAACAAAGATTTTCATATATGAGCTGTCTGGTTTTAGTAACGAGTTATAGTAAAGTATCAAGTCGTAGAAAATATTTTTTCATTTTAGGAATTTGGTTGTAACTATTATCAATTTTATCTAATGAGGCTTTTGAGATCGGTTTTACATATAACAGTTAACTATTTCACCAAAACAACCCCTAAGAGGATTGTGACTCTACATGAGACATACATGGCAAAAAGTAATTAGCTCTTAAAAGCCAAAGGTTTTAGCCTAATCCTCATGTATATGTCATTATGAGTGAGCTATAGGTGGACTTTTAATGAAGTGATATGACTTCATATGGAACTCCACCTACCACACTTGTTTTTTTATTAGTGTTGTGTTTATAAAAAAATGGTGTGTGGTTTTTTTTTTTGTTGTTGTTGTTTTTAGTGCATGTATTTTATTCACCACAAACTGTTGCTGTTTTGGCTTAGATATATATGTATTGAACAATATCCAGTAAGTTTTAAGCATTTTTCAACATTTTTTAATGTGTCTACCAAGTTTGGTGTCATTTTTGCATGCATCTACCCTGTGCTTTGTGAGTGTTTCTGAGGCATTTCTAAGATGTTGCTGACTGTCCAGAATGGGTTAGGTGCTTTTTGGTGTGCATCTATGATGTGCTTTTGAGACTTTTTTGGAGGCATCTTATTGTTTCTTTTTGAGGTATCCAACAAGTGTTTGGCGTTTTGTTGCGTGCATCTGCCATGCACTCTTGGTTTGGTTTTGGGTGAGCTTTTTAGTTTCTAAAGTGCTTTTTGGGTTACTAAGGCTTTTTCATGGCGTTTGAGTTGTTCTAGTGCATTTTTTTTTTTAAGCGTACAGCCTCTGTTGATGCTGTTTTCTGGTATTCACCTAGCATGGTGTATAGTGTGTTTTGGCATGCATCTCCCACGTGCTCTTTTGGTTTTCTTTGGTAAGGTTTCTGATCTGGATTTTGGGTACTTCTTTGTTATGTTTTTTTGGTTCCTAAGGCATGGCTGTGGTGTTCCTTGTGTCCAGGATTTCTTTGGTGTTTTTTTGGTGTCCATATGCCACACAATTTTCTGCAGGTTTTTAAGTGTCCAGCACGTTTGGTCTTTTTTTTTGGCATGCATCTACTGCTTATTTTTTTTTGAGTGTTTCTAAGGCATTTCTATAGTGTTGCTGACAGTCAGAAACATGTTCGGTGCTTTTTGGTGTGCATCTACCATGTGCTCTTTTTTTGTGTGTTTTTTGGCAGGCTTTTCCGTTTCTAACAATGTTTTTAGGGTTACTAAGGCATTCCCATGGTGTTTACAAGTTGTTTTAGTGTTTTAGTATGGTCTGTTTGTTGTTTTTTTTTTTTTTTTTTTTTTTTTTAAGCATCCAGCCTTTATTTGTTTTTTATGTATTTATTTTTGGTTTTGTATGGTTTTAAGCATCCAGCATGTTTGGCATTTTTTGGCAAACATTTACTATGTGCTTTCTTCTTTGGCAAGGTTTCCTGTGTAGAATTATGCACTTTTCTTGGCATGGGATTTGTTTCCTAAGGCATTGCTGTGGCGTGGTGGTTTATTTTTTTGTTTTTTTGCTGTCCAGCATTTCTTAGGTGTAGCTTTTTTCATGCATATATCATGTGATTTTCAGTGGGTTTTTGAGCATTTTTCAGCATTTTTTTAATGTGTTGAGCATGTTTGGCGTTTTTTTTGACATGCATCTACCTCGTGATTCGTGAGTGTTTCTGAGGCATTTCTAAGCCATTACTAACGGTGTGGTACAGGTTTGGTGCTGCTTTTTAGTAGTCCAGTATGCATTTAGCATCTCTTTGCATTCATCTACCACATGCAATTATTGGGCATTTTAACAGGTTTTTAAGCATCCAACATGTTTGGTATTTTTTTGACATGAATGTACCACAGGTTCTTTTTGAGGTGGTTTCTGCTAGGCTTTTTGGTTTCTAAGGTGGTTTTGATAGGCTTTTTTATTTGTGAGGTGTTTTTGGGGTTACTAAGGTATTTCTATGGAGTTTACAAGTTGTTTTTGTGTTGTGCTTTTTTTTTTATTTTTTTCTATTTTAAGCATCCAGCCTATGTTACATTATTTTGTATGGAGTTTGCATGTTGTTTAGTGTCCAGCATGTCTGGCATTTTTTGGCATGCATCTACCACATGCTGTCTTTCTTTGGCAAGGTTTCTGGTATGGATTTGGGGCATTTTTACATGTGATTTTGGTTCATAGGGCATGGCTATGACATTATTTATGTCCAGGATTTCTTTGGTGTTTTTTTTTATGTGTGCATAAACTGCATGATTTTCAGTGAGTTTTTAAGATTTATTCAGTGTTTTTTTGTGCGGCTAGTATATTTGGTGTTTTTTTAGCATGCATCTATTGTGTGCAGTTGGGCATTTCAATGGGTTTTTTTAAGCTTCCAACACATTTGCCATTTTTTTTTTTTGCCATGAGTCTACCACATGCTCTTTTTTTGATATGGTTTTTTCAGGCTTTTCAGTGTCCAAGGCATTTTGGGGTTGTTAAGGCCTTACTTTGGTATTTACAAGTTATTTTAGTGTGTGGGTTTTTTCTTTTTTTTTTTTTTTTTTTGTTAAGCATTCAGCCTGTGCTTATGGTTTCTGTATACACCTTGTCTGGTGTTTAGTGTCCAGCCTGTTTGGCTTTTATTTGAATGTATCTACCACGTGCAGCTCTTTTGGCAAGGTTTCTCATCTGGATTTTGCATGTGTTTTTGGTGTGGGTTTTGGTTCCTAAAGCATTGTCATGACACGTTTGCCATTTCTGCGGTGGTGTTTTGAGCATCCAGAGTGTTTGGTGTTTTTTGGCATGCATCTCCCATGTGCTTTTTTTTTTGCCAAGGTTTTTGTACCTTTTTTTGAACTTTTTTTTGTTTCTGAGGCATTGCTGCAGTGCTGTTTTCCATTGCCACGTTGTTTTTAATATGTTTCAGCGGGGTTTTAAACATATAGCATGCTTAAGGCCTTTTTTTGGTGTGCATCTATGATGTGCTTTTAAGTGTTATTAGCATCCAGCATGGGTTTGGCTTATTTTCTTGCATCCGTCTACTATGTGCTTTTTTTATGTTTTTTTCCATATTGGTTCAGCATGTTTGATGTTTTTGGGTAGGCATGTAGTGCATGCTTTTGAGAGTATTTGAACATGCTCTCCATGCGTTGTGCCTGTTTTCCATGTTTATTGTCATACATATTTTTGCATGTTTTTTTTGCATAGGTTGTGCATGTTTTAGCATCCAGCCAGAGTTTAGTGTGTTTTGGCATTAATCTAGTGCAAATTTTTGCAAGTTTTTTGCGTGCAGCATTTTTAGCAATTTTAGTGGAGTTGGGCATGCATCTAGAGCATGTTTTCCCACATTTTTTCTGTGTCCCACATTAGCATATTTTAGCATCCAGTGTGTGTTTCACATTTTTTGGCATGCATCTATTTCATGTTTTTGCACGTTTTTCCCCTGTGTCATGATTTTAGTGTGTTTTAGCATCTGGTATGCTTATGGCAGTTTTGGCATACTTCTACTATATGCATGGAAAAATGTGCAATAATATTTTTAGCGTTTTTGCATACTTTTAGAATAAACTTGTGTTTGCCCTAGCATTTTTTCATGGTTTTTCTGCATTTTTAGTTTTTCTGTTGTGTGGTGATGAGTTTTGGGATTATTTTTTTTTTTTTTTTTTTTCAATGCTCTACTTCTTTTTTTGCTGTATTATGTTTTTTGGCATTTTTTTGGGGGGGGCGTTTACTATTACTTTAGGGTAGTCAAGCCTGTCAGTTTGGAAAGTGCCAAAACTGAGGTTATTTAGTCAGCCTTTTTTTCCACCACTTTGTGTGGCAGCACTGTGATACTTCCTGGGGTTGTGGTTCTGTAGAGGTGTTTGCTGTCCCTCCTGTGCCTTGAGTGCCAGAGAAACTGTATGGAACTCCCATGGAGACAAAACCTCAGAAACCTGGAAAGCACAAATCTGCCTGTTGATGTTTCAGGACCAAATACTGCTACAGACTTGTAATTTTTGCTACTTAATGTTTGGTTTGGATGACTACTGCATGCAGGCATGGCACTGAGATGCTTTAAAGAATATACTACCATAAACAACAAACAAGTTAAAGTTAGTTTATGACCCAAGTCTAATCTGCCTCTGCAGCTTTGGGGGAGCCTCTGACTTAACCTCTTGTTGTGTGGACTAGTTAAGTGAGAAGCAAGGAAGCTGAACTCTAATGCAGATTTCATGGTTCTCTGTGAAGAGCTGGGTAAAATTCCTAGTTTAAATTGTCTTTCGCATCAGCTAAATTGTATCCAACTATTATATATTTTTATTTTTGCTTATTTATAAAGTCGGAACTGGGGTAAGTTTTGGTTCTGTGTCAGAACTTGTGCACTACTGGTTAAATAAAGAATGTAGTGTGAATTTCATCCTGAGATGATTTTAGATCTGATTTACAGAGTAGAGTGCTCACTGGACAAATTATTTACAAAGCTAATAGTTGCGAAGTCTAATTTAGTTTCAGGTGGAAGATATGGCAGCTATGTATAGGGGAGGAAAGAGAGGGCTAAAAAGAAAAGAAAATTAGTGTGGAAGAGAGTATGGGCTGCTCATACCTTAAATAATTTTAAATTACTAGAAATGCAGATTAGCTGTTTTTATACTAGCTCTGTGAGGAAGAATTGAATGAAATCCCTTCTGAAAGACATCCTATTGTATTTGGTGAACAAAAGTGACTTGAATGTACATTGTAAGAGAAGGAAATCTACAGAAATATTCAATGTAGTTATTTACAAAAAAGCTCTTTGAAATTAAAACTAAACCATAACAAAACCCACTACGTTTGAATGAAGCTGAGCCACAGCAGATTAAGGAAAAGATGAGGTAATGTAAAAACAAATTTTAAATGTTTGGTACATAGCTGAAAGGAACAGAAATGTCTGACTCTTCAGTTTAAGAACTATTTTTCTATTTAAAACAAAATTTTACTCTGTATTCTTCTATCTCACTTCTACACAGAATAACTGCTGTGTGTTTTGTTTTAATTTAGAGTATTTATCTTTAGATCAGTCCTAGTGTTTTTTTGTACTAGAGGAAAAAGGTAATCTCACTAGATTTTGAGTTTTTGAAAAACTTATTTTCAGTCTTGTTCAGTTAGTGGTGAGCTGCAAGGTCCATCTCTATTAAGATCTTTTGTTTTCAAGCTGCTTTAATGGAACATTTCTGCAGTGTTTCTTCCCTGTGTTGATGTTTCACTTGCAGCTTTTAAACAACTTGATGTTGCAGCTTTTAAACTAGTTACTAATTAGCATTGCCAGTAGTTACTGGCAAATTGTTGGTTTGTTTTTTCTTTGTTTATTTTTTTTTTTGGAAAGGTGTGCTTTAAATAATGTATATATACTGTTTGTTGAAGAGTACGCTTTACAAAATGAGCACTGGTGTTTCTAATAGTCATACTCACTTGTGGAAGTATTAAACCTGAGCAGAATCTCAGTTTCAGCATTCAGAGTTTCAGGAGATGGTGTGGATGACTGAGATGTATTTAAAAATGGATGAGTTGTGCTGTGCTTCCATATTTCATGCAACCAAAGACTTGCCACATCTGCTGAACTGAATTGCGTTGCATGTTTTACACCACAGCTTTTGATAATTACAATGTGCAAGTGCATGTATTTTTATGCTGTTAAATAGAACTGCTCAAATCAGAGCATGAAACTTGTTATGGGTGGGAAAAAGAAATCATCTCACTTTAACATCTTTAACAGATCCAGCTGTTAAAACTTCTCTGAATTGTTTTGTAGTAATTATGATACCTCTTTCTGGGAAGTGGTTACTCTCTTACCCTAATATGCATCAATATAATTTCTTCAGTATTTTCAAACTACTTTTTTTTTTTGTTGTTGGACACTAAGTATTCCCATATGTTGGCTATACATAGCTTTTTACCAAAACATTGGTAAATCTGTACTTAGCATGTCTGGTATCTAATGACTGCAGGAACATATTCTAGTATAAAAAAATGCTCTCTCAGCCCCTGACAAACAGAAACCAAAAAACCCCAGATATTGGTAACTTGCTAGCACTGAGTCATAAAAATGATTCACATTATAATGCTCAGATAAGGATACTTTTTGGATTTGAAAATACCAAATGAAGTAGCATATGTAATAATTGGGTGATATGTACAGTTGGAACTGTTGTGAGAAGCTAGCTGAAACATGACCACAAACCTTGCTAGGAGTTTTGTTGTTCAGATCTGCTCCACAAAATGATTTGTGGATTCTCTTTACAGGAATTTACATTTGGTTTCCAAGTATATGAGAAATTTTGAATGGATCATTGCTGGAGGAATAGCAGAACTGTGCCAATGCATTTGTTATATGCTATGATTGTAACTGATGCTTCCTAAAACCCTGCAAAGACATGATCCCTTTAATGAAGTTTGCATGTGTCTGAGAAATGTAAAGAATAGTGGAAATAACACAGATTTAGATACAGGAAGACTTCCTGATGGAAATGTTTGAATAGTCAGATGGGTGCCTAAGCACCTTTGAACATCTGATTGAGAAGGGTAATAATGAAAGTGCTGAGCAGTACAAGATTGCTTGAAAGTATGAAAAAAGGCAGAGGGGGAAGGATTTAGACAGGGTTGGCTGTGAATGAAACTGGCAGCAAGATGCCAGATAGTCTGTGAAGAAACCAGTGCAGAATTATGTTCTTCCTTCCCCCAGAGTCCTCTAGTTTTGGAAAATGTGGCAGTGAATAATGTTTCAACATCTCTGTTCAAATATGTATTTTTTTTTTTTTTTAGCTCAGTTTCCTAAGAAAATAAGGCTTATGTAATTGTGCTGTCAGAAAGTCAAACCTCTGACTCATGTGGCTGATATCAGCTAAATTGGAGAGGGATAGCAGTTGCAAATGTCATTATGTTTCTGCAAAGTCTGTGAAACAGCAGCTGGGTAAGAAGAGAGGGAGTGCCATGGTGCTACCAGGGGCCAGGCCGGCTCAGCTCATACGGGTGAGGTTTGCAGCTGCCTGGACAATTGGCGCTGGTCAACCTGGCACTGCTGGTCCTGATGCATCCTATCTGGTGCCCGGTTGAAGTATTGAGATGATGTGGACAAGGAAAATTAGTTTTTATTGGGTTTGATGATGAAGTAGAATGGGGAAATATCCTTGGGAAACTAAGAAAAATAGAATTTCTTTCTTGCAGAAGTTACCTGTTTCTGGCCTTGTTAGGTGTTTACTTCTTGACGATTGATTTTCTGTTGTTATAACAGTGTTCGTGTTATCTTGTAGATTCACTCAACTGTCCCATGCTGCTGTGCTTTACTGAGGGAAGTTGTTTTTTCATGATGCCCTATTTTGCATGGAATGAAATAAAAGCCCTAATGGACCCCCAGTGTTGCTCTGAAGATGTAGGAAGTTTGATGAGCAGTTTAATAGAGCCTGATTCCAGTGTTGCCACTCAATGTGATAGCATTGCCTTTGCCTTCTTTCTGCTTGCTTGTTGCTCGCTCTTTTGTACAGCTGCTAATGTTTGTACAGCTGAAAGGGCAGGGTGAACAAGTCACAGAGCCAATCCACCTGAAAATTAGCCCAATGATGTCTTTTCTTTCCTTTCATGGAAAAATAGCCCCCAAAAGCTTTGTTTGTGATCTTGTAAGTATGTGTGTGTCTTTCTAGTTTTATTTTCTTTTTTCTGGTACCACATGGGCAGGAGCTATTTACTTGAAGAATTTCTGGAAAGAGTCCTGCTTTGATACTTTCTTCTGGGATTATTTTTTTGCTTGCTCTGAGTATAAATGAATTTTGCTTCTGTATTCAATGTTTCTTTTGTCCTCTTCAAAGGTTAATGCCACAGAGCTGTCACAGGTGGTTCTTATTTTTCTGGTCATGCTGTTATAGCAATACTGTTTCTTGAACTTGTCTTCCCAGTCCTTTTTTTCCCCTCTGTATAGCTGTTCCAATATCTGTTCTATTCTCCTCCAATTATTAGTGTTAACCTCTGCCCTTTTCCTTTTGTAAACTTGTAACTATTTCAACAACAAAGTGATGTTGATATGAAAAGCTAAAATAAGTTGTGTGCATTTGTGAAGAATGTGAATTTAAGGTAGCAATCCAAAGGTTTTCTCCTGAGAAGCAAATCTCTTCAGGTGAACTGTAGGATTGTTTTTTAAACATGTTTGTGCTAATGGGAGTGTTTTGGGTGCTGGGTAGGAAAAAGGGAAGGATCATACGTTTTAGTAAATGAGCTGCTTCCCAGATCTATTTACCTCTTGAATCCAGGAGGAGATGAGACCCTGTCTGCATGGAGTTACTTCAGACAAAAGCTTCAGTGCTTGGTAGCAGGGTTTCACCACTTCCCCTATACTTTGTCTCCTCCATAAATGGCACCTTGGAATTGATGATCTGCTTGGGGGCTTTTAGCAATACTTCGTTTACTATCTGCTCATATTGTGCATTGTTCTTGAGAATGTGAATTGCTCAGCTCCTTACAGGATTTGGGCCATAATCAAGGCTGACACTGACTGGCATATTGTCAAATTGTGCTTGTATCATTTATTATTAGATAACACTGGACATCCGTTAGTGTCTCTTGGCTAATCAAGAGTGTTGCCTCACATATTCTTACGATGAGAGGGCGAAGGATTCTTATTGTAGCTGCCAGCTTTCATCATCCGAGTGGATTGCAGAAGACAGGACTCTAGGGACAGTTGAGAATAGGAAGTTTGAAGATTTGCTATGTTCTCCTGAAGTATTGGAATGACTTTCACAGACTCAGGGCATTGTTTCCAGAAGGCTGCTTTTGTCTTTTTTTTTTTTTTTTTTTTTTTTTCATGTTATTTATTATTACAAAATAAATGTGTGGTTATTTGTAAAACTGTCAATCTATGTGTCTGTTCCAGGACGATTTGATGAAACTGTGATTGAAGAAAGAAGGCAATGTGCTGAAGATCTGTTGCAGTTTTCTGCCAATATCCCTGCTCTCTATAACAGCAAACAGCTGGAAGAGTTTTTTAAGGTTTGTTAGTATTTGCAGAAGTATTTGCTTCTTACTGATATGAATAAAGTGTAGAGCTGATTCTTCTTTACTTTATAAGCCGCAGAGTGACAGTGAGCTGATCTGACATGCTTTCTGAAGTTTTCTGGGAGTTTGCCGTTCACTCTAAAAATGTGGCTTTAAAAAAAAACCCATGTTATACCTCTACAAGGTGGAAAGTTTTACAGGAACTTCAGATGAAGGGATTTGGAATTTTTGTTTATTGAATGGTGAGCAAAAGCTGCGATGTTAAATCCAGATGTTCAGTGGGGAAGTAATAAAAAAATATCGCCATTGTTTCTATATTTTATATAGGTGTTTATAGTTTCAAACTACAAGAAGGAAGACTGTCTAGATTGTTCTCTTATGGCCTGCTCCATGACAACAAATTTGGTATATAACTAGTCAGACGTGCTGCTTGTACAGTGTTGTGAGAAACACTGTCCAAAACACATTTTAGGACAACACATTGATCTGGACTTCCTATTTATTACATCTGAAGCAGTTTGTTTCCAGTAGTTCCCCCAAACCTCTCTATTTTCTGTAGCTTAATCCAATGTTCTGCAAACACACAAGAATCAATTTACATGTAAACATGATAGTAACTCCCTGGAATTAAGGAAATCCTCATCTGGCTGAGATAGGACCTATGTGTATTAATATGTTAAGTATATTTAAATGATGTGTATGCAAAAGCAAAATTACAGCAAAGCTTAAAAATATTCACTTCTTTTCATGATGTAGTTATTGCAGAGTTCTTTAAAATACTTAAAACAATGTTCTTTACGCTTTGTTGACAACAGTGAATGGGACACTGAATTAGAATATTTTATTTTTCAGTTTATTTGCATCTGCACTTTTTCATTTCTTTGGAAATACTTCTGTGTTTTGGGGTATTTGTTCAGAGCTCTCTTCCCCCTCCTTTTGCTTAGCAAAAGTATTGGTTTTAGCCTTCCAATGGACCTTTTCTGGCTTTGCAAGGGAATGAACAAAATTAGAAAGACATTCATTTTTATTGGAGCAAATACATCTATGGGGAGTTACACAACTGTAATAGTTTAGGCTCATTTGTTAGCTGGTGTTGTCATGTCTTCCTGTAAGAAGGCCTTAGATTTTGATCAGTCACCAGCTCAGCCAGTGTTCTTCACCTTTGCTTTCACGTGGTTTTGTTCCTTTTCAGATTTTTGTGCAAATAGTCATGGAGAGATAATTTGGACAATGAAGCCTTAGAAACAACTGAAGGGAGTGCTGTGTGTATATATGTACTCCAGTGTGTACTGTCACTCCAGCAAAATGGGCTGGCTAGTGTGAAAATGTTCTGGGCTAATTCAAGACCGATTAACAATGCCCATTTGTAACACTGTCTTGGAAATGGTGCAGTTTCTATTAAGGTTGCCTGGAAAGTGTGCACCTAAGATGTGAAACAAATTAAAAAAAAGAAAAAAAACAAACCCAACAAAAAAAATCCCCAAAACCCCCAACAAAACAAAAAAAAAACCCCAAAACCCTAACATTTAGGTGGTTTCTAGTGCAACTAATTGTTCCTGTTGTTACTTCATTTACCTCTGATTCCTTTCAGGCTTGGAGGGGAATAATGTCCTCCTTAGATGCTGGGATGGCCTTGTTGTCCCTGTTTGTCCAGTCTCAACTATGACTGAACTCAAGATGGTGGGTCACGGGTGGGACATTAGTCTGGTGGACAAACACTGCTGTGTGAGGGACCTGATGAGCTTGGGAACACCAATGAAGGACACAGGCTGTATGTACCACAAGAGAGCAGGAGCACTGCTCTTCTCTCTCTGTTACACTCTGGGGTTTGCAGGCAGACCTGCTGCAGCCCGTATAGTTCAGGGCTCTGAAGCTGCAGTAGGCTGTTTAGATACCTAGACAGTCTGTGGCAACCAAATGTAGCCTAACCAAAAGTCCTTGTTTAATTTTGCAGGCTTACATAGTTTAATTAAATGCATTAACTCTAAAGTAATGGAGCATTCATTGGTTAGGAAATTTAATTTTGACTATCATTTCTATATAAGGAGACTTTCCATAGAGCACAGTAGCTGAATAATTCCTTTCCCTCTTTCTTTTCAGGGTGGAGAGGTGCACGATGGGTCTGAACTGATCGGTCCTGTTGAGCCTCTGTCTGACTCTCTGACTGACAACCTGTCTGACTGCAGCTCTGAAGGTTTGCTTTCTTTTCTCATGTAACCTTATAGGGTGATCTGTTTCAAAGCAGCACATAAATGACAAGTGCCATATGTGTAGGAGCATTAGCATCTAGTTTGTTTGGTGTGACAGAAATGCTGGAGCTGGAATTAACAAAAGAGAAGTTGGGCTCAGCAGAGCTCTGTCTGCACTCCTGGAAGTTTGCCTCTAACAGGAAGTTTTCTGGGAGTCTGTCTAGTCCACTCTAGAAGTCCTAGTGCTCTGTTTCTCAAAAAGATCTGCTTTTGGTGCTGACTGAAGTGAACCCTCTGTTTTAAATGTACATAGTTCTGTCTGCTCCCAGAAGGTTGGGCAAACAGTGTGGTAGTCTTCACTACTAACCATGACCCAAGTCTCAAGCTGTAAAAATTTGCAGAGAACTTTGAAACCATTTTGAGGTTGAACAGTAAATACAAAGATGGTGTCTGAATTTGCCTAGAGCATGAAAGATAGGCTGAGGATTTGAACTGCTCCATTCATTTTAGAGTGTTCTTATTCAGCTGTTCATATGCTGAATGTCACCACGCTTTCAGCACTTAGTAAAATCCAGAAGAGAGTTGGTATTGTATTTTAAAAGTTTAAGTATGACTTCTGGGTTGAGCATATGGGAGTGGTGAATGTTAAAGCCCTACTGCAGGACTCAGGGAGATAAGCAAGTTGTTTAAGTCTCTTACAAAAACTGCCAGCATTTTTTCTTTTCCTGAGAGGAACTCCCTGTTCTTGAAGGTCTGAGAGGTTGTGTGTTAGAGCCAGTGTGCTCTATGTTTCGCTGAAAGCTGGAAATCCCTCCCTTAACTTGCTAATGTTTTTTTGATTGTGCTATGGCAATGGATGGTGTGCCCCTTTTCCTAAGATTAAATTTCTTCAGCACAGTGTAAAAGATGCACATGCATGGTTTGGATACCATGTGCAGAGTAATTTTAGTTGTATTTCACTTGCACTAAAGAATAGTATGGCTGTAAGGTAAGGTCAGTCGTCCCAAATAAATATTGTGCTAGGGCTTCTTGCCTGCCTCTGGAGGCTGAGCTAGCTTAAGCATCTCTGTGTATAATCAACTGCCAAGTACCATTCAATCTCTTAGATATTTATGTATTTCTGAGTTATGCTTGGGTCCTTGTGACTTCTAAGAAATTCTTTTCCAACCTTTCAGATTTTCCTTTGGAACTGTTTTACACTCATGTATAAATACACATTTTCATACAAACACTTATTAAGCTTATTTGGGAGGGTATTTTTACTTAACCACTAAATTTCCTCTGGTCTCTTTCTGGCATAGAACTTGTTATTCAAGCAGAGTTTTACCACAGTGAGAACTGCTTATGTTTTCTAATAGTGCTTTGTTTGTTTATTTTTGTTTGAGGTTGTATTACATGCCACTGGGATCTGTCGATGTCAATAACTTTGTGCTTAGTTATATAGTACAGCTACATGTGCAGTGAGTTCTACATTTTATTTTGTAGTATCTTTTATGATGTTAATGAACTAATGTCCACACAGTATTTTGTTTTGTGAATGGAAAGGTATAGAGCTGTTTAATTACAGAGGGTAATTGTCACAAATACTGGTGATTAGTTTTAAAGGGGTACTATTTCTGTGAAATTTAATATTCCAGATTCTGACATTTTACATTGTGTCTTATAAAAGAAAATGTGCTTAATGTGAACATTTCTATTCTTTATTCACAAGGGCCTCATTTTTAGAAGAAAACCACTTCCTTTATGTGAGATAAAATATTGAAAAGAAAAAAAATGCTGCAAAGTAGAAAAATTCTTTGATACCTTTCTGAATCAGCTGGAGTGCTTTTAGGGGATACTTGCAACAAATATGAGCACAGGATTTCCAGATGCCAAATGTGACTTTTGTGGAGTTAGATTTTCTAAAAACCTATGTGTCTTCCAGCTCGTATTATTTTATGTTTGAAACCAAAGGGGGCAAGACTAGGGACAGAAGGAAACATCTGTCTTTAAGGCCTCTAGATGGCAGTGGTAATACTCGGCTGTGAGTCCTCTCCCTGCCTTTCCTCAGGGCACCCTGCCTGCATCTCATTTTTCCCAGTCTGATTATCGTAGTTAACTGACTAGTTCACTGTGTTAGTTTTTGTGAGCATTCAAGGGCCTCCACGTGGGCACTACTCTTTCAAGCTGTTGTAGTGAGATGTATCAGACCCATTCGTTAAGAGGTGCTGGCTTTTGCTTAGAAGGGTGGGTTGTGGTTTCTCACTTTCATCTGTTCTTTTTCAGACAAAGCTCATTTTGCAGAAGGTGTGCACATTAATGGTAGAAGATGCAAATTGATGGTAGTAGAAATGTTTTTGTACCAAAATAAGCGATAAGTATCTTGCTTGTAAAAGCAGTTTGTCAGTTCATGCTTTCACAGGAACCTGCTTTTCAAGAGGTCAGGTTACCCAGGCTTTCCACCAGTTTTTGGAAACTGCATTTCCTTCTCATATACCCAGTGAAATTGCACAAAGCAGAGACAAGTATGTGAATTCATGTTCAATTTAGACATCATTATACTCCTCTAATATTCCTGACAAACAGTCACTTTGTCTTCCTCACTGGGGAGCTCATTTTTTTTTTTTTATTCTTTTTCTGCTTCTGTTTTACCATGTTCATGTTATCTTCCAAGAAATAAGCATATGCAGTTCATACGCTTCCTACCCCTCAGGCTGACTGGAAGCCCTGTGACTCTGGTTGTGTGGTGCCAGACCTGGGGTCTAAACTTGACCTTAAGCAAAGTTTATTAACTCAGGCTCTGTGCCATGCTAGCTGTGTTCATGCAGGTTCTAGTCAAGTTGGCTGCAAGAGAAGAGAAAATGTGATTTTGTTTGGACTGTAGGGAGGAGAACTTGGGTCTGTCTGATATCTGCTGTGTGGATGTGCTCTAAATCATCTAGTCAGGGTGGCCAGCACACCCTTTCCACAAACCCCACAGCTTTTCCATTCGTTCTCTATCTGCACCCCTTGTCCATCAGTCAGCTCTGTTTCCACCTATACATTCCCTAGCCAGCAATTTCTCTTCACTGAACAAAATAACTTGACTCCTCTAAATGTTATTTCATAAATTCTCAGTCCTCCACACCCAAATTGGACATTGCTGTCCCTAAATTGGGCAGGTGAATGGTCCATTATTAATATGCTAATTAATAAATCCTTTGTCTTCCTCCAACTGTTCTGTTGTGAGGTTGCCATCTTTCTTGCGGGACTTGAGGCTACACAGGCAGTTTTCTTCTCTGCATGGACACTTTGCTTTATGTCCCTCCCCTGAAAAGGTCAGGAGCGTTGTCTTCTGGGCACCCTGTCCCCTCCTCTCAAGTAGTCTTGTGCCACTAATTATCAATGTCCCTTGCTTTTCAGACGGAGAGTGTCTGGTAATCTCCTTTATGTCTTTTTCCTCTCACTCACATTAAAGGAACTGCTAGCTTTTAGAAAAGCAGTATTTATACAGTGCCTTCTTACTTCTTTTCCACAAATTGTAAATTCCCTCTAACTCTAGAGTTGCAAAATCAAACACAAAGTTTGAGTTAGTTGCCTTTGAGTCAGCTCCTTGCTAGTGCCACATGCTTTTTGAAGCTGTCAGAACACTTTAGCTGATAATGTGGATAAACTTTTGACTCTGTTGATAATACAGAAGAAAACAGACACCAGGTTTTAGATCAGAATTTACTTTGTGTGTACAAACAGCTAAATTTCTTGACCTTGTTGCCTGTTTTATTGCCTCAGTGGGTACATGTGCCAAGGTGATAAAACAACCTGCTACTTGATATCCAGGTGGCATTGCCAAATTTGTGGCTTGTTCCATATGTCTCATACAGGAATGACATTTTTGAGACTGAAAGCTGGTGCTTTTTTCTTGGTGTGCAGGTCCCAGCTTTGAAGGCTCTCCTGTTTTAAGTCTCCTTAGCTGTAAATCATCAGAGCAGTGAGATTAAAGTGCGGCTGCTATTGAAATTAGGTGAGTTGGAGTGCTGAGGTTTGAATTAGCCCCCCCTAAGGAAGCACCTGTGTTTTGTTTTTTAACCTAGGAGGCAATGAGAAATGGCAAATCTAATACCACTGACACAATTTTAATGGTATGTAACCAAATGGATATCTCTGATAGCCAGTCAAAGAGCAGTTTCATATTATGTACTTTTACCTGTAGTAGGGTCATGACCTTTCATTTTGATGTCAGGTGAACTCCTAATCTGTTGTACAAAAGGATGTCAGAAACATTTTTGTCATTCTTGTCCTTTTCAGTTCGAAAGGATTTAAGTGGACTTGATGATGTGACACTTACGAGCCAATCGGAATGTGGAGGTGAGATCTAGAAGTTGTTTCCATTACATTTGTGGAATTTAAGTTATTAGAAAGTCATAATTATGAGTGAATGCTTTTTGTGGATGATAATCCTTACAAAATGAAATAACATATGTGTAAAATATCTTTGTTGCCATTTACTTCCAAATAACCCTGCTAAGTTGGTGTGGTTTCGTTACTGAAGGTCATCTTGCAGTTACCTATATATACTTTTAGCTTATGGAAAATGTAAAATAAAATATGTTAGCTCAAATTTCAGTGAAAGAGGTGTAACCTAATTCATTATACCATGTGTTAGCAGTGAAAGAAGGCTATTCATGGTAGATGTGAGTTAGAGTGCTGCATGATGCATGAGCTGACAGTAACTCTGTGTTAATTCAAACTCCTAACTTACTGTTTTTGGGATGCTTCATCTTACTGATTTAAAACAGTGTGTTGGGATTTCTTGCAACAGTAATTTGTCTCGTGCTGATTGACTTTTCTAATAGCACTCGTGCAGAAAGGGTTAGTTTTGTAATTTCCTACAGCCCAATGGTGAGCAGGCTTTGAAAGTCTAAATTGGGTATTAGATGTTGGTCTCCTCATTCCTGGTATTAAAATGAAAACCAGTTGCTCTGTGGATTTTGTGGAATTTTAAAAAACATGTTTCCATAGGTACTAAAAATAATTTTGAGGACAGCTTTGCATGCAGGGAATTTCTGTGCACAAATTCTCAGGAAGCTGAAAAAGTGAGAAGAAAGCTAAAATCTTTGGATGGAATAAAGAATTATGGAGGTTCCTAAGGTATATGAAAAATCAAGTAATGGATTCCTTTCTGACTGTGCTTTCAGGCTTCTCCAGTGACAGTGACCTGATCTCTCTGACAGTTGATGTAGACTCTCTTGCTGAGTTAGATGATGGAATGGCATCCAACCAAAGTTCTCCCAGTAGAGCTGTTGGCCTTTGCCTTACTTCTGAACCACTAGCACAAAGCATACTGGCACCTGAGCAGGAGTGGAGCAAACCTGAAGGAGAGAAGGAAAGTCATAGTCTGTTTACTGGAAGCTTAAAACCCAAGCCTGGCAAACAAGATTACTTGGAGAAAGCAGGCGAGTTGATAAAACTGGCTTTGAAGAAGGAGGAGGAGGAAGATTATGAAACTGCTTTCAGCTTTTATAGAAAGGGGGTTGATCTGCTTTTGGAAGGTGTTCAAGGTATGGATCTTCCCATTATGTTTGCCTTACCTTTGGTTATGTGTACTTTTTTATGGTGTTTCCTCAGTTAACATCAGTTTACTGTGTTGCAAAGAGGTGATATGAAATGCAGAATCATGTGTGCCTGGCTTTCATGTGCTTGATAGCCACTGTGCGTATGTGAGAGAGAGAGAGAGAGAGAGAGAAGTCTTTCTAAGACTGAATGGTAATTTAGGGTCTTATCTTCCAAGTGCTAAGTATCTCTTTTAAAATTGCGGCATAACCTTTGACTTGCAGGTAAGTAGCAAAGTGCTCCACTTTTTATTACCTAGGCATTAATTAATCTGTGGCACTTGCAGCACTGTTGAAACATTATTTAATTTACATGGTTAAGTGAGGATTAATTATCCCCATTTTACGCATGGGGAGAGGCAGACTCAGGTTAACTTCCCAATCACAACAGGATTTAGAACTATTCTTGGCTCACAGCCTCTTGCTTCTTCCACTAAACTGTTCTCCTTTGCTAGTTAACGGATGCATACAAACTTACATGCCTGCACTGCTAGCAGAGAAAAGGATTACTTTTTTTTCAAAAGGCTTTGGTGTGTTAGTATATGTCTGCAAAAGCTATTGTTAACTGGCCAGATGCAACTACAAGCAAATTTCTGTGGAGTGTCCTTGCACCTTGTCAGTCAGGGAACAATTTTTTTTCCCCTCCATCTCTAGTTCTTGAGAATCTAGAGTGATAACATCATATATTTGCATTTTGTCCAACAATGGTTATAAAGCACAGAAAAAGATTTGTTCGTTCCTGGAATGAATTCAGGATCTGTGCATTGTGCTTCTGTCCCATACAGATCAAATGAGTAAGATTAGAATTGTGGCTTTGTTTGGCAGTGTACAGCACAGATGCATTATGCTGCTCCAGATCTGAACTTAAATGCTAATGTACCAAAGCACACACAAGCAGAAGCGTTTGCTGCATCTCGGTATGATGCACAGTAGTGGTCCAGACCCTCTGAACAGTTCTAGGAATGGAAGTTTACCTGCTGAGCTGCTTTAACTGGTCCTGACAAAAAATAATAGATAGGTTACTGATGAAAACCGGAGGTGTGGGCCAAGATATGTGCATAGCCTTGCTTAAAGTGTTGTATGCTTTTTGACATAAGTAAACCCACCTCTTACTTTTAAAGTCCCAGTGATGTCAGTAGGGTTGCCGCTTTGCTGCTTGTGTGTTTTCCGTAGTATCCCATCTTTCCTTGCCCATGTTGTCAAAATGCTTTTACTTCTTGATGTTGAATGTGCTGGCAATCCTTCTGTTAGAAAGCCTTCTTTGTTAATACACTTCTTCAGAGGCCTGTGTGCCATTCAGTTACGGTCTTCTGAAGAATATCGTGTTTCGTCATAACCACTTCTGTCTTCTCACTGTGATGCAAGGCTGCCATGATGCAGTTTTAAACTGACAGTTCAAGTTTCAGCTTCAAAAAGCTTTCTTTAGTAAACAGTTTCAAACTGTTAGGGGATGAGCACAAGTCAGGCTGTCGCGCATCCGTTGAACTGTGGTAACTATGCATGCATACTTGAGCTGTGACATGCTGGCTTTGAATCCATGGTAATATGTTTACCTTGAAGCTGTGAAAGGCTTTTCTTGCATGTGTTGTTACGTGACTTGCTCAACTGATGCATACTGACTTGTTAGACTAGGGTGAGGTGAGCTTTTCGCTTACATTTGATAACATTTCCTCCAAGGACTTTTGCTTCTTTGTTGTTGACTAGCTACTTGTCCAGCTACCTCAGATGACTGCTGATCCTTTTCTTTTGCCCACTGGTATCCATGCTTTTCAGACTAGGAGAAAATTCAAGGAGTCTTAGAGAAGTGTGATATTCTGCCCTATTGCCCTGATGCCACTCGGATAGTACAGTGGGGGTTATTAATAAATTAATAGTGGTGGTACCTCTGTGTGTGTGGGGGTGAAGGTGTGCCTGATGGATGAAGAGATGTGTAGCCAGCACCTGCAACTTCATCTGTGCAGTCCCTGATGTTCCACCTGTACAGCACAGGCAAGGGAATAATGGAAATGAGTTGCATTTTAACTGACATCTTATCCCTTGTCAACACAAATGTACACAGGCTAGTTCCTAGTAGTCAGCTCTTCTTTCTCTTTTCTCTGCATTAGCTTGCATGGCTGTGAAGGTGGAAAGAAAATATGAATGTTCATCTTCTGCTGGGCACTTGTGCTAGATTTGGGTAGATCTAGCTCATTTTGTCCTGTCCTATTTGGAGCTTCTGCAAGCTGGCAGGGAGACACTGATTGATGCTCTCTTTATGACAGGGCTGATTCAGATTACCTCCTAAAAATACATGCCTTCTCAGTATCTATGAGGACAGTAAAAAAAAAAAAAAAACCAAAAACAAACCAACAAAGTAATGAATAACTACCTGTATTACACTTTTTAAATCTAGCTACTTTGTGAAAGTGGTATGTTTAGCATTGATATTCACTGTATGCTGCAATAAGAAACCCCCAACTCTTAACCTAATCACTTCAGCTATTTACATACCCCTGGTTATGTATTTCACATGGATAATAATGTGCTCCTTTCAAGATAAGGATGGTGCAATTGTTGTAAAATGCCTCTGGTCTTCTGCCACTGATTATTTTCAGCCTATTTTGTCTAAATAAGCCTTTTTAATATCTGAGAGTGAAACACAGTGTTCATATATACTTATACACATATAAAGTGACATTGCCTTTCAGTGAACAGCCATTGCAGAATGTGTGGCCTCTAGAATGGGCTGAAAGTCACTTTTGCATGTGGTAATGGTAATACATATTTTTACCACGTGGTGGCACCAAGAAAATAGAAATTGACACCTAAAAATTGTAATCAGCAAAGGGGGTGTGGGGGGGGACGGAAGAAGCATCATCCATCATCTGTGTTTGAAACTTCTCTCGGAGTTACCTCAGAAATGTAATGCCTCTGTGAGTTGGTTAGATGTATCTGAAAGGTAAGGGTGTCTCTGCTGCCAGCCACTCCTTTAGGCTTGGTATGAGATCTACTGACTTCTTAAGTCTGCCTCGTCAAAATCGTGTATGAGTAAGTTTATTACGTCAAGTTTATAGACTTGTGTTGTTTAGTTTGAAGTAGCTGGCCTCCGTGAAGGCAGTCAGAGCACACTTGAGTCTGTTACGTTCCTGACGACCTTCTGGCTCTCTAAGCCAATGGCACTACTGCTAGACAAGGCAGGTGTTGCATATGCTTACACCAAAGAAATGTCCATCTTGTCTTTGTTTTCAGTTGTGTGTGCATGGTCTCACAAGTGTAGTGAAATTAATTACACTGTGCAAGGTGCATATGTACTTTCCTTTGCTACTCTCTTGTAGAATTTTCATACCAAATCTTTTAATGTCCGATTCGTAAGTCCTGCCAAAACACCTAATATGCACAGCACTTGGGGAATGAATGCTGTCTGCGCTCCAAGAGGCCGGTATATACCTTGGACTCTGGGCATCTGCTCTTTATACATCTTGGGCCTATTTCGGCTCTGTACATGCATTTAATATTAAACATTTTTGTCAGTGGGAAGGAGAGCGAATAATTGGACTGGCAGCAGAGCCCTTGGACTGCTACTGAACTACCTGTACCTCTTGCACCTCCCCATTTCATTTATACTAGAGCTCCCTCGCATGTGGTGAGAGGGAATAGCTGCCATCATTTCCTTTTTGCTCTTAATACATACTGATTCTGCTGCCTGTTTTGTGTTTTCTGGGCATTTCTGTATGTACAGGATTCTGGAGCTTTTGGAAGTCTGTAAGGGTTGTGTAGGATGGTTAAACAATTTTTCAGGAGCTGAAACCTGGAATTCAAATCTTCTGTCTTTTTAAGCATACTAAGTATACTATCTAATAGAAACTTTGGCTCACAATTATAGCAGTTCCTTTGTTTTGTTAGCATGTCAGAGCACTTTGAGGTCAATGCATTGCTTCAGGCCTCGTGATGGAAAAAATGCACTAATCGACAGCAAGCCACCAATTTCTAGGCTGCAAGTTAACAGTGATCTATACAAAGTAGTGCTTTCCCTGACTTTGGTGTAGGGCATAGTTTATGCTAGAAAAAAATAGATCAGGAGGCTAAAATTATGTAAAGAAATTTTTGCAATAAATGAGGGGGTCCTATTTGTATAAACTACTACTCCTTTTTCCAACTCCAACCGCTTTGAAGTTGTATCCATTATGGATCTGGGCAGTCTGAGCTATGTGATAAACCCAGAGTTGACACTTGCTTATTGCTGGGTTTCAGTAACTTCAGGCAGATGATGAAGCAAGAATGCTTCACAATATGGGCAGTCTAATTCCTGTAGAGAGGTACAGGATCTGTACCATGTGGTTTAGAAAGCAAATGTGTTCATTGCTGGTCTGTTACATACAAGGCTTCGTGTTGCATATTAACATCCGAAGGGACATGAAACATTTACTCTGTCAGAGATTTGGGGTGTTTGTTCTCACGTGTGTAGCGTCTGGCTGGTCACAATGAATATTTATTTGTTTTAGGGGGCTGGTTCAGCTAGGCAGCATGGACCTTGTTGCATGAAGGATGTGATGCCTCTAAGTCACAGCAGCCACAAGCTGTTATCCAGGTATCTGTTTTGCGTTGGATATCTACAACTTCTAGATAAGCTGCTGGTGTCTTTGAAAGCAGGCTGCGAATGTCAGTTTTCACTGCTCCATGCTATTTTAATGTTTATCCAGTAAACAGAGCTGGAACAAAAATTACACAAATTACTGGAACCTTGCTAAAATGACTTTGACTTTTAACCCAGAAATGCATATACAATGAAATGCTGGGAATACTTTAGACAACTAGATGATATTTTTGGATATACTGAAACCAAACCAAGTTGTGTCTAATTACTGGGATTATGATGGGCTATGATTTGAACTTGTGATGGAGCCAGGGATGCAAACAGGAGCATGCTTGACAGAATGCCAAGAAGACAGTACTTTATGAAAAGGGGAACA